CTAAAGAGTGTTAGGGCAAAGACACAGTCCTGCTTCACGCAATTTGTCACTGGGAACGGGTCAGAGACATCACCATCATCCAGTACTCAGGCCATCTTCCCGTCGTGAAACTGCTTCACTATCCTCACAAACTTGTCCGGGCAACCAAACTTTGACATTATCTTCCACAAGCCCTCTCTGTGCACCGTTTCAAAAGCTTTTGTAAGATTGTACCAGCACATGAGTGTACCAGTACCAGCACATGAGTGATAATGGATATTTATCCCCAGAACAGTCGCCTTTCGTAAACTTCACTCTACCGTAACATGGTTGCTTAAAAACACTGATGACTGGTATAAAGGACTAGATTTGGGGAAGCTAGTGGGATTAGTTTTTATTGACCTGAAAAAGGCATTTGACACGGTTGACCATGGCATACTATGCAAAAAGCTAGAGTTTTATGGTATTCAGCAACAGCCGTTAGAATGGTTTAAATCATACCTTAACAACCGGAAGCAATACTCTAGGGTAAACGGTGTTGATTCATCAATTATGGAAATAAATGTTGGTGTACCCCAAGGCTCATGTCTTTGACCCCTCTTATTCCTCATTTATATAAACGACCTCCCACTAGCTGTCCAAATAACAAATGTGTCTATGTATGCAGATGACCAGGGGCGTAACTTGGCCAATAGTTTTGGGGGGGTGAAAAGGGTTTCTGCCCTGCAAAACTGAAGGGTGCCCTGCAGACATTGTAGCAACGGTTTGTCTATAGGTTACTAGTGAAAGCTTTACCAGTGTGCACTGGTCTTTACCAAGGACAAACTTCTAAGCAATAAAACAAACTTGAAACTTCATTACCTATTAAATTTCTATTTCTCTACGTGAGCGCAAATTGTTTTTTATATTCACTTCATTTAATGTTGGTTTGCAAAATTAAGCTAATAAACAGCTAATTGGGGGGGGGTGGGGGATGTTGGTGGGTACATGATGTAGACAGCGCAACGAAATTTAACCCAGTGGGGCTAAGAGTCGAGTTTAGTGAGGTAGGAGGACCCACCATGGTTGGGTCCGACGTGAAGAAATTTTTTGAAATTATACCTTGTAAAAAGAGCTAAAAAGCATCTTTCAGACAAAAATTTAGCAAAATACTATCGTGCTAAAAGAACTGATTGTTTATTGAAAATATTATTGTTTATTGGGAAAAATAGGGAGGGGGATGTCGTGCTAAAACTCTAGTGTTAGACGTTGGGGAAGGAAAGAAACGGCAACCTTTCGTTTCAGATTGCACCTAGTTGTGAATGACAGAGAAAGATGTTGTTTTGATTGGGAGAATTTTTTTTCCTGAACAGAAATGTGTAGTTTCTTGTATCAAGAAGGCCATGTTTACACATCCAAAATTAAAACATTGCAATGATACAGAAAATGATTTACTGAATTAATGCAAATAAGAGAAAAATAATAAAAATATACGTGAAAAAGTTAGCAATTAGATGAAACAAAATTGGTATCTTAACGATTTATTATGTTTTTTAGTTCATGCACTGTTAAAAAGTAATAGAAAAAATGATAAAAAAATTCCTATCTTGACCAAAGTGAGGGACTTCAGCCCCTTATTCCCCCCCCCCAGTGACGCCGTGCTTGTCATGAAAATAATTTACAACTTAAATTAATTTGCATGACTCAACCTTGCCCTCATAAACATATGCATCAATCATTGCATCCATTGGCTATGACTTTCGGTAAGAAATGCTTTCGCTTTGCAAATAACGGAGCTTTTCCTTACATACCTGTTCCGTTCTCTAAAATGCAATGTCAGGAAGGGAGGTTCATAACAAATACGATATTTCCATTTCAAAATTCCTAAACGGCTCTTTACGAACTTCAGAGGTGGCATTTCTGCGTGGCAATAAAGCTCTTCTTGGCGCCCTGCAAAATCTTCGAATGCCCTGCGAAATTGACTATTTTTTGGATTGGGGGGGGGGGGTGTCACACCCCCCCACACCCCCCGGTAGTTTCGCCCCTGTCTGTGACGTTGGAGCAGACGCCTCGTTCTTTTTTACAAGATTGTCAACGATATTACCCCTGACTACACAAGATACCCTATTCCACAATTACCACAAACTATGTACTCTTTCGTAATGCAGATGTAGGGTAAGAACGACAAGAATCAAGAACAGCTTTTATCCCGACTGTCTCTCTGAATGGAACACACTTGACCCAGAGATCAGGTTTCACCATCACTAAATATTTTTAAAACAAAATAATCGAAACTTATCCGACCCATTCCTAAACTAGTATACGGTATTCATGGTCCAAAAGGTCTAGCTTTTCTTACTTAGTTACGGGTAGGACTGGGCAAACTAAATTATCATAAATTTAGGCATAACTTTAGAAATACATTCAACCCTTTGTGTCCCGCAAATGATGGGGTAGAGGACACGGAACATTTTCTGCTGTCTGTCATTCGTATAACCAGCCTAGATCTGATCTTCTCAATAGTGTCAATGCAATATTGCTCTCTCGTGGTTTTTCGTTTTTTTTTCAAATGAAGTTTTGCTCAAATTCATTTTGTAAGGTGACGAGCGATTAACCATTGACACAAATAAGAAGCTACTTCAGGCAACGCTTAAATTCATTCATGCTTCAGAACGCTTTTAAATATTCCATTGCTGAACACTCCTATACATTAGCATATACTTTTGGTCTGTTCACTCTGTATTCGTAATTAGTTGACCTAGTTTTAGTTATATTTATTTCTATCTTTGTTTAATGTTGTGCGTTTTCATGTATCGGCCATGGGGTAGTCATTGTCTTTCGATCTTCATGGTATCGTCCCCGTAGTGTAGTACAGTAATTAGGGTAGTATAATCAATGTAAAATTGTATTGTTATCAATTTCTACGAATAAGAAGAAAAAGCAATCTTCTTTATAAATAAAAGACTAACTGTCATTGTAATGTAACTTACACAGCTCCATATGCAAAATCCTGACAGGATGATTAATAGCATGTTGATTAAGAATATTGGCCAGGTGTTTAGAACATTTAGTATCATTCCTCGAATTTGTGCAGCCAGGGAATCTTTGATAATGAAGTATATTACGCCAGGATGGCTGAAGAGAGGAACAAAAGCGTATCCATTGTACAGATCCAGCTCGCTGTTGCCGAAAATAGGAAAACTCATATGAACATAATCATCAATGTCCATCTTCATCTCCTTAATTGATCTTTTCTCTGCCCAGCCATTCTTTCCATTGCTTTTAAAACTCAAAACACTTATCGGCGCTCGTTTACATGTTCCACAGACAGAGGACGTCATGTTCTTTAGGATATTGGCAATAAGTCCTTCAATCTCTCCATCTTTGTCTCTATATATGTATGGAGCACTTGCAGCAAAATTTGTATAGATAGTCTCGGGACAGGGACATGTATCTAAAAATAAACAGGATCCACGTAAAAATTGGATATTGATGCACGAGGAATTATCATTAGGGTCTCTATTTTTCTCGGTAAAAATGCATACTTCCTTTTTTATAGCAGTTTTTAAACATCCAATCTAAACTTAATGTAATACTGAAAATAATATAGGATTTGAGACAATATTCTGCTGAAAGCGACAGTTTAAGCTTCAACCAAATCAAAAACTTTTACTATGTATAAAAAAATTGTATGAGTGAAATATTGGAACACTTTTCTATTCATGTGAAAAACTTGCAAGTTCTCTCCAGTCGTTCTTTTTTATTAAACAGTGATGCCTCTTGTAGCCATGGAACCAAAAGTGCCCTAAAATCATTTGCAGCTCTAAATTGTCTTGAAATTGCCTTTAGTTAATATTCGAAGGTAGCACCCAAGCCAAGCCCTTGTCACTTGCAGCCATTGAAAACTAATTGAAATTTACAATATATCAGACAAAATGTAATTGATATCAATCAATAAAAAAGACAAATATATCTCAGACAATAATAACGTACATTGAGCTATAGACCAGCATAGCTAAATCAATTTGCAACATCACTTTGCTTACCTCCAGTAAATGTCTCCGACATTTTTCCATCTCCATGCTGATTGTATGCAAGAACGTTGACACTATACTGTGCATTTGGTTGCAATTCAGATAAAGTGGCTTGAGTCAAAGAAGGATGGATGATTTTAGTCTCTTTCTTTGAAGTAGCAATGACATTGCCTCCTAGTTTCACTAATCGATAGATGACCTTGTATCCTTTTAAATCTCCATAAACATATTCAGAGCTGAGTCTTTGCCATGATACTTGGATTGAATTGTGGCTCATCAAACTTGCAATCATTATGTTACTTGGGGATCTGGTTGGTGCTGCAAAGAGATTAGGATTGTAATAACTAAGGCATAGTAGCAGTCTAAAAAATACAAAATTATATAATAATCGATTCTTCTTTAAACTAAGTTCAGTTATTTGAAAAATCATAATTCGCTTAAAAAATCGTAAATTTTCAAGATTTTATACAAGTTGCCTTTTTTCCAAAGGCAGTCTAGTCTGCAGAAACAATAAGTAATACATCAGCATGTTGCTTGAGATTTTTGTTATCCTGTTGACATACTGCCTCAAGAGCAAAATAAACTGTTCCCTTCAAAGCTGCCAATTCATTTTGTTTTTACTTTCCAGAACAGTTTGATGAAGGCGCCACCTAGGCTAGCGACTTGACATTTATAAATGGAAGTATTGCTTATCGAATAAAGTATGCTTCATAAGTTCCATTATTCATTGGTTGCCTATTATTTGGAGACTTTCAGCATGATACAAGTGTCTATATAAATAAAATGCAAGTTGAAACACAGAAGGTCAATCAAACTCACGAGTTGCAAGTGTGGTTGCTTGAACTCTTTCACAAGGTCCAGCTCCTTTACTTGTCACTGCGCATACGTCAATCAAGTAAGCTGTCATCGGATGAAGATCTCCTATCTTGGCAAAAGACTCTGGAAAAGGGATAGTTTGATTGGCTTTGTGTCCTTCAAAGTCAACGTAAATTATTAGTGTGCCAACTGGATTGCCATTCCATTGATTTTGTTTGAGGTTCTCCCAGTTTACGATAGCAGTGAACGGTGAATTTGCAATTGCTTGAACATTCTGTGGAGGTGTACTTGGTACTGGCAAAAGAAAATCATTGTATTGCATAAAGAGGGGAAAAGGAAAATATAAATCTGCTTATAAACCGATTTCTATTTTTCATATTCTCAAAATTACATGATATTTCTCTCTTTCCAAACAGAACTGATGTAAAATAATAATAAGTACCACGAAAAAAAAGACCAAACGTGAATCCATTCGACAATTCCTTGTTACATCGTGACAATATAAAATCCGATTAAATTTAACAAATCAGATAAATAGAGAAATCCATTACATTCGGCAATTCCTTATAACAAATCATTGGCAAGTCCATTATAATAAATGTTTCAACTTTAGCTAGACTCAGTGGCGCAGAGAGGGGGGGGCAGGGGGGGCAATTTGCCCCAAGGCCTCGGCCTGAAAGGGCCCCGAAATTATTTTGAAAATATTTTGAAAGAGCAACAACAGAAACAACTGAAAGAGCAAGAAAAATTAACTTTTGAAGGACGAAAGAACTGAAAAGCATAGTTTAAACAAAAGTGCGTAGAATAAAAGTTTGCTTTCATTTCAAATTTTAATATTGTGTGGCTCACCAGAAAAAAACAGTCAGAATTGAAGGAACAAATTTTTAAGTCCTCTCTAATCAGCTAAAAGGGTGTGGTCAAAGAGCGTATTTAAATCGCTTAACTTTAGAATTAATGCCTTTTATTACATTTTATGATATTTTAACCATATTCTACAACGTGCGCAAACGTTTGGAAATAATAGGCGTTTCCATTTTAAAAAGGGCGTGGTCTCGAAAATTTTTTGTATCCGACTCTAGGGCCCCAACCGGGACTTTGCCCCAGGGCCCAGGCCGCCTCTCGGCGGCCCTGGCTAGATTATGTCTAGCTTTCACATTATGTCTTTTTGGTCGTGGTACTTATTAAAAGAGTTTTATTATCAAGCTGCGGTTCCAAAGTCTCAGTCCAGAACGAGCCATGTAGCAGTGAAACGTTTCTAGCTCTTACCGTAATAAACCTTACAAACCGTTAAAAAATGTAGAATCGTGATAGCAAAGGAAACGTCCAAGCTAATTTAACACTCGAAGGCGAGCCAATGGAATTGAAGACCGTAAAAGTTGTGTGTCATCCTTTGGTTCAAAATGATGACAAAACCTAGCAGTGGGTGATATGCAATTGAAAAAATCCATAAAAATCAAATGCATCTCTTGAATTCAAATTTTAATGTCATTTGCTCTTGACATGATTGGAAGAATTGAAATAAGTTTCTCTGAAAGTCGTTATTTATATAATATATAGCCTTTTCCTTGAAAATATTTCTTTGTTAATCGTGTTATTTATACCTGAATCTTGCGTGTAAATCGTCATTGCATCACTCGCCAGTCCATTTCCGTTTTCGTTGTAAGCGAGGACACGAAACATGTATTCGGTGTATGACAGAAGGCCTCTTAACGTCACTGTAAGGTTTGTAGTTGCAATGTTTTGGTAGTGCTCTGATCTTAGGAGCTTTTCTTTGTAAAACAGTATGTAGCCAGTTATGTTTCCATTGCGGTGGTTCGTTGGAACTTGTTCCCACTTTGCTATGACCATGTTAGGTTCTGGAGCACTCAACGCAAAGTTGATTGGAGAAGCAGATGGAACTAGAATGCAAAAACCTCGTTAACAAAAAAAGAAAAAAGAGTCAGTGAAAAATAAGCTACAACTTATTCGAGCGTCAAAATTATCAAAAGGTTAGTTATATTTGTTCTCACTCAAGTATCAGGCATAAAATGTTAGTATTTTGCAGTATCAGCATAGGAAGGTGATCCAAGGTGATGAAAAAAGACTCGTTTTATAGAATAATTTGTCTTTTACCAATCAGCGACCGTGAAAAGTATTTCAGTATGCTATGCTTCCGCTATGTTGCGCCATCTTCAAATTTTACGGTACCAAAAATATATTTGGTAACTATTGTATTAGAAATCTTAATAATATAGCTTAGCGTACCAAGTTTAGATGCAAATGAATTATTGGAGCTTATTATCTTAAGCTTGCCAAGGTATTTGTCTTCTTCTACCGCATCTTGCAACAAAAGCATCTGGAAGGAGTCTAGACCAGTGAAATACAGAGTGAATGTTGCCACAATGCTTCCTCTCCTAAAATGGGATTGAAAGCCTTTAAATATACAAAGTACAGAAAAATATGAAGAATATCTTAATGAGTAAGACTGAACCTTTCTTATTGGCAATTGCAAATAAACTCTTTTTAGAGACTTCACAGACATCTTTTATCAAAACTTCATGGGAGGACGTTGCAAACTGCGTTTTTCGTCTGACAATACTCAGAGGACAAATGCTTTAATGATAGTTGCATAAATAAAACTTTTGCATCTAAGCCCAAGTGTGGACCACGTAAGGAACTAGTTAAGGCGAAAAGCTTCCGATCAACGCAAGATCCTTTTTGAAGATCAGTGACAGTTTTGTTTTAATATCCAAAAGTAGCAATTTGCAAGAATGATCTCTTAAATAATTTGTGTAGCTAGTGATAAAGAACAATATAAAATTAAAGAATATGCCAGTTATGAAACCCTTAATGATTGATATGAGGTTTTTATAGAGAAAAGAGATGTTAATAGATTAATTTCCAGGGAGAGGGGGTGGGGGTGGGAGATTGATATTTTGAATTGTTAGTAATGCACAGACTCAATTTGTTCAGATATCATTGTCAGTGAGTTTGTTGGCCTAATGAAAAAGAGAATTAAAGCAAATCTTGGAAGAATGAAACACTTGATGATTGATATGAGGTTTTTATGGAAAAAAGAGATGTTAATAGATTAATTTCCAGGGAGAGGGGGGGGGCTGGGAGATTGATATTTTGAATTGTTAGTAATGCACAGACTCAATTTGTTCAAGTATTATTGTCAGTGAGTTTGTTTGCCTAATGAAGAAGAAAATTAAAGCAAATCTTGGAAGAATGAAACACTTAATGATTGATATGAGGTTTTTATGGAAAAAAGAGATGTCAATAGATTAATTTCCAGGGAGGAGGGGGAGAATTATATTTTGAATTGTTAGTAATGCACAGACTCAATTTGTTCTGGTATCATTGTCAGTGAGTTTGTTGGCCTAATGAAGAAGAGAATTAAAGCAAATCTTGGAAGAATGAAATTGGTAGCTAAAGTTTTTGGATTTTTCAAGAGAAAAAATTCACAGATTTTCACAGAAAGTTGTATTGCCTGCATTGTTGATTTAGGCCACCTTGTTGATTTATTCTAAACCAAGCTTCTTCTCTGTATGGTTCGTATTTTCAATCTTCATGCACCTTTAATGAAATCTAAGTTGAGCCTTTTACCTCAAATTCTGTATAGAGCAACTCAGAAAAGAGTTATTAAAGCTTTCTCCTTGGTATATGGTTTGTATCTGCAAAAAGGATTTTTTACAAAGCTTAATGAAATGAATTAATATATTTATGATTTCATATAAAAAGGCTATATCTTGTATTAGCTAACATAGTAAGAGATGGAAAATATTGAAAAATACAGCCTCAGCATCTGAAGAATTTCCTATATTCTTCTCTAGTCTAAATTACTCTAGTCAACAATACTGGAATTGCATCCATTTATCAGTCTCAAGGTAGTAATTAAGAGTAGCAATCTGGAATTTTCTATCAAGCATAAATATAAATAGTTTAACGCAGTACACTCTAACAGATAGTTTCAGTTACTTCTTTGACCAACGAATTTTGTTAAAAATGCCTTTCATCCATATTCATATATATCTTTTATTGAGAGTCAATTAAATATCAAAAATTTCTGAAAAGAGCATAAGAGACAACATACATTTTGATTCAATAAATTGTAGAACTCTTGATAATCCTGTGAGCCAGGAATATCCAACTGCTCTTCCCATACTCTGTCAAACCGAATATCGGACAGCGTGATGTTTTCATCTAGAAATGAATAAAGATTATGACCATCTTTACGTCTCTCTTTGCTTACCGTAATACTAGTAGTTTCCTCTTCATGTAAATGTCAAAAAAGCGCTCAAATAACGTAAAATTGGATGCAAAATGCTTGTCTAGCTACAGCATGATACAGTGGCAACACTCAACTAGCCCGCTTGACCCGTAATTGAATGGCATAGCAAACACACAAACAATATAAGAAATTGATTATGTTACAAAGGAAGCAATTGCCTCCAGTACCTCCTAATATATCGATACAATCGAGCAGCACCCTTGTAGAAAGAACTTTCCTCCTGACAGCATTTGCCTTATGATTATATATATATCAATGGCTCTGATGAAGGCTTTAAGCCGAAGCAGAAGAAATTAAAACTGCCTTGGCTACGGTGAAATCTCCAGTGTTGGCTTCGGAGATTCCTCACTCATTTCATTGGGCCGTTTGGCTCAGTGGAATGAGCGTGGGTTTTTGAAGCAGCAAACTGGAGCTCGATATCGACCAAGAGTGGCTCGATACAATTGGGCAGCACCCTTGTGGAAAGAATTTTCCTCCTGTCAGCATTTGCCTTCTGATTATATATAAATATATATATATATTTATTGCTGCAATGCATTGAACAACAGATTATCTAATTCGAAACACAAAATCTTGCTATCACTAGTCATCAAGTGCTTTCTTTAAATTCGCTACAATTCTCTTTGCAAATTATTAGATTGTTGATCAGCTTCAGGTGCTTTCATAACCATCAAATTTTAGCATAAATTTTCTTTTGTTATAGGTAGTTATTGTCATTTTCAACAAACAACATAAATGTCGATGATTTTACAAATATTGCTACATATATAAGCAATGATTTCCAGACAGAATGGACGGTTAAAGAAAGTCGAAAATATTTTTATCCTTTTCTTGATTTTCTTACAGATTTCTTTCTCATTCGTATGATTATCTTTTTCCAGTTCAATTTTCCTTTTCTTATTTCTCTTTCCTTAAGATCAATTTTGCTTTTAAAAGGTAATTCCCTTCCAAGTTGAAGCAGTGCAAAAATGTGATGAAATAGCGGTGATTTGTTTACCTGGGCAAGTATGTGGATTACAAGGAACTTTTTCTTGTGAATCGCCAACACAGCTTCGTCCCCTATGAAGTGGAGCAGGGTTGGTACAATATCTCCATCTCCTATACCAACCACCATTGCAAGGCTTGTCACAGGCTGACCATTCTGTCCATTTTGTCCATTCACCGTCAACTGTTGAAGATAAATTTTTATTCAGATTAGGTATGATGTCTGAAGGTCTTAACAGAAGGTCCTAAGAAATGAAGCATCGAGATGCTAATCAGAAGTTGCAACCTTTCAACCTCCGAATAAAACCAACAATCCGCTATTTGGTATATAGAACAGGATGGATTTTAGTTGCTAGTCCGAGCTACTCTTAATGCGATCATTGATAACGGTTCCCTAAACCCGATTAACAAAGACGATTTGGAAAAATGCACCTTAAAAGGTATTTACAAGCCTTACCCGGACAGTAAAGAACATTGCACACTGCGCTTTGTAGCTTATCACCAAAGCAGTCTAATCCATCGTGTTTAGGAACCGGGTTATTGCATGACCGAGTGCGGCTCTTGTTCCCTCCGCCACAAGACTTGCTGCATCCGGACCAAACCGACCAATCAGAGAATCCACCATTAACTGTTCAAAACAAAGTAACAAAGTATACACAAATCATATCTCTATCATGGAAAGCCAATCTGCTTGTTTTAGAATGAATTGTCACCAATTTTGCTACTAAGATCTGAATATAAAAAAGGTAAGTCAATGCAGAATTCAAACGATGAATCATATAACGAACCAGGGCAGGGCTGAGTGTTGCATTCTCTAGTTTGAAGACTTTCTGCATTACATGGAAGTTCATTGCATATTCTTTGTCTTTCTTGCTTCCCTGTGTTGCATAATGCTGTACATTTTGACCAAGGCAACCATGAACCGAAATTGTCTTCATCAGCTTTGAAAAATTTTGTATATATCAGTCATAAAAGATGTCAAAGATACAAAAAGTACCTCTAATGAAATTTTTTTCTTTTTTTAAGTTCAAAAAACCTTTTGAAAGCACAATTTAAAATACAAAGTAGACTCTAAATTCTGTAATGAGCTTCAAGATTAGCACGTGGTTCTTGTAAAAAGTACTTTTGTTGCCACTTATAAAATGCCACATATTTTTAATGTCTAAAATGCAACGTATTTAAGAAAATGCAAAATTTGAGCTGAAAATTTATGAAAGTGCTATTTTGAATACTTCAGGTAATGTTAACATTGGCATTCCAAAATCATACCAATGGGGCTCTATAATCGCGTTTAATCCTTTTCTTTAATCTAGTATTTGTGTTGCTTTATTCAAATATGGTAATAGTATAAAACCATAGTAAGCAATGAAAATCCTTCTGCTCAATTAACTAAATATATGAATGGTAGGTAATGGTGGAAAAATACCAGATGCGACACATCTGCAGAGTCTTCTAATTTGCATGTTGTTAAACCCTTCAATTGTACATGATATTGTATCATTCACGTCAATGTAGCCATAACATTCACCATCGGTAACATTGTAACATGGATCGTATGCATATCGCCATGACTTGTGTCCTGTTTTTCCTTTGCATGTCACTCCATTGCTTACAAAAGCATCCTCTCTGTTTCCTGTATCAACACGTTTTGAGCAAAACATTCCTGTGTAAAACCATACGACTATTTAAACAGTGTAGAAAAGAGGGAGCTGACACAAACACTTGATTGAAAGGTAATTGCAAATTTAGCATTCTTAGATAGGTAGAGGTATCAAATACCTCTAGAGAACTTGCAAATACTTTGGAAAAAAACATTAAAAGGGCGTTGTTGGTAAAATGGTCTATCTGAAGGTGAAATAGCACCTAAATTTATTTTCATGTATGTTATCATCGGTAAGTTGTACTAGAACATTGTTCATTGCCGTACGTCTGTAAAAGCTAATATTCCATTGTGGAGATTTTCCTTGCAATTTTTCTCATAATGGCAAATCAAAGATTTTTGTAAAGCGTGAAACAGCAATGACCTCTGGAAATTGGTCCAATTGACCCTGAACGACAGACTTGGAGATTGTGGACAGTCTGTAAACAAAGGCGCCAACCTTTGACTGCAACGCAAGTTGAACAAATCCATGTTATAATGTTGTTTCTTTATGTAGTCATTGCAAGAGCAAAAACTCTGTCACAACACAGAAACTATTCGTTACACAAAAAGGTTGTGTTGCAAGTGACAAAAAGTTTGTGTTGCAATGCCATTGAGAGACAGATTACAAGAAAAATTCTGCTTTACAGCACTAGTGTAAGAGTGAATATCCTTGCAACGAGGTTTTTAATTACTGACTGCTAGGCATATCTCTGAATAAATCTCTTTCTGTACATCTTTAAGCCTGTGACAGTGTGAAACGGATACATGACATTATTCAAGGATTTGCTTCACCCCTCAAGGTGAAGGAGGAAAAAAGTATACACAAACTAAAAAAGCCTGGTCCAGTCACAAAATTCTTACTTCATCTCAAATGTCCAAGATGCCTCAAATTCACAATAGTATTCAGCCATGCCCAGACAGTTGTATTGTGTGTCAGTTGTTCAACTGTACTCTGCCAACCAACAGGTGATAGAGCAAGGCTAACTGAAGGCTATTTATTTAGGAAGAAGCCAAAATAAGTACATATGATCATAAAAAAAAGAAAAAAAGGCAATTGAACCATGATAGATACAGACATTCGATTTGGAAAGGGAAAGCTGTACTTTTGATAGATTGCTTACCTTTTGACCTGCAAAATTCTTCACATTGCTGTCCAGGCTCTGCAAGATGCATTCCATGATTGACTGTCCCTCTTGCCTCAACAACTGTGAAAAAGTTTTATAGGCATGAGTGGTAATGTACAGTTTCACTGAAGCACATTTAAGCTTTAGGACTTTTTTTGCCCTACTTAATGATAAGGGGACTTCCACATAATGCTTTGTTTTTGTAGAAATATCATTATTTGACCAATCAATGTTTGTGCTTCTGGCATCATACAGAAATGTATCATAAATTCAAACGAAAATCAAGATATATAGAGTACTCAAAGTTTTCAGGAATTTTTGATAATCGTTTGTACAGCTGTTTTTTATAAGACTATCCAGTTAAGACTCGTTAGATTCAGAGACCTCGAGCGCGAGGTGTCTACTTTCATTCAGAGGTGTACCCAATATCATCCGAAAAATCTCTGATAAAGAGATGGCTGTTTTCTCCAAAACCTAAGACAGTGAGACTTAGATATGGGGTACCTTTACAAATTGGTAGAAATAACTTAAATAAGGTGTATTTAAACCAATCAAGGCTACGATTTCCTTTAGCTGACATCATCTGACAAACCAGACGCCCGCATGTAATTTGCCCACTAATTATGATAATTATGATATCAAAAGCGCACCACCTTAATGTGGCTCAAAAAACACGTAGAAGAAAAGAAGAATTTAGAATGTAAGGCCATTTACAACTTTTAATAGAAATGTTGGCAATTTTTCTTTACAATTTGTTCTCTTTTTATGTATTACCATTTTAGACAAATCTATAAATCTATTTTAAAGAAATCATATGACTAACTTAATCAATAAACGCAGTTTTGGACCAAAAAAGTGCGAGAAAATCATAGTGTAGCAGAGCAGGAATTCGTGTTCACTTTGTTTTGTTTTAATAAAGTTCATTATCATTTCGTATTTTATCTCAGTGAAAAGGGTATTGGGAGTTGACATATTAGTCAGAGGAAAGGAATTTTTTTTAGATCTCTCGGATTAGCTTGGGTACACAACTAAGTGAGAGTGGACACGCCGGGACTAGGGGCGATAGTTGTGTTAAGTAGTTGACCACCAAGAAACAATTCCAGCTAATTTTAAAGTCTTGTATACTTTTGTATACTTTTTTAATCAGAAAGTAGCTGTGTTTCGATATTTGATTTCTAATCAGAAGTCAGATTCAAACTCCCAATCTTTTCAAATGAATTTATTAAGTTTTTAACTTTTACTATTTTAATGAGTTTTATTGCATTGTTTCTAGACTGCACTCATCACAGCTGACAATACTTCATGTAAAGCAGGTCGTGTTTTTAACTGGTGAAATTGAAAAATTTTCTTTACTAGAAATTGCAGCATTGTGATATCGATAAACTTTTGTCCTCTTTTTAAATTTTATAAACAGTCAAAGAGTCTCTTGTTATTTTTCATTTCAGAAAATATTTTCTACCTGTCGTTGACCAAATATAAACGCTTTTGGATGGCTTCGGCCACAGTTTGTAGCGGGACCTTGAATTAAATGACAAGCTGGAGATGCCTCCTGGATCCAAGCTTGACTGTGTCATAGAATTAATATCACTGGACGCCTTGTTTTCAGCTATATTTTGTGGCAGTGTGCTTGCCAGGTGTCTTGTACTTGGTGTAAGCAAAACATTTCTGTAGTTTAGTGATGACGCAGTAAGGAGCGGTGTCCTTTGCTTGGTAGCAAAACTGAAAGCAGTTGTCACTGAGGGATTGACTTGCGCGTTCAAGCTTCTAGATGAGGTCGAGACTACGGATAATGTCGAGGCGGATGAGGTCGAGACGGCAGATGAAGTGAAGACGATAGATGAGCTTTGGACGACGAATGATGTCGAGACCACGAATGATGTCGAGACCACGGATGATGTCGAGACCACGAATGATGTCGAGACCACGGATGATGTCGAGACCACGGATGATGTTGAGACAACGGATGATGTCGATGTGACGGGTGATACTTGAGACGTATGAATACTTGAACTTGCAGTTGACATGGTTACTACAGTTGATGTTTGTGGAATTGGAATGGTAGATAAGCCTATTTGAGAAGAATGATTGCTTGATCAACATCTTTTATAGAAAAACAAGGTTTCAATTTCATGCTCAATAGCTGAATGTCAACAGAAGATATGTGGCTAGCACCTTAAATAAACTTTGCAATTTCTTTCCTTCGACGGCTGCCTTTTCTCCAAAGATTGTGATTTCAGAAGCCCTTCAAAACAACAAACAAACAAACAAATTTTGAAATCATAATTAGTGAGCAAATACTTTAGCGTTAAAATACCAAAAAGGTATAAGAGTGGGCCCTGATCTTCTTGCTCCATTCAAAAATATAAAGTAATATTGTTGGACCTTGACAAACAGATAAAGAAGAAGAAAAATGAATCACCACTTACTCCAACCTCTTGCAATACTGCACTGTCTGAGTTTCAGACTGTTGCCTTCATTATGCCAGCAATAGTCAGTGTGAAGGAGTTCTATTTTTGTATCACTTCTTAACTTAAATTCCATTCCTTGACAACCTACAAAAAAGTATAAAACTTATCGACTTAGACAGGGGCGTCATAGGTTGGGACTCTAAGGAGGGGGACAGTTTGCAAATTTTCCAACAACGGGTTTGAATTGAAAATTATGACATCATCCAGCTCATGCGCAAAATGCAGGAAAATAAGACAAATGATATCTATCATTTGCTGCATCACTTTTACAGATTTCAATAGTCGGTCAGAGAAAAGCCAGCATATGTATTCGAACATTGAATAATCATAATCATCAGAAATCAGTATCTGTGATAAACAGTAAAACTTGCAATAGGACTGACATTTGATATCTAAAGAATCTAAGGAAACTAAATGGACGACTTTCAGTGCATGAGTAGTCTCCTTAACAATGGCGTGTCTGCAAACTGGTGTCAGCTTCATCATAACCGAGTGCCAAGACGAACTCAACATTTATTTAACCTCTCTTGGCCCATTGTTGATTGCAGCCTGTTTTTTCACACACTTGAGCTTTAAAAAGGTGCACTTGCATTTAGTAATACCAATTTGCAAGTTTGCCATTCCTTGAAAAAATTTACAGCATGGATAGGCATACAGTGGAATAAAAAACTACGAGTTTTACTGTCTTCAGAAAACTTTTTCTGTTTATGTCTTCCTTCTTATACTGACTGGTTTCTTTGAACGTTCATGCTTTCCTATGAACTATGAATATTCTTTTGAAAACTTCTTGGCTGTACAGAACTTGAAAATGGCTTTGATAAAAGCAAAGATTTCACAAAATATTACTAAAAGCTTTGTCGTATGACACTCTCCAGAGTATAAAACGAAAGAACAAGAGTCCGAAAGAACATGATGGAAGATATATACCAATTTGTGGACCAAAAAAGGCCAATCAGAAAAACGCAAGCTAAGTTATTAAGCAAGCTAATTGATTTTTAAGCTTTTAATGACTTGACACTGTGGTTTACGAGGGTACCTTTCAAGTGGCATCAGTAAAATCCAGTTTTTTACGGACTCACAATTTCTCTACATACAGGTACGTAAAAGCTATTTTGTACCCAAGAAACTAATCAAATGGCTAACAAATTTGCACACGGCAAGAACAGATGTCGGGTAAGCAAAATGTTTCTCAAAATATTTGTATTTGCTCTGGTCCGTGTTTTATAGCCAAATACAGTTATGGGAGGGAAAAAATTATTTACAAATTTTGACAGGGTAGGTATAGCTTTAAGAGGAGGAGAAATTTGAAAAATCTGAGATAAAATTTGGTAGCTTAGGATCTGCACTGTCTGCTGATACAAGTCAGATTTTGTTACATTATACGCAAGGGTACAAAATAGCTTTTGAAGATGGTACACTTATTTAGGGAATAAAGTTGCTTGAAAAGTATCATTTTACAATTTTTGCCAATTATTTTAATATGGTTGGATTCGCTAAATTCTTGTGCATCGAATAATGTATAGTTAAATCCAATTCCATTAACAGAATGCGCTTAGGGAGATAAAACCAAATATCATGTCAATAACGTTTACTGTAACCTTAAATTGTACTAGGCCTATACTTACAGAGCCATAGCTTTATACGGTTTGGCAATTTCCATTTTTTTGAAATGATAAAAAATCGGCATTAGCGACATGTTATGTGATTCACTGTTGTAAATAAGCATTTACAACAACGAATGCTCTCAAATTTACGACTTGAATCTCAATAGAGTAGGACATCAAAGTGCGTGACTCGAGTAACTGCTTCGATAATAGAGTTGTCTACATCAGAAAAGAGGCAAAAGAAGTGAAAGGTTATACCATGACTTTCTGCTTTGCTTTACTCCTTTCATTTGCTTTACGCAATGGAAAATATAAGTTTTTTCAGCACCTAATAAGGGAACGTTTATTTTACTCAACCGAAATGAAAAGGGACTGGAATTAAAAAAGCCTTGAATTTCTCTTTATTTCATCTTCATCGCATTTCATTTGGAAATATGAATATTGAAAAGAGTTGCAAATGCAGTGTGCTGCCGCCTAAATAAAATTTTGTTTTGTCATCCAAAACTTTGTGATTTAAGGTCATAAAAAGAATTGACTTGTTTTGATCTCTGAACACACCAATTTTGGATGTTGTTGAAGTAGCTCAAGTACCCTTTCATTCTTGACTTAACAGCAGAATAAGAATAGAGCAGAAGTTTTCATGTTTCATCCTGGAAAGGAATGTTTTAGTTCCAATGTGTTACAATACATCTTACGAATTGATCAATGAGGCCGAAATTTTTTGCACGGTAAAAATGTTTTAGGCAAAAGGAACATCTTGGGTATTTTATATGATTATAATATCCTCGCTAACAGCACAGTCAAGGCCCGCGCTACTGACCCTAAACTTGATGGGCAAGCAATGTAAAGAAATTTTCCTCTTACCCCGTCTTGCCCCGATTTGGCAAAAATTTTGGTGACGATGGTTGACGTGTGGATTTTGGCTGATTGTATTTATAGTAATATAAAGGCTTATCTGTATAAATAAGCTGAGCTGATTTTAATTTTGTTTCAAACCAAAAGGTAGGTAGGCCATGCCCCCTGCAATCTGTCCCCTTGTAGCGAAGGCCCTGCACAACCGCACGTCGATCTGTTTCAAGCACCATTCCTGTGAAGCATTTTGGTATCGTTTCTATTGATAACTATATCCCTAACTATCTCTCTAAAGCAAGCTTACCAACTGACAAAAGAATATCTCGTTCATTCAAATCTTCTAGCTTGTCTGCATCGTCAATTCCAAGGCATTTTTCTAATCCATTGATAACAGCAAACAGTTGTTTATTGGAATACCATTTAAACGCTGTCGAGGACGTTGGAGAGTTTATGAGAGTGATCTTGCTACCATCATTGTTGACGACAAAGCCATCTGATATTGATACAATCTTTGTTATGTCAAAAACAACTGAAAGAAAGAACAACATATAAATTACCCATCACAATGTACCAATATTTCTATGTTAATTGATAACAAATTTTACAACTTTGCTTTGGAATCTATTATAGACCGGAGACAACAGAATGATATTTTAGTAAAATTATTTAGGACAAGAGAAAAAGAATTACAATTTTGTTAAACGTTGCTAATTAACTATTTTGCAGCAAATTTTTCAAGTTAAGAAATTTCTTCAACTCTCTTATCCTTTTGAAATCCGGCCTAAGATTCAGCAAAAAGTATTGAAACCTGGGAACTATTTTCTCATAGATTTATTGGGTTGAGAAAAATGTGTTTATCATACTGGAAATCTACCAGAATAAGCATAAAATGGAGATTTTGCAGGGAAATGTCAAAGAATTTTTCTGTCTTCTAAAATCCAAATTGTGGCAATGGGACAATGTATTCAAAAGTCATATTACCAGAACTTTGAAAGTTAAACATCAACATATTGAATAAAAATGAATCTGTCTTGAGTGAGTAAAGTAAAGGGTAAAATAATTTTGATATTGACAGTAATTTTAGGGTGCAGAGCAGATCAAATTTCATAAAAAATAGCTTTTCTCTAATGTTTGCAACAAAATTAAATGCAATAGTTTGTAACTGGATATAACTTTTTTCGTAATTTAATCGATTCCTAGAAAATGATTATTTTTGTAGCCATGTTGAGATTGCTTTTTCACTTTTTGGTATCCATTCCAATCCTGCTTGATTAATTTAGCAAGGAAATCCTTCTCAATAGTGTGAAATTCTAAAAAGGGGGTCATCACCAGCCCCTCCCACTTTTGTCAAAACATGGTCTACATAATTCTTCTAAAAACGGATAAAAAGGGCTAAAATTATGTTGGAAAATAGGTCGGAATATGTTTGAAATTTCTTATTGGACTCAAGCATATGCTAAAAGAATAATATATGGATAAGAACTTAAGAAATGAGAACCGCAATGGTAAAGAAATGAGAACCACATTTTTTCAAATAGAATGCTCGACTTTTTGGATTAAATACTCAAAACAGCACAAACGAGATATTTGAAACTGACTGAATTTAAATTTTCAATTACCAGTTACTCTAAGTAAAAGATTTTAAGGTTAAATACTTACGATGGGAATTGTATTTTGAAACAGGGCATGTTCCTACAAGTAGAGCAAAAATGTTTGCAACTAGTTTCTGTCTTGAATCGATATCAATATAACTTTTTTTACTTTTCTAAAAGAAAAACTGCATATACACTTGTCAGAAATTACTTTGAATGATTTTCCAATATAAAATGTTCCCTTAATCAAAAGCTTCCTTAAGTATTAACAAACAAGTTTAGGCTAGAAGCTCTTGTAATTTGCAGGTTTCACCTCCAGGTGGAATAAGACAAGATAAAAAATTCAAATATTGCATATTCCTTTACTTCCTTAAAATGTTACAGTAACTTCAGGGATTGCTCCAGAATATGGTCACACTGATTAATTAGATGGTAGTAAGGGAAAATATAAACCTTGTAAGTTTTTGTATCACAGTCGAATGAACTAGAATAACCGTAGATCAGACTCGTAGGAGTAATAATCTTTCAACACTGACTTTGTTTGTCAAAACAAGATCACATTGATAGCTTACAAGGTTTCAAATTATAGTGTGCCGTACATTGATATGTGTTGGAAAAACATGCTAGATATCTTTTCCCGTATCTATAAATATTTGTTACAATTGCCTATGTGCTTCAACATCCCTAATGCTCAAAGGGGAGCAGAACGATGTGACAAAGGGCAAGAAGACACTGCAGCGAAGGTTTCTGTAGAGGCAAAAGAGTTGGAAGAGAATAGATATGGCATAAAATGGTGGTTTCATGGACATGGGTTTTCGTTTCCGTTTCCATGATACCATATTTGCTTTGCATGCTTTACCGTAATAAAGAGCTGTCAAGCGACTGGGAAAAACTCAACAAAGGCCTTTTGTTTCTTAGTACAACTTTGACATTAAAGACATTCAGAGTAATTTTGGTCGTGAAGCTATTAGCGGACTAAAATCCCCCGTCCTGCCAAAATAGGCAATAAATTCACAATAAATGTCAGTTACCATGTAAATCTTTATAGTTTCGAAAAATCGGCAGTCACCATTTTACGTTGCAGCAATAGCTAGATCTTTAGTTAGCCGACATTATTTCTAGCGGCAATGTTGCCTGTTGTTCCCTTCAACTAGAATCCACAAGGTGGAATTTGTAACATTAAACTGCCGACTAAAGTTCCCCGTTTCTACCAAAATAGGCAATAAATTCACAATAAATGACAACAATCATGTAAATCTTTATAGTTTTGCAGAATCGGCAGTCACCGTTTTGTGTTGTAGCAATAGCTAGATTTTTAGTTAGTTGACATTTTTTTCGCATCAATCTTGTGGCTTTCAATTCATGTCTTTGCTTTTATTTTAAAAGATAAGTATAGATAGATGGAAGAAATCGATAATTTTACTGATGGATAGTTACTCATTTATCTTTATTGGATGCTAGTCTCTTCCCTACACCTAACCTGTTCTTGACATTTTCTGAACTCAATATTCAACTGCTGGCCTCGTGTTTCCCCACAATGTAGAGTGTTTGCGCCTGCAAACCCGAGCCGCCATGACCAGCGTCATACACATTTTCTATATTGCTGTTTCGTTAGCAATGGGCTTTGTGAAAACGAGGCTTGTTGTCAGAATCGTGAAAATTTGCATTGCAAATAAAGGGTGTAGATGTTTATATCCACACGCAAATCGGTTTAAAATTTGAGCTAAATGACTATTGGCCCGAGTGCTCTCTCGAATGGGTCAATTGTAAGCATGTCTTGTGACAGAATTCTTGTGACAACGCTGAATGGCACTCCTAAAATCAGCATATATTGTTACTACTCTTGTTTGTTCTTTCAGAATCCACTTTATTTTGTTAGGCTATCTTTTTCTTCTTTTCCTGGGTATTCCCTACTGGAGTTGCCATTTTGATTCAGCCTCGGTGTAACGAAAAATGTACCTACGACCACGGAGATCAATGGTACCTACTTAATGTCAGCATAGGGGGAAAATGCTTGACGCTGGTCATGGCGGCTCGGAATTGCGGTTGCATTTACTCCACATAGCTTCAACACATGCAGTAAAAGCATCTAAGTCAAAGTATAAAAGTTAACCGTTTTCGGAAATCTCGTATACATTTTGCTGGATGAGACTTACAAAACATAAATGCTTAATCAAGGTAAATCAAGAAAGAACTTTTAACCATTATTTTGAAACAACAAACAAAATTGCAGGTAAATATCAAAGTAGGTAACTACATTGAAATATTCAGATGAAAAATTGCCAAGAAAAAGGTGTAACCTACAGAAAAATCTAACTTTTTCTACAAAATGAAACTATTGCCAAAGCAATTGCCAAGCATCAAGGTTTTCGCTGGTTATTATCATTTCTTTTGAATTTATTGCCTTTTTGTGGAAAGTGAAGGAAACTGGCCGTTAGTGTTGTTTATGAATGTGACTTTGTGATAGATAAGGAATGTGAAAAGCTGAAAACATCTCTTAAACGTATCGTTTCCTAATCGTAATGGCAAAAACATGTCTATTTTCCTGGATTCTCAAAACTTTGGTTGCAAAATGTCCTTCGCTTTCTAAAGGTTGGTGGGTTTTCGTCCTTTTTCTGCTTATTGCATCTAAATCATGGTTGATTTAGTTTTTTTGTGGTGATGCTTGTGTGAAAACATGTACTTGTATGCAAACGCACTTCCAGGTTGTAATTTGTATCAGTTTCAAATTAAATTTTAATCAAGACACTGTTAAAGCCTTTTTTCATTTACAATGTCAGCTTGGTGCTGCCCTTGTTTTGATTGTATCGACCTATCGATGCATCTTATATCATTCAAAACAATGTGGTGTATTTGTCCTGAAATCAATTTTGTAATAATGGGTACCGTAAAAAGGCATTGTTTCTTCTGAATATGTACTAATGTGGCATAAATCATGTTTCGTAGGGTTTCATTTGTAAGCCATCACTGATTTGTGTGTTTGTTGTTGTTTATTCTCGTCGCGTTGCGGTGTTCCTTATATACTGATATTTTATCGATTTTTCGTCGCAAGATTTCCTCCGGAGTCCATCGAGCTGCCTGCTATCGTAACTTCTCCTTTATTCGCACACTTTCATTTGTAACCATTTGTTAATTCACTCGTCAAAGAGCTCACTTCTCTTCGCGTATTTGACAGCCCTATAGGCGCATACATAATGACGTGGAAAAGTTCAAACAAAAGACAAATTATCTGTGTAAAGATGTATTTTCTGTTCCTTGATTGTTAGAAATTAAAGCATATTTCCAACCTTTTTAAATTACACATTAGTCTTATTACAATCGTGGGAGCCTTCATATTCTGTTATGAGGGTGAGCAGTGTTGACATCTGTAGCCCCTGTTATTCATCGCGCGCATAGCAAGCTCATTTTCCCCAATGCTCTAAATATTCTTTTGTGACGTATGCCTACGTTGCTAACTTTTATAATACACATTGCTAGTGAATTTTCTTACCGTTTGCCATGAATTTATATTCTGGTGTGCCGCATGATGCTCTGAGAGTTGGCGAATTTTCCACCTCGCTTAAGCAATATATTGAAGAACTGGATTCTACCTGCAGAAATCCAGTAGTTCCATTTGTAATGGTAGCACAAGATCCTGGAAATACAAATTTTTTATTTACATACAATAGGGTCAGGGAGACATTTTGTAATTACTTATGAACGATATACTCAAACAATCTTCAAACAGGCAAAAATCATAAAAATGATATCTCTAATTGACCCGACCCGTCTACCAACGGATCTTGGTGCCCTTTCCTCAACCAAATAGAATCACATTGATTATAAGACAATGCCTTAGCATTCCTATAATGTCATGAATGTTTTTCATGGCCAAGCACTGAAATGTTTTCCATAATTCCTCAAACACACCCATTTTTAGTCAATTTTTTAGCAAGGACAAAATAATCACTGGCATTTGTTCCTTTAATCAAATTATGCTAAGTTTGCCAGCAGTCTATACAACCCACTTTAATCCTAAACATTTCCTATCAAAAATTTGCTACGTAAGTAACACTGAAGTAAGCATTACTTTTGATTCAAGGCTTGATGACAGTTACTACTTTGTTTTGATTCATCTTTACTTTCTTTGACACGAACAATTCGTCTCTTGATAACAATTCTCTTACGATTAAAGAAATCCTAATCCAAATCCTATTAAATTGAATTTAAAAGAATAATGAAATAAATGCAAAAACACTTGATTAAGCATTTAGAAACCTGCATGACATATTCTGACATGTTTGTTGAAAGATTCATATCGAAAAACATTCGAAAATCATACTACACATTAACATAGTAAGTTACGCAGTACTAATGCCTATTTCAAGTACATTTGTTAAGTATTATATAGATCAATAGAAATCAGCAAGGATTTTGCCTGTGTTTTCTGATTAAAGAGGCTCAAGTCCACTATTTTTGATATTTTAAGTTTTAGACCTTGAAATAAAGACGCATTTTGCATGCTTCGAATTAAAGTAGTGAATTAAGTGCACGTAAAACAATTGATACGCCATTATTTGTATTTTTGTTTTGGTGCTCTTTGTAACTCCAAAGAAATCATCACCCTATTGTACCTTGGCTAAACAAGAAGATAGTCGAACCTCTAGCAGAGATTTCTGAAAGGGTCGAAGAATTGGAAAATAAATTGAAAAAAATCTAGCATTAGTTTTGTGACTGAAATGAAGATTCGCAATGCTCATAACACCAAGAAATTACCCAACCCTCTATACTCTCTCTTCGATAACAGTGATGTTTGAATGAACAAGAAAAAATAATCTTAGGGAAATGGTTTATAGAGCCTAAATCATCTCATTCGATTTGAAAACTTAGCGATAGTTTTAGAAAAAGTAGCATTAGCCGTTTCAAGAAAGTATGCTTTGACCAGGCCACCTCTCTGACTATAGAATAAAAAATTTTAGAGACTTTTATATCCCAGAATTGAATCTAGATAACGTAGTTGGGCTTTTAGTACTCTGCAGAAAGTTGAAATAATAAATTGAGAACAGAAAAATAGCACTCTTTTAAACAAGAGAGTGAAAAAGGTTTTCAATAACAGCTCCATGAACAATCCTTTGAAGATGAGTGTATTCTCTTCCAAGTTATTGTGATTTTGAATATGCTCTTTATTTTTTAGTTAGTCTCTTCTTGTTTAGCCGTTTTCTTATAATCGTCAAGTGATATATATCATCGAGAAAAGCTTCTTGGGAAAATATTTTCCTGTTCATGGATGAAAGTTTTAATATCAGGTTGATTTCAAATCTAGTCAAGTCATGGGGTATAAAGACAACGGCGGTAATAAACATAGAATATGACATTAACTACATACCTGAAGCTATCTGCAATTTGCTGCCATCTGAGATTGATCCACCATAGCAATAATAAGCATTGTAGAACGAAATCTGATTATTTTCAAATTTAGGTCTAGCCGAGGTACGGCAACATCCGGTTACAGTTAGTTGAAGATCATTTCCCAAAGTGTCTGGCTTAAAACAAAGTCTCCCTTTCTTGCTGATGATAAACAAGTAAGGAAATGGTTCTAGAGAAATAAAAAGGCTTCATTTAAAACTAGAAGCAGAAACAAATTTTCTGGCGTCAAAAAAATATGACAGGTTGTTGCTATAAACTAATGCTACGTTTTTCAGCAAGGGAGAATTTTCCTAGAACGGGACTTCAAATGAGATTCAGAGAAATGACATGCTCAGAAACAGAAATTCAGCGAGTAGAATTATGTTTTAAAGCATGTATTCAGAGGAATATTAAGCTTTCAAGGTCCAAAATCTCTCCTTCCAAGCAAAATGGCCTACTCTTCAATGACTCTTCATGGATTCCGGTGTATTATTCGCCATTTGTTTGTTGTCGCTGGGTATGTTTTACCGCCAGTGTTCGCAAGCTCGGTAAAAATTAGATCTACCGTTAGAAGTATGCCGCTTCAAGTCAGGCATTACGGCTGATGAACCAGAGAAACCTGTAATATCATTGTCTTCAAAACATACAAAAAACCTTTACATACCATGAAAAGGATGAGTAAATGTGAAGTAATAGCTGAAAAGGATGCTGAAGACAATTCTGGAAGGCTGCAAGAGAATGGAGCGATTAATGAACATTGAAGTCTTGTTCGAAAAACCGACCGATGAAGGATTCTTTTCAAAAGCTGGATGAAGTCATCTATTGAGATCAGTGGCATAAATCGAAAATTTCCTAGCACAAAGAAATTATTGAGATTTTCCGACAAAATTTTAGCGAGAGTTTTTAGATATAGTTACATTCAGCCGTCAAGTATTTCCACTCAAATTAACACTTAGAAAGAAAACAAACAACCATTTTATATTTTCGAGGAAATAAGATATTTTCTGAAAAAAATAACTGCTTAGCTTTACAGGGGATTTTGTCCTGTTTTGACCCCCTCCATCTATGCTGAGATAGTATGTTAAAGGAGCGATTTCTTAAAAATTCAATCTTATCACAAAGTCAGAGCTTAGCAAATTGATAAAAAGAGAGTTAAAGAATGAATTTGATGATTACCTTCATACTCAAAGTTTCCCATCAGTCAAACACCTGATGCTGTAAAAGATTGTTTGTGACTTTAGAAACAGATACCGCAGACTAATTTTGATTTTCGAAATGAATCTATTGAATAGCTGATACAAGAATTATTCCCAATGACCAAGTTAGGTACCATAATTTGTGGTCAATCGGCATTTTACTGATTTCAACCATACCTATTGATGAGATTAATAATTTACGATCAATATTGATAAGAGCCATGGTAGCATTTATGCCAATGGCGGTTTTAGATGTTTTTACCATTGAATAGATAAATGGATTTTCCGCCGTGACCCTATAAGCTGCCAATGGGCTTCATTACTTCTCTTTTGCTACGAAAAGGCCATAAATTATGTTTGACTGCCCTTGTCTCAGTGCTTAATTGTAAAAAACCCATTTCATATTTAACGATACACTTTATAACAACACCAAGGCTAAATTGGCTGAAAGGAACTTTTCGTCCAGTCCTTTAACGGCAATTCTTGGTCAGATTGTGACAGACTGGAACAAAGCACAAAACTTTTATTGTGATACCTAGGGGAGTGGAGAACATTTCAAGAAGGTGTGCTGCTTTCTGTCGATTCCGGGGGTAAGCTAGAGATAAAAATCGTATGACGTCATATTCTCTGCAAATCTCCGGAAAGGTTTTTTGGTGATAATTTATGTCAGACTGGTCGATGGGGAAAGTTTAGAGTACTGATTTATAACTGTTAAAGATCAACATCGTTGTTTTTCGTATATTTCTTAAAATTTCTGAAAACCGGGGGTCAGCACATAAACGCACAGAGAGGGTTGAACCAATACAGCCAGCAAAGTAAGGAGTTCTGATTCAGAAGTTAACCAAACAAAATTTTGGCATTGCTTGTAGACACATGAAGGAAAGAGCCTATTTATTTTACTCAAGTAATAGCATTAAGATTAGGAAATTATAATTAATTAAAACAATCAAATTTTTGCTTCTGCTTGACTGTTGAATATGAAGCAGGGTAGGGTAAGGGTATTCCTGCATGCAGTGAAAAATTGACAAGAAGCGCACAGAAAATGCTCAAGGAAGGATGAATTGTTGTTAAACGATGATAAGAATTGGCCAGGTTGCACGCTCTGGACGAGTTTGAAAAAGATTGTGAGCAGTTACCAACTCTGAGTTGTAAAAAAATCGAGTCGCAAGTGGTTTTCAGAAAAATGGACGGGAATTGTGTTTGCATTTTATTAAAGTGGCTTTCGAAATTATATAGCCGAAACTTTTTGTGGAGAATATCGTTTTAAGCACGCTTTAATTCTGAAAATGCAGACAACAAAATAATTTAGCAGATGATTATCGAATTTCAAGGACACCCGCTTATTATGATTAAGCTTTGAAAACAAGATGCGAAAATCTTATGCAGTTGTATAGAAAATAAATAATGGAGAAGCGTCTGTAAATTGGCCCAAGCTGCTGCCGTAGAAAATCAAAAAGATGAGCTTAACTTCGTTGAGCAAATTTATTCTCATCTGAAAAGAGGCATTAGCGTTAAATGCAAAATTTAAGGGATCTGTACAGAAGATGAAGTGCGAAACAGTGTTACAGGGCAGGCCAAGGTTGTTTGCAAAGCAAGGACCGTTCAATGTGCTATATCAAAATTTAGACAGCACATAGGGCCTAAGGCAACATCTGCTTGTCTTACAAGGTCTTATGCACATCCTCAGTCCTTTAAGTCAACTGCAAAAGTTTTTTCTAAGTTTAAGTGTCGTTAATGAAGCACTTTCGAGAGAAGATAGGCTCAAAGTTGTAATGCTGATGAGTATCGAAGAAGAGTTAAAAAAAGCAGAACATCATAGATGGCCTAGCATTTGTAAAGAAAAGAGTGAAATCAAGATCAGACAGAATTTTTGTTATTTCAAAGAGCTATACAGATTGATGGATTAATGTTGCAATTCCTTCACTGCAAACAAAAATGCTCACATCGAATGGTCAGAATATCTAACAGCTATTTTCAGTCTACCCGACAACCAGCCTGCAATTTCTGCTCTCCAGCCACACCTTTTCTTTTTTCAGAAACACCGTTACCGACCAGGAACACTAATTTTACTAATATGAAACGCCCATACCTAAGTTTCAAAATCACAGAATCAAGGTTCTCTGTATTTTTTCATGAAATATAGACGAATTACAAAATTTAAGCATTTCAACAGCAATTTATCATAGTAATGGTGTAGGTGTTTGGCAATTGCGGTCAAAGAATTCATCCTGTTACTCAACACAACTTGGTTTTGTCCAAATTTGAAAACTTTGAACATAAGTGTCCTCCGGCCTTTGCTGAAATAAAGCCTAGATACTAAAAAAGAATTGTTTTCACAGAGCAATATGCTTCACTTTACTTGCTGGGGACTCTCAGAAAGTTGATCAATTATTTGACTAATAAACAAGTGATTCGAAAAATTTCAAATCTATCCAATATTTCTACCAAAAATTTTGTAAGTCTTCTCGACTAGCCAAATGGTCTTAAGTCAAGCACAATTGGCTTTTAGTCAGACGTTTGTTGAGTATTTGTGTAAGTGACAACGTTGGCTTTAAGTTAAATATAACAAGGAATTTATGTAAATTTTACTAGAAAAAAGCGAATTTATCAACAAATAATTTTTTTGCTTATAAATTCGCAATTTTACTTAAATTCCTTGTGATAATCTTTAATATTGTACAGCACGCAAGCTTGTATACTTATGGAAGCTTAAAGTTGAAGTTTCACATGATTAAATTGTTTGATCTTACAGTTTTAGAACAGTCTTATAGGTTTGCTTTAAAGCCTGCCAATTAAGATTCTCTTGAGGAAGTAGGATTAAAAAAGTGTTTCCAATATGGACATGTCTTTATCAGAAAGTGGATTTTCTTAACAGGAATATTTATAATGGCCCTATTCACACTGCAAATATGATAATGTTTGTCAAACCTGATATTCTCACAACAATTAAAAAAACTTTTTCATGATTAACAAAGTTTGTCAGACTTCTTGTTCTCATTAGGCAGTTTTCTGAGATGTTATATTGCTATCTAACACCAAGGTTGCCATTAAGAAATTGTACCTTTTTAAATCGTGATATGATTTCAAATAGCACCCATGGCTTTTTTATTGGTGATAACATAATTCTGGTATGTCCGTCGAGTCACCCGCTGGTTATCATAGATTTTCAAGAGATTGTGATGCTCCAGAGCTCTACCACGGAACCAATTAGTCGAAACGTTACAATTTGTCAGATTCAAGATTTTGCTGTTCGCACTCTACCAATTAAGCTACTTCCTGAAAAACCCTTGCTGCCTTTGAAAATAGAACAATAAGAGATTCGCATTATGAGGTTTCTAGATGCAGTGCGAATAGGGCCAATATGATGAAGAAGAAGAAAACTGATATCAAAGACGCGACATTTGCTTGAAAATCTCTGCTGTCAAATCTTTTCTGTCACCTTAAGGACTTTAACATGGAACAACTAATCAACAAAGGTAGGCAGAATTAATCATTTAAATAGTGACATTTTTATTACCTTGCTCCGATCATCGCACTTGTTGCCTGATAAAACACTTTGATGAAATTTTACATTGCGCGAAAAATCTTAAAAGACAATTTTGATAGAAAAATCTTGGTCTTGTGTCAATCGGTCTTAATTCAATTTCAGTTGCTGTGTATACGCAAACAAACATTTTGATCGAATTTCACTAGAGATAAAATCGTCGACATAAAAGTATTCACGATGTCTCTCCATCGTAAAGAAAGAGACTAAGCTTGATAAACAATGCGAGTCTCTTTTTCAATGAAGGATGGAAGCTTTAGCTTTGTACATTAAAGTTAATGAATCCATTCTGGAAGTATCTTTGAAAAGAAGCATCCAGAGAAAAGAATAAAAAGTTTATTCTTATGCTTAGCTTTAACTAATTTTATTCTCAACAAAGGTAAAACAGCCATCTCAATTAAAATATCAAAAACAGACGAAACTCAAGTAAATTGCTTTGTAAAAATAGGTATCATTAAGCTTAATTGACGCGAATTTCTATCGGAATATCATTTTCGTTCAACTTTTAACTATATTAAGGCACAAAGACAGATGCCTTAAGGTTGTATTAAACTGGACAAAAAGATGCTGCTGCAATGGTTTATCATTATATTAACTAATTTAAGAATGCTGATTTCAAAATCATAAACAATTTCGTTGTGTTACAGATAATCATTGCAAGAATTCTTAATGTTGTTGTCAATATTCTCGCAAACTCAATAGAATAATCAGATAGCTTTACCTTCCTTTCAAATAGACATCATGAATGTATGATCTCCTTGGTCTTATCAAAAGTCAAATATCGATGAGATATCAACGTTGTTGATTCTTAGATGTTAAGCAATCATTTACCCGTCACTACAAACTTCATTTATTGAGATTACTGATTTAATCAAGAAGATGTCTTTGATTTTATTTCACTTGCCTTTATGCCATTCATTGATGCATATCCTCATTAAAAAGTGAACGGAAAAGGAATTCATTCAATTATTAAAACTCTATGTCGTTTTTAAAGACTCATTGCTAACAATCGGCCTTTGCGAGCGTGGCGATGATCCAAAAATGGCAGAAAACTTCTACGGATTAACCAAAATTGATTTCAGAATGTCTAAAAATGCATTATGGGATGCTTGCGAGTATTGAATGGTTCATTGTTATCAATGAGTCTTTAACTTAAGCAAGAATAACTGAGGAAGAACTGGTTTTCTAAGGTCATAATCAATAGCGTAGTTAAAGTCCATTTGAACTAATAATAGGATTTGGTTGTTGATATTTAGCATCAATCAGGGTACTTGCAATGCTTATTGATTCAAATGATGATATTTACAGATTGACATGCATGTTGTGGGTTGGCATGAATCTCTTTCCGATTTTCTGAGGTTTCTAATGAAGTTTAATGAGTGATACAACCATTTTGAAGATGGAAAGAATTAGTTATAACTGTGGCATTCTTCCAATCCTTGTTGCTATTTTCTTCTTATTGAGGAGCAGAGGTTAATGTTATACGGCCCTTGGTCATTCCTTTTAATTACGTGCTTAAACCAAGAATAGCTTAGAACAGTATAGAACAGCTAATTTGTGAAAATACTTTTTTCATGGAGGAGAACATTTCGATTGCTAAAAAGCTACCTAAAGCATACTTAAGCTTTTTGTCACCTATTACCATGTTTTGTTTTTCTTGCATTTCCCAGAAATATTGATATGTTTTAGGTTGAAACTGCTGTGAGCAAATTGATGTTACAAGTTTCTTTTGCTTTTTTAACATAAATCTTCATATAAGGATATTCTTTTCAAAGTTATCCAATAAATTATGTGTCATCACTTATGTACTCATTTGCTCCAACGGTACAAATTGTCACCATTGTTGCCAGATGAAATTGATCATTCAATGGTATCATTGACTGCATGGTTGTATTGCTTGCTAAGTACGGTAACGAAAGAAGTTTTGTTACACCCTCGATGGACTGAGAAGCTACTTCAGTCTAAAAGCTACTAGACACGCATGAGTTGAGCACCATGCTGCAACTTATTCTTTGATCTTACTCATAATAGGTACAGGACAGTTATAAAGTACTGCTTCGAGTTCAAACTCGAAGTTATAACCAGGAAACGTGCTGCAACTTGTTAAAGTATTCTCGACCCTTTGACATGAATGACTTTCTAGATTATTGGCGCACCAAGATTATGAAGGATGTCCATGACAAGCTTGTTACAATACGTTAATCATATTCTTTTGGTTGACTTTGATTAACTAATCAGTGATCTATATCACCAAAAGATTGATAATTCTTTTCAAACGTTTGAGAATTGAAGCGTTGTTGTATCTTAAAACTTTGGATCCAAAACAAGGTTTGTCACACTTACATATAGGATTTTCAACCAGCATCGTCTCTAGTTTGTCCTCTTTTCCAAATTCTTCTTTAGAATAACTCATCGCAAGCCAACTGGCATTAGCACTAAATAATTCATTACATTCGACTGTAAATCTTCTGCGAATCAAAGATGCCAGTTCTTTTTATCCAAAGTCGAATCTATTTATTGAAAAGATGAAGTGATTGCAATGTTTATAATCATTCTGATAACGGATGCATTCTGATAAAATCATTCTACTTCAACAAGTTTCACAAAAAAAGATTTCTTTTGAAAGTTTTAACTTGTTTCGGATCAGTTATTTGCATATAGATTTGAAAAGACTTTTTGCATTTTGTTGACCAAATGCAGGCATCTTTAGACACATTGATAAATACAAATCGAAATGTCTTGCAATAACAGTAAAAATATCCATATTTATAAATTTTTCATTTAATTTTCAATTGTGATTTATGAACAATTTTTAAAGATAATCTCCAGCTGCCTTTGCTTGCCTAAATATTTGTGCAGCGATAATTGACATTCAGGCCAGGTCCTAACTTATGCATAAAATTGAAGGGTGTCGTGCTAAAATTACCTTGCTTAAAAATCCATTTGCATTGCTTGCATTGAAACCAACAGAATCAGGTTTGAATAATCTAACACATGCAATATATAATAACCTAATCATGCATTAGATAAGCACACCTCATTATTCTCGTTGTTTTCATTTATCAAGATTTCTTATTATTTATAACCGCTCAATCTATCAGAACTCTTTTAAGTAGGCGTGACAAACTTAAATAACAATTTTAAACAAATCATATTGATATGATAAGCTTAAACACTGTAGAGTATTTATGAAACTCTTCTCAAAGATGGAAACAGAGAGTGCCTGTTCAACGTCGGCTTTGAGTTGGTTTGAAGGCATCGTTCTGCAAAAATATCTAATCCTTTTCTATCCATAGCTAGTTTTCCGTAATCAGGCGCGGATCCAGCCTGAATTCAGACCTATGCAATGCAAAGGTTGTCGTCCAAACTTTTCTCAATAGAATCTGTATCTCTGATATTGAATAGGGGATTCAAGAAAGAAATTCTAAGGAAACGACTCGCAAAGGGAAGACTAAATTTATCTGCAATTCGAAGGAAAGAGGTATTGAGAAAACCTATTCCGGTAGGATTCGAACTGGGGCCCTCCACTTTTCAAATACAGTGGTCATATCACAAGACTACAGAACAGACGTTCCTTCCTTAGCAGATTAGCAGGGTGTGAAGCAGCGATTGTCAATTGCCATTTCATTGGCTGTAACAAACAATTGCATAGGTCCACTGTAAGCAATTGCATAGGTCAACTCTGATTCCTATTGGTTGGCTGAACCGCTGCAGAGGCAAGCTCGGCTTCTGATTTGCTAAATCAAATCTCACCTATGCTCTCGCCAAAGATTGCAGAGGTTAAGTACACTCTGATTGGCTTACAAGACGTTTGCAGAGGTCAAGCCAGCGGTGGTTGGCTCTCGAGGGACAAACAAGTTTCTGGATTCAGAATATACGGGCCAGATAAATGCCTAGAATCGCCTCTCGATTATTCTGTGCAGAGACCGAAAAAAAGTCAACAAAATATATCCCGTCTTCTGCATGTTGTTGGTATCAACGGGGGCAGATCTAGGGCGGACGTTGCTGAAGAATTTGCCAAAGAAACTATTGATTAAAAATTTTGATATTTTCTATTTTATTTTGTTGTCGTGAAAATCTGACTTATGCTTCTGCATAGGTTGCTGTAGTCTGGACCCGCCTCTAGTAATGGTAATGAAAGATCTCAGTGTTATCAGTCTCAGCTTTTTCCAGGGCATTTTTGACAGCATATGTACTGCGAAAAGTTCCCCCTTAGGCCCAGTGCCTACCCCAGGAGCGACACCAAAATCTGACAATTTTCCAAGTAGTTTCGCTCTTGTTTCAGTCCTATTTGTCCTTTTTTAGTCCTTTTTTAAATCAACTTTTAAATTGAATTTTTTGTATTTTTTTCCTTTGTAGTTTTACACAAATTATTCACAAGTAATCGATTAAATTTATATTGTGTCGTCTACTTTCTTCTCTTGTCCTTGTCTTTCCAATCTTTTGTCCTGTTCTGTAGAAAAGAATGTCGGTACAAACTCATTTCTTTAGAAGAAAACAAAAGTCAAAGTTGGGTACTCAGGTTTCTTAACATTTTGGAAATTTTAATAGAGGCATCTTAAATACGACGTCCTTATTTTAACTCGGGGTTCCAGTTTTTTTAGTTTCTTACGCCAAAGGAATTTCTAATAGAATTTTTTTTTTCCACTCTGAAGCAAGGACTGAAATTTTTAACGCCACATAGTGGCGGCTATTAGAGAGCGAGGAGGGGCATTTGTCTCTCTTGGAGCCCAAAAGTCAGTAAAGTTACCATGAAGTCGACATTTGTTATTTTGGCCTTTTTAAAATGTCTTACATTAACTTTTCAACTTTTTGGAGCCTTGTTTTCAATAGCACTCCTTTCTGCAGAAATTAAAGATTATAAAAAGTGAGTCTGGTACCCAGAGTACCAAAGCAACGAGAAGGGGAAAGGGAGAGTAAGTTGTGATGCAATATATAACTCCATTGATGGTGCTGAAGGATAAGCATAAAACCTGACTGTACAATGAAAGCCCTAATTTGGATAGAGCCTATCAAATATTCTGCACGATACCTGTCACAACAGCCAGTGTTGAGAGGTCATTCGCAAAACTTAAGATAATCAAGAAGTATCGACGAAACAAGATTCACCCGCAACGACTCAAGAGGCTATCGCTGAAAGCTTGAACTACGGTGAAGTACTAGACTCTTTTGTGAGCATGTCAGAAAGAAGGTTGAATGGAAATAATTCAAATAAAGACTGAAGTAGTCAGAAGAAGGTTTAGCTTTTGCTGGAGCATGAAATTCGTCACATTGCATGGTTTTAACAGTTGATTTCTACCTTAATCTACTATTTATTCTACACCAGAAAGTTTTCAGATGTATAATCTTCCTACCATCTATTGCTTAATCAAATCTTTAATTAAATTTATTGAGAATATCAAAACTTCAGGATACTACTTCCCTCCCAATAAATCTGTTCATTGGTTTGGAACACGCTAAACCACCAGAGGGGACCTGTTTTTTTCTTTAAAGAGGAAAACTCTATATGGATTCAAATTGTGGCTCTAAATTGTGGAATGCTCTGCCGCTATTTATACGTTTTGCTGGTTCCATCTCACTTTCTCGGTCTAAATTGAACTTTCATTTAATCGACTCTTGTTCTAATCTATGAGGGTAATCTGGTTCAGTTAACCTATTTCTAGAAACCCTTCTTAGTCAGCCAATGCTAATGAAAATTTGTAATGTTTTAATGTGATGTAGGGTAGTGTAGTTATGTTTAGTAACTTGATCTGTATTTTGTGTGTGTAAATTGTATTTGGTATTGGCTGATGAAATTTAATTTAACTGAACTGAATTAAGCTGAATTTTTATGAAAAACCGTCACTGTGGCACTATAACTAAACACGTTTCTCAGAGCCTTTTTATTAAACTTACTAAGGGGGGGGGGCGGTCCCAGTGTATGTCCATTGTTTTAAACAATTGGCTATTATCCTTCTCTTTATATAAATAAAGGTTTGCCCCTATAGCTAATTTTCCTTGGAAAGGCTATGGAGTATCTGCGCCCTTATAAGCATTTTTTATAAAAAGCATCGAACATGTCCTGATATTCCAAAAGCGACAAATTTTAAAAGATATTACATAATTTTATGAATTCCCCGGTTGATGTAAGTACCTTACTTTGCTTAACGTTAAACTAGTATACATTATTTATCTACATATTTTGTATTTTGTATTTGGATTATGTAATCATTCTTCATCTTAATATCCTGTCTTTTGCTTTATTTCATACTTTGAAAGAAAATTGGACAGAAAAGAAAATTAGACGAATTCTTTTTCCAAATAACTAGACATATTTACACATGTTAAATGTCCCAGAAGTTTTGGAACGTCAGTTTTCAAGCTCATATTCGATCCCTTCATCCCTTGTGAAGTAAGACTGTATATCACGTGGCCTTATGTTAACCTCGCTTTCGTTTGTAAATTACCTTCAGTCAGTTTATAATCTGACTACGAGTCGTACGCTTTTTGTGCCTTGCTCTCCGCCCTAAAGACTACAAAAAGTAATAGGTACAACTATCTTGGTTTGCGGCAAAAAAAATTAAAAAGATTGAGGAGATCGTTTTTCCTCTTAACCGTCAGCATTGTTCGGGGGAAGAGGTGAAAATGTTAGCATTCGGGAAACGAATTGAAAAATAGAAAAATTCAGATAATATGACAAAGGGTTCTAAATACTTTTGACAGGCATTGTAGCTACAGGCGCAGCATTTTATAACCATAGAGAATGGCCAGTTTGATGAATACACACGTTCAAAGTTTGAAATTGATCACTAGCTAGCTGATTCAATTTCTTAACTTGTTTGCATAATGGCGAGATATTCCAGTATTCAAATAGTTATCGCATTATACAATATGTTTATCTTGTACTATTACTGCTAACATGTTACAGGCAGCTATAATTATATAAATAGCCTGTTGTACAAAGCTTTGGTTGCTACTCTTCATCTAGTTATCACATCTGAAATTTCCCAACCTTACTTGAAAAACATTCAAAGAATGGTTTATGACCAATCAAGCAGCGCATAGTCTTTGAGACCTGCTCTATCAGCTAATTCTTTATGTTAACCCAAACATCTCTATATCTTTTATTGAACTGGGTTTTCAGGTGTTAGCAAACAGATTATATCAACTATATCTGCGCATTTAATAACAAAATTCAATAAAAATACTAAAAATACTTTTTTGACAAATTTTATAGCTATCAATCTAACTGACCGGGCTTAGAACCTTTTTGTAAAGTTGACAAATTTTACGTCGGGAAAATGTCTTATGTCTTCGACATTTGTCCAATTGCAGGAGACCATGCAGATTTAACAAAATATCTGCATGTGTTTTGAAACACTCTTTTCACTTTAAAATCTTTTTCGAAAGGAATAAATTGAAAGAAATATTTTATAAATTGCTACTCACAAAATCATTCGAATTACAAAGAAAATGTCACAAACTGGTACTTAAATGATATTTTTAGAAAGATGGTGACGCGTTTTAAGGCTTTCTTACCTAAAAAAAATCTCTAGCGGTCATTTCCTACATGAAGATCCCGGGTGTGTCTGGTAGCCGTAAATGAAATCGTATCAGATGCAGCTGGTAAGTCAAACGCACTATGATACTTGCATTAGGCCCTCGCCTAGTTTATCCTCGTTAAATTTATTAATTCTTTGATCAGGTTTGTGATTTATAAGTTAAGTAGTCAAGAAGAGAAAAAGCTTTTTCTTGTTAAAATCATTCTTCCTAAATACCGTAAATCCTCGAATTAGCCCCCCTCCCTCGAACAAGCCCTCACCCTAGATCTACAAATTTTCAATAAGCCCCCCTCTCGAATGGGCCCCCACTCCTACCGTAAATTCTCCAATTGGACCTATCCATTTGATGATTTTCGTTATCTGAGGTTGCCTATGGCGTTTTATTGAATTAACACAACAAATTAATACTTTTGGTAGTAATTAATTAAATGCTCATAAAGAAATTCCTACTAAAATAAACGAGGTCTTTTAATAATTTCTTCTTAATGTCTACAATAATTTTATAAGCCACCCGCCCCCGCAAATAAGCCCCCTCGAATAAGTTCCCAACCAAAAATATCAAGAATAAATAAGCCCCCAGGGGGCTAATTCGAGGATTTACGGTAGCCTTCTTTACGCGCGTGCCCCCCCGCCCAGTTTTCAGCAAAGAGATTTTTATTTTACATAATGCTAACCTTCGTTTTTCCTAGAACTTTTCTACAGTTCTTCTATGATATGCATGCCATTCTCTTGCTAGAAGTTTTATACATTGAGCATAAATGAAACTATAGTAAGTTTCCAACTGTCGTCCCATATCCTTCTGTAAACCTTTTTTAGTACCGTTATGTCGCGACCCCCTTCCCTTCGAAAAAAATACAAAAATCCTTTGTCCCTAAAGAACAATTCATTTTATTCCTATTGTTCTCAAACAATGGTCCCCCAAACAAATTTTCCTTCTTATGGCACTGAATCAGATTTTAAGGGAATTATTTTCCAAATATCATAAGCTTCATATATACAATAGAACATTTACTGAAAATGAAAAATTTAACTAAAACGTCTATGAGAATGAGATGCTAACGAACATTGGTTGGTACGACGGTTTTCTGTTAACTGAAGAGGACAACACAGCATGGAGATAAGCATGAACAGTTGCGTTCAATTATAATGCTAGTGTTGTTGTAGAATTTTCACTTAACATGTCAGAAACAACTATTTATCATAAATAGGCATAAATTACATAGTTTTGTTTTGACTGTGATAACACAATTGGGTGTGACGACACCAGCTCTCACTTTGAAAATCTTTACATGTACAAAGACAGTAGACAAAGCTGAATAAATAATTCATCACGTAATTGTAACCAACTTGTTGATATCAGTTTGATCCTTGAGCAACCAAAAGTCTAATTAAAGTTAAAAACCAATTCTCTTGGTTTTGAGTGCGTATTATTTTTGTTCCTCAGACGAACACAGATGTCAAAAACAAACAAATTTCAGGCCATATCGTAAAAGGCTTTGCAGGTAAGATTTGAATAGTTATATAGGTCACAAGGTGGAGAAAAAATTGGTATTTATTAAAAGTAAACACATTTGCAAAATTTTGCAAAGAAAAATGATCGTTAATGGTAAGATTCAAGTTATGTCTTTAGTTTCTTAAAATGGCAAGATTCGAGTTATGTCTTTGGTTAAAAGGTTGATAAGTTAAATGGAGGCATGGTCATATAAGAAGATCCATTAGGAGCTCTGCAGATTTTATCACTTTTCTCTCTTGCATTTAGCATTAACACAGCTTTGAATGCTTGTTGGATGAACCATTAATTCTAGAAGCAGAATATTAAATAAAATGCTTTTTAGCAATTGAGGAGCTACAGGGGCGAGGGGAACACCTCCTCTTCTCGGTAGAAACAATATTGAATCAGTCTGAGTTAATATTTTGGGAACCTATTTTTGTGAAGTTGTTCTATGATTTTGAAGCTGCCTTTACGTAACAAAAAATATGTCACGGGCGATGCAAGAATGAATTAGGCGTTCCTATGTTGGTAAAACGGCGTTTTCTGGCTGTTGAAAGAGTGCGATTGGAATATTTTCAGTGAGCTTGGAACATTGGAATAATTTATTAAATTCAGAGGTAACGATATATGCGACTGATAGCGGTTGCTTTTTGACAAATCCACTCAGCATAAAATTATTCTAAACAATAACTAAGCATGCTCGCAATAAATTTTGTTATATGTTTCTAACATACATAATTTTACAGACAACACGTATAAAGTACATACATCATATTTTCTGTGTTTTGCACATACTTGAAATCAAGCTTCAAGGGTGTTCAACTTGAAAAGCCATTCTTTGAAATTATCAGAAAAGAATGCCTGTTAAAGAGCCTCTTAAAGTGTTTTTGCTTTGTCCATTGTTTGCCCTCAAGACTCTATAATGACAAACTGTGTCCTTGTCTTTGTTTTCTGTTCTTTTTCATTGCATTTAGAATTATCTCCTCATAAGTTTCTTGCCAATGATAATATCACTTATGTATTAAGTTTATAATTGAATATATTCATACAAAAAGGCTGCTTAAACCCAAATTCTGAAAGATTTTCATTTATTTTCTTTCTAAAATCATTTCATGTCCCAAATAAGTTTATATTTGAATATATTCATACAAAAAGGCTGCTTAAACCCAAATACTAAAAGATTTTCATTTATTTTCTTTGTAAAATCAATTCATGTTCCAAATCTATAATTTAACATATCACCATGCTACTCAGGCTGTTTAAAGTCAGAAAAGACCAGGTAGATTCATCTGTATATGTTACGCACTATGCTGCACATGAATAAATTCACAATTTCATGATTACAATTTGGAGGAAATTTAAAACACTCCTTCGGCACAAAATTAGTAGCAAATGTTTGCTTCTTTATCGACACCACCATTACAATTAAAGTAACATGCTACAGACATTAAAAAAGAACCTACTGATAAGTTTCAGTTGTTAGGAATAGCTATGCAAATAGAAATTCGGAGTGGAATCTGGAGAGAAAGTAAAAAGTTCAATTTCACTTCGACTTTGATTTTGCCCGATTAGCCTGATGATAAACAAACACAGCAGCAAGAAACGTTTCTAATTATATTCATCATTATGGATCCATTTGAGGGATTCATTCTTCAATCGTTAGAATTTGAATAGTAGACTTAAATTAATAATCACAATATAACTAAAATAACCAAAGATAGCCAAAATGGTAATTTTAAACGATCATTAACCACCATAAAGCCAATTAGATAACCACTAACCCTAATCTCATGAATCTGCTACCAGTATTACTTTAAATTGCGATTGTATCAATTCACTATGATTCGGTTTTTGTTCGACAAATGACCTGCAATTCCAGTGTGCATCAATTACTGATAAATGCATCGAAAAATGTTGAAAAAGTCTAATGCAATGATAGCTTTAATACTTGTTTCTTGAATCATGCCGTAATAGTAAGCTGTGTTGAGTTGTTATAAACATGTTTGATTTTCGCTTCATCATGCATCATTTATGGTTTTGATATAAGTTAAGCTTAAGCTCAATAAACTCATATCTTAAATTTTACAATTTTGTCACAATTATTCATTATATCATTTAATCAATATTTCAACGTGAAAGTGGTTAAAAGCAAATTAAAATATAACACATAAACTACTGGTGGTCTAGGGTGTAAAAGACTCTTTAAATGGAATATCATACTGTATTCTCAACTGTCTTGTCACAATAAAGGCTTGGCACAATATACTGATCATACAAACAGTTGATGCTGTACGTTTAGAATTGAGAAACCGAATTATGGAGTGCAATTTGGAACATGTAACAAAGACCTATTGTTTAACCCAACCAATAAGAATTAAATTATCACCGAGATTCATGGAGACATGAGGTTCTTAATTCATCGTCTGAAAAAGAACCATTTTTAGAGGTCCCTGTAAGAGAAAAATAATCTCGTCCACAAACAGCATTTTACTTGAGTATTTGCCTTATCTTTGACAGGAACATGTGTAAGCTATAAGATACCTAACTATCAACAATAATCCGAACAACCAGTTAGCTTTATTCTGAATCTTGTGGACTGAATAGTGCCCACCGAAAGAATTTGATAGCCTTGGGACCATAATAAATTCACATAGATACAGAGCTGCAGACCGCGTAAAATAGCTTCGGTCGCTCTCCAGCCATTACCAGGACCAGAAAACATACTGTAGTTGATATCAGGACTAACGAGTCAGTTTACGTCCAGGAGTGAATTGAGAAAATTGCCAAAACAAATGAAAACAATGATGCGTGATTACTTTCAGGACCTTTTCTTGCTCCAGTGCTATTTAATCGCTGTAAAACATCACAAAAAATTGAAATTGAACTTATGGCTAGCATTTTTAGCTACATTGATAACAAAATTCATTGTTTGCAGAATATGTAACAATATAAACATTTTGTTGGTATACTTTTTATACCTAATTGAATAATTTTATAAAAAAATAAAGAATAATTTGGTGCTTAGGTCAGTTACAGCTTTAGATGAGTCAAACTAGCATTGCGTAATTTAATAGCAAGTAAACTGTGATAGTTCTGAAACATCTGAAAGAAGTGTTCTCGTTATAATGAATAAAATGAATTTAAAGAAGTTGACAGAGATCCATTTTCTCATTATCATTCATAACGAACAAGGAATCTTAAAAGTTGACATAAACATAAACATAAACAAATAAACACGAAAGCAAACATTAAAGTAAACATAAATAAATGTAAGAATTTTGCACCAGCTGGAGATAAATAAAATCTAATACTGCATTTCTTACCTTTGTTTCAAAATTTACTTTTCTGTTGTAGCACCTGTCCTTTGCCCACCTTGTGCACAATTAAGTTCAAAACTTGATGCAGATTTAGCATTAGTTTTTCTATAAACAACACACGGGAAGAAACATATCCTTTCAAAATTGATTTGTGGACTTGTTATGTCGGTAATCTTTAATTTTTGAAGTTTTGCCAGAAAGTCAGTAGGGACACAAAAGCCTCTCCTGCGTTGTTTTTAATTAATTTTTTGAATACATTTAAACAAGCAAATATAGTGAATCAACAAAGAAAATTATTTTTTATTTAATAATAGAAAATTTGTGAAAGATCCCGTGGCTTCTATACTGATTAGCTCTTATGCGCTTCAAAGTTTAATGAAGATTTACAATTCAACAAAAGAACATTGTCGGCGGCAAAGTTTCAATAATTTCTTAATTTCAAGTCTTAACATTTTATTAAGTGTTTTTTAGTAATTGAAAGAAACGGCTGCTAGTCTTTGGCCTACCAGACATGATAATTTATAATTAACCAGACATCATAAGCTTTTATAAAATATAAAAAGCTATTTATAATATTTGATCCCATCTATGAGAAACTAAATGCAAAACTGGTCTTCAAGATTTATTTATCTTGATGAGCGAAATTGATCCCCAAAAAGATCTTCTGAGGTATTTTGATTATATGATTAAAGTATAGAAGAAACTACTTGTCTTCAAAGTTTGATTTTTCATCCTTCCCTCTATCTATCTAAAAGACGCTCTCAAAAGGCTGGGTAGATGCTAGAATATCAATGGAAAAATTTAGAAGTCGATTCATTACTTTTAGCTCTTTGTAAAACAAAAAAGACAGAAAACCTGTTGTAAATTTGAAATTGGTTGTCAAAATCTTGTGTTTTCTTATCAACGGCTATTCAGTCGTGTTTATGATTTAGAAACAAAGATTCGTCGTCGGAGCAGGGCACCGATTTTACGCCAATGTAATGAATGTCATCCAAGGGATAATCATTAAATATTTCGTAAAGCAATACCATTCAGAAACTGTGAATATTTGGGCCAAAACCATACTCCATTTGAAAAGGAGTCATAACTCAATGACAGGTTTCACCAAATTCCACTATTTTATATCTCTACAAACATAGATAGGAAGCAATACTAAAGTTATATTGATTCAGACTTTCTGTGTTATTTTTTTTCCTATTTCAGATTCTTGCGATGGCTAGCATCATTAAATATAGCGTTGATTTCTAGACAATTCCGGTGGCAATTCATGAATAGTTTGACTGTGCCAATACTGCAACCACCTTCAATTCAATACTAATTAAAAATTAAAGCCATTCAACTTGCATTTGCTTATAGTCACATTTTGCGATAAATGGCAGCGTATTAAGTAATTTAGAAAATTTTCCAATACATGATAGCATTTATGATTGCGAACACGCACATAGAAGTGCTGTCACTTGACATTTAACAGAGTAAAAACATCAACATTTTGGTCAAATGTGGAATATTTAGTTTTTTTTTAATCGTGGGTCAAAACAATGGCTTTGTATTGTAAAAGCAACCTATCATCATTAAGAATGATATATAAACAATAGTTTTATGATTCCAAATTCAAAAAATACAACAAGCGCATTTAATTAGGAAATCTTCAATAAAAAACACTCTCAACCTTAAGAAACTGCTCAAAAATGAAAAATTCTATGCAAAATTTGGATTAAAATGATTTTTTTTGACAATTAGGTATTTATTTCAAGCTTATCTAACGCGCATTACCGAAATAAGTACTCTTTGCAACCGATTAGGTTTTTATGTTATTTTATGCTAAGTTTTTGTGTGTTATTTCTATTTCCAAATAGTGGTTCTGAAGCAATTGACATTTGGGAAGGTTTTAAGAAATTGACCAGTCCTAATATCAACATAATTAGGAGGCTGCGTAGTTTGAAAAAGTACGTTCATACTCTTTGCTTTATAAGATTTAAAAGTTCACTCTTTGTGTAGCAAGGTTTTTTAATTTCATGAAAAATGAACCCTCTTTCTCTGCCAATACCAAAGATCCTAAAATTTCTGTCAATGAAGGCTTTTGCGTTCTTCTGGTTTTGTTTCCTTAGAATATTTTCATCTTACTTTGACTATTAATTTCGGCAAAGTCTTTCAATATATTTTCGTTTAGGCCTTGAGTTTGCTGTCTACTGGTATACATGTGCTGTTTTATTATTTCTACCGGTCTTGATGTGTTCTGAGATTCAGCAACCTACAATGCATTTTGGAAGCACTCAAATTCGTTTTTATTTGGCAGGGATGCATCTTTGGTCGCAACTATGTTTTATATTAAAACAGGAAGACTTTATGAGTGAAACAGCTGTATTGAAACAAATTGCGCGTCTTGGACAGCTCTGCTATTTTTGTTTCATATAGCCATAGGTGTTTGATATATTTCATATTGTTCAACTTACCGTTGCCTACAGTAAAAAAAACAGTGTCAGATGTGTTTAAACACCCTGAAATTATTTGCAAATTAGCATTCTCTTCAATAAGAAAAGAATCTCAGTTATCTTGGAACTTTCAAATGCTGTTTCAAAAGAAATGTAAAAGAAATTGTTTTTTTGTTCTTAAGAAAGCCTTTCGAAATAAAGCCCCCGTAACTTTCTTGAATACATTGACTCGCCAACAATTTAAAAGATAATCTAATAAAACATGTTAATGGCATATAATATTTTATCTAAATAAAGTCAATATAATAAGTAGATAATTTAAGTACCAAAAATGAATATGATTGTGAAAAACACGACGTTTCGAGCCAGTTTGCAGAGCATGGTCATTTTGACAAGATTTTGGGTGCGCAAACAGCCCGCACCTAAGTTGTGAATGCACAAAGAATCGTCCCAAAATGCCAGTTGCACTAGTACTATCAACATTTCCAGTTTTTATTTCAAGAGATTTAGTTTTAGGTGCTTCTCAGCACTATTATAGCTGCATCTTGGGTGCATCTTGCACTTAGAGTGGGGAGAGAGGCGTGGGAACCAGGAGAGGTGATCATATCGAGAGGTAGAACCAAGACTGATCGATAAGCACAGCTTCTCAGTGCTCTAAAATTACTTTCGGGTGCTAGATAGCCACAAATAAAAAAATAAAAAGCTGTGCAATCACCATACATTACACACTGGATTTCGAGCATGTACTCGTTGTCAAGTGACTCGAAAAGCAAATATGAGATAATCCTTTGGATAGCGCTTTGGTTATAGTTCAACTTCTCATCTAATATTCAAAACAAACAGCAATGTTGACGATTGATTTTGATGTCTATAACACCCGAACTGGTAAAGCATTTAAGGTCAGAATTACTTATTCGCTTTCTGGGAATAAACGTGTCGAGTAGAAAACACCTTTTATTTGATCTTCCCGAGAGATGCAACCAAGTTCTGCATTAGACTGGTGTGTATATTGTTTGTTCGAATTGTATCACCAGGCTGTCATCATAAAATAGCACTTTCCGACCGATTTTTATTTATTCTAAGCAATTTTCCAGCCGGACTAAATCATCGAAAAACATCGTCGTTATAATACAGACTGGCTATTTTACGATGACTCTTGTAGGTATTTTGAAGCAGTACAAGTTTGAATGATGGTAGCTGTTTCCAATTTGTTTACATCATAATTCCATTACATCTTTGCCTCATTTCACCTTTTTATATCAGTAAGTTCATCTTACTTCCCTTACTTAAAACATTTTTATTGTATAGGTTTCATTTATGTGCTCATTAATTTCTTTAAACAAGGCATCAACTTGCATGATTGTAATGCTTTATTTGATAAACTGAAAAATACCTTCTTGAAATCAAAGGTCTACGCAAGCCAAAATGCTCATCTTGTAAAACACATGTTTATATATTTATATTCTGAATACGTTAAACATTCAATAATAGTTGCTAAACTAACATTTTGATTAGCAAGATGAGCGGCAAAAGGGCTTAGCATAAGTATTTGTTTTTTATATTTTCAGTGTAAAATAAAGTGTCCAATCAAGAAGCAGCCTTTTACCCAGTGAAAATGGTATGTAATTGGTATATCTTAGAATGATATACTTCAAAATTTTAGGAAAAAGAAAATGTTTTTTTTCTCTTGTCTATTCATACTTTCATACTGAAATTGTTTATGCTTAGTCTGATGAGGCATCATAATAAAAGAATTTAGTTGTCTGATGGTTGCTTTAAGTGTGAAACTCGCAACAAGAATGTAGAACCACATTTTTAGCTGATAAATTAAAGATAATTCTTACAATTGGCTTTCTTTAAATGAAACTTTCAATTTGGAATTTCAATATGAAAATTTTAATGCTAGTAGTACTAGAATTTTCCAATTGCTTCATTTTTTGTCTGAAACGCAATGAATGGAAGTAAAGTGGCATAGCTCGGCTTCAGGGACCTGGACATCACAGCAAAGGATAAACATTCTATCCTACTTAACACATGTAATTGCATAAAACCATTATATGACAGTGTTTGTTATTTTTTGCACCCCATTGAGAGCCGGACATTAAGTTACGCCCAGTATATAGGAAACCTCCCTATTTTTGCATTTTCATTCAAAAATAGGGCAAGCAACCAAAGATTGATATTCGACAGCTGCGTTACAAGATTTTCAATCGCACCAATTTGCTTTCTTTGATACCATCCCTATCAAAAAACCTTCGTAAATCTTTAAAAACACTTCATTTTCCTGATGGATTTTATAACTTCAATTTAACTTAAATGTTACTTAGACACATTCAAATGCAAGATAAAAATGGCATGCATATTCATCTGCAATTTCTTTTTTTGACAGGCTATGAAACTCATAATCTGTACTTTTTTATTGGCCATGCAAGCAGATTTGTTAACAGGTTAGTACTTCAGATTTAGACCTTAAGCAAATATTTAGCAAAAATTATCAGGATACTTCTCCCCCCAAAATTTGATTGATTCTAGCCCACATTTGAATTTCTCTAGAAAATCGATATCATCTCTAATAAAACTTGGTAGGTGCTTCGTGTATTCCTTCAGAATTATGTTTATGAAATTGCTTAAATTGCTTGTAACGCAGTTTGGACCTGCTATGATTGGTCGAAATGTTAAATCGTTAGATCTTTCCACAGCTATGTATCCATCCTTAGCCAGTTTCACTACATGGTCGATTATTTTACGTTCATGTACTTTAGGTAAGGTATTCAATTTTTTTTGGTAAGTTGGTTTTTGTATGATTATGTTAATTTTTCTATCTTCTTCAGTATTTCATTGTCCAAGTTCCGGTCAAATTTTGAATTGCTCCCCCTGTCTTGCAATATAATCAAGATTTTGCTTTTGTAGTATTCGCTATACATAATCACTCATACTCCTTCTTTGTCACTTTCTTTTATAATGTGATTTTTATTGTTTTCAATTCCATGATTCCATTCCATTGATCCTTCGTTAAATTGTTGGGTATATTTTTCATCTGAGTACCGTTTTTTTTGGATAGGGTACTTATGTAGAAATTCTATGTATGTGTCAAAATTTGGGTCCCGATTTCTATTGAACAGACTGTGCCTTTGGGCTTCACGAGACTATTGTCTTCATAAGGACGTACAATATGAAAGTATTCTTTGAGTCTCAATTTCCTAAAGAATTTTCGAATGTCAGAATTTCAAATCAATAATGTCCGACTTTGGTACTGGACTAAATTTTAATCGTAATTTATCAGAACATACTTTGCGTGTTTGTCAATAATATTCGTTAACGTGTTCGTTTATGTTACTACGTTACATTTATAAACGTTTAACTTTGCAAAAAGTTGTTTAGAGAAAATTAGATGCAGTACCTGTTTATTTTTATTTCTTTTTTAGTTTCAGGTTTCTATTCGATTTTTATTGTTTTTGTTTATGTTTATTTTCATCTATTCTTCTTCAAAACAACTTGCTGGCATTTCTTTGTAAATGTCACATAAACATAAAAGACGGTGTGTATTACTACCTTTCAAAATTTTGTTTTATATTACTGTTAAAAAACACAAAACAAAATACACTATTCTGCGCCGTCCACACCAGAAATAGACATCACGTTATATGGTTCTTGCTATCAACGGCACCTAACAGTTACTTTGATTACAATAACCTTCTAAAAAAACACTTTGTGAACCAAAGTACCATTTCATTTGGCAGGAGCTTGCATACGCCAGTTAAGGGCAGGCGATTTTGTGGTTATGTGTTGATTATAGGCATTAGAAGACAAAATAGGCCAAAGTAAGCGAGTTGATCAAAATATGCCACAATAGGTCAAAGTAAGATGAAGGAAGCTATAAACTGAATAATTGATGCTGATGGCATGATTTACAAAGAGCTTATTTAGACCAAAATTAAAAAAAGATAAAAGATAAAAGGTCGCTAATCGTCAAGTTTCTGCTTCAGTTAAGTCTGTTAGCTTCTTCAATACATCCTATGGATGCCTCTAGAATCATTCGATTGTCAGTTTTATCAAATTTTGGGCTACCGTAAAGAAGCAAGTTGAGTAAGTCTTCTTTCTGGAATCGATGCTGTTTAAATCTAGTTTTGGGAGTTATGAAAGTTGGCCAAGGAGATCATTGCGCATAGGAGCAAACAGGGGTGCTCATTATCCTTAATTCCAGTACTAGAAACACACATTGCGTTTGGACACTGAAAATTGTGGCGAAATTTATGCTCATTTGATATGCTACATTCAAGTCTAAGCATTGTCAGTTGTTTTGTATCTAGGATATCGAATGCTCTAAACAAGGATTTTTTTATCAAAGTAAGTAATTTGCGTTTGAACTCGACAATTGTCGCAGAATTTCTGACACCTCTATCGAGCATATTCCATTCATGAAGAACATTTGTGAAGTATGGATTTGAAAAGCGCTTTGTCCTACTGAAGTGCATGTCATAGACACGTGTGCCTCTAAGATAATACAGAGGTGTTCTTTCAGTAGGCAATTCTGCAAAAAGATAGGAAGGAGTACCCGTTGTCCTTGGGATGACAGGAGATTGAAAAGATGACATAAGCGTCTAAACCAACTTCGATGATATAGACTTTCCCCACCAAGTTCATTATAGAGCTTTTGTCTGTTGGTTCCTCTCTAGGCACCCGCAACAACGAGAGCTGTGATGTATAGCTAATATCCAAATAATATTCAAAAACCTTTATGATATTATGAAAATATTGTACTGAAAAATTCAAAAATAGTACAAAATAGAAGAAAAATAGCACATAAAACTGAAGGACATTTTATTCAGAACATAACTAAACGAGTCCAGTCTGTACAAATACTTTGGTTTGAGGAGTGTCAAGAGAAAATAACTTGGTATTGTGGGCCATGTTTTCGCTTTGTGGATCTATTATGAAGATTTATCGTTCTATCCTCTCGTCAATGTTTTAGATTTAAAAGCAGAGGCGTCGGAAGTATCATGATGCGGCGGGGGAAAGAACCGCAGAACGGGCACCTTGAGTTATCGAAGTTTACTTGTTTGGCCAGTTACAAAGCCTGGTTTCATATCAGTAGACCAGGCGAATAGTAGGGGAATGGTCGCTCGAGAGCGAAATTTATGGCACCAAGTGCTTTTGGTCAGTTCAAGGGTGCTGATTTCGAATATCAATATTATACAGGGATTTTGGGGGGGCATCAGCCTCTTTTTCATGTTTGAAGTCTCGTTTTCGCGTATATGAAGGTAATCAGTGAGAAAACAGTTTAAACGGAAATAAATTACAATTTCAAAGTTGATTAAGCATATTAATCTTTTTAAAGCTCTTCAAGATCTTCTTCTGACTCACTGCACGCGATATCTAAATGTAAAACTCTTTTTTCTTCAGTTTGTTTTAGCGAAAGCTCCCAAATGTGTTCTTTGTAACAAGTATCAATTTCACGAAGGAATCCTTATTGATGCCAACCATGATATATCAACTAGGAAGCCTAACTGAAATTTCAAACCGCCAGCTAGTCTTAAAATCATAGCAACATTCCTGAGTTTGCAAGCAGAATATGAAGCCTCGTTTTTTTTTACTGAGATCTATGAAGACTGAGATCTATGATCTCTTTTTGTCTTTTGAACTTCTGCACAAGCAACTTGTGTCGGAGAAGATTAACTTAGGATATTCTTCCATTTCGATAAAATACACGACAAAGTATAACTGGAAACATAGTTATCGCAAGAAAAAGAGTGCAGGCCAATTAATGCTTTCGTTTTTCGAGACCTCATGATACCAGGGCCATTATCTTCCTTGGTTTTCAAATACCATTATCTATGAGAATCTTGGTTCCATCCAATTCATGGGACAAGAACACTTGAATGTCGGTGGTGACCTGCCCAGTTTTTTTAAACTTTAGTACTCTGAAATTTGTTTGAAATGATCACTGTTCGGCTAATGAGTTCACTACGATCCTTTTCAATTGCAAGCTGAAATTGATTAAACAACATTTCTATCCATTCTTCGTTGATATGGAAGCTGTTGAAGTCATAAAGCACCTTAATGTCAGGACTTGTTAAGACGTATAGCTATTCTCACCTCTCTCTCAATTCTTTCACCATCTTTATATGCTGTAGCCTTATATGCTGTTGTCCTTCTATTTGCCCAAGACAGTCAGAATCTTTGTGTACTTGTTTGGAATGGTAGCAGTATTTCGTTTCCCATTTGTCTCTTGGTAGATCTAGGGCAAACAAAACATTTGGCTGCAGCAAGTTCCAAGTTGCACCTGTTTGATTTATCCGCCCGTGATAGTTCTTCAGAACTAACATTGGCCACTTGTGCCAGTTTCATACAATTAAGCCCTAACAGTCTTTCTGACGGCACCCCCTCCAGTAATAAGAGCCATTTTGATACAGGTGCAAGTGGAACGATAGCCTTGTCTCGAGATCAACACCTGCATGGTGTATGTTCGAGTGCACATCTTTAAGGCCAAGAATGCTCCCCTAAATTTTTTTCTTTCTTTTATCTTCAGCTTAATTCTACTGACGAATCCTTGAAGATTGCTTCCAGTTTTTTTAAAATAGAAGGCGAGTCTTTCAAGGGCACTGTCAGGTTTTAACTCCTCTAAGGTTTTAGAAAGTCCCGACAACATTGTCAGGTGTACCCAAGCTCATTCGGAAGACTTCCGATAAAGAGTGGGCTTTGTAAGAAGAGGTATCTTTTTGAATCTGGTAAAATAACTGAAAAAAGTGTTTTCTACAACCAGTCTAGACCATGATTGTCTGCAGCAAGGTCTTTGCTGACAATACCACAGGATCTCAAAGATTCTTTAGAACGAGCACAATATCAATTTGATTCAATGCAACATATACGAGACAAGGTTTTTGTATGTACAGAGGTCATTTGCAACTTGAAATAGAAATTTTGGCAGTTTTGTTTTACAATGTGCTTCTTTTTCACTTATTACTTTAAAAATAAGAATCATATAACTTGAACTTCAGCCTTGTATGATAAGTACAGCTTTAGACAAAATGGTGTGACAGAATCATAGTGTAGCAGAGCAGAACTCCTGTTCACTTTCTTCGATGTACAGTATTATATTTAGTCTAGTATTAGTCTAGTCTAGTATTATATTTCAGTAAAAATGGTATAAATAGTTCAGATAACAGTCAGACAAAAAGGGGTCATTTTTAGATCACTTGGATGAGCCTGGGTACACAACTAAGTGAGAGTGGACAAGTCGGGCAATGATTAAGCAAAGTTTATCGTCTGTGTTATAGAAATTAAAGAAAATCTAAATATTTAGTGGAGAAGTTCGAAAGACAAAAAGGAACCATAGACCTCAATCTCTTGCTACCATGCAAAGAAAACCCAAGGTTTCATATTATGCATGCAATCTAAATCGCTATGGTTTTTATGGTGGTTTGGTGCTTTAGTTGGGCTTCCTAGTAGATTGATCATGGTTGGGATTAATGAGGATTCTATCGATAGAGTGATGCTTATTATCAAGAATATACCTGTAAACTTTCGAAAAGCCAAGCTGAAGTGAAAAAGTTCCAACTTCGGTAACGATTTTGAGGAACTTTGAAACAATTATACTAATTTTAGATGATTCAGTAATTTTCCATTAGTGTTATTTATCAGTTAGTAATGAATAGTTCCTATGGACGACAATTCAAAAATTAGGATCATCAAAAGATGTATTAAACTTTCAAGATGTCTATTCAAGAATAACAATTTGTGATTACGCAATTTTCTTGTGAAAACGAGGCTCTGGCCCCCTTTACCGACCAAAATTCAATTCCAAGCATTTATGCACAAGAAATATGCTTAATCAACTTTGAAATTGTAATTTATTTCTGTTTAAACCGTTTTCAAATTTTCTGCTATCTTTTCTTTTGTTTCTTGCTTCATTATTTGCAATTTTGAGAGCATTTTACCAAAAAGTTTAATATTGTCTGTACTAAAGTTGCCGTTTTCTTTGTATCCTTGTGGCTTTCGACATGCGGCCAAAATTCGGCCAACTTTCGCTTTTTCGGCCAAATCAATTTTCGACGGCCAACAGCTTTGAAAAACGGCCAGAATGGAGGAATTTGGCCGTCAAAACGGCCTAATGGCAACCCTGCTTGGTCCCATAAATTTCGTTCTCGCACGTCCATTCCCCTATTCTCCGCCTGGTCTGCAGGGGTGTTCAACCATTTTGGAGACTGGGCCAGCTCCTCCAAACCTTTTCTTTAAGCGGACCAAATGTAATAAGAAAAACAAATACGATAGTTGTAATAAAATGATAATAACAATAGTGAAATTTTAAAATTAAATTTAATGACTATACAATTACAAACCACTCTTTTACATAGATAGTTTGCAACGAAAGATACGACTGTTACAATCGTGAATGCAAAAGGGAAAACTATGAAAAAACCAACCAGAATGTGATTCAGGGTTTGGAGAAATCATCCTAGCAAGGAAATTCAACGTTTCAACGTTTAAGATCGGCCTTTTAGCCCAGACCATCCACTTAAATAAACGTCAACACCAATTTATCCAATATAGCTCCCCCAGCAACTGAGGCATGTCAAAATAGGGATAACTTTCGCCCAGTCTCTCAAATATTCTGCTGTCCTATCTTTTTTAGCAGGATAAATTCGTGACAATGGATAGTAAGCAAATCTTTCCATTATTTCCAGGTTTTATCAAGATTTTAGATTATGTTTCGGTCAATATTTGGCACCCCTCGGAAAATTATCCTACCAAAAAATTGTAATATAATTGCCACAAAAATTCTCTTCCCGGGCTGATTCTGGCCCGCGGGCCGTAGATTGCCCACCCCTGCTTTAGATGATGGCCCTGTCTAGGTAGAGAAGAACGGCGGTCTTGGGGTAAAGCCCTTGTGAAACCTTTACACTGCTACGCCCTAAAGAATCACGAGAAAGGAGACAACGACAATAAAAGTACATTGGAAACAAGACTACAGTCAAACATCATTCTCGAAAATCTTTTGCACCCAACATCAACCGTTAAGAGAAGCTGTGCCCAATCCTACCTTTCATAAGAACAAAACGATATTTCGATGATCATATACATGGCTCCGCAGAGAGGTTTCGGAAGCCCATCGGCACACTTGAAAAAAACAAGACCTTTGGCGATGGCGAGCAAAGCGAGCAGAAAAGTTTCTGCAACCATGTCATTTAGATTAACCAAAAGTAAATTTCAAAATATTTTGATAGTCATTTTCTTGGAATCGTTTAAAAATTTCTACAATTTTGTCTTACTAATGAGAATCTTACTAATTGCTTTTTCAAACTGGAAACCTCGAGGGCCCCCTAAACGTCAAGGCCCAAAACCAATTTGCCACCGCCCCCATCTTTCGGTGGCACTGGCTGTGAGACACTTTTTGGTTACGCAATTGGTAACAAGGGCAACTCAGCAATAGGGCATTTTATGCGAATTTTTAAAAAGTGAAATGGGGCACGTGCCCACTGTGCCCCTGATTCCTACATCTGTTTTTGAATTTAAGACATCATACATCCCTTGACTGATTTATCAAACATACGCCAGACAACGTTGTTGACAAACTGAAATCTCTTCAGCATTATCACAAAGGTTAAAAAGAAGTGATCAACGAGAATTTATATGGTCAGATTGCTTTGCGAATCGATTCTTAGTTCCCATCAACATGGAAAATATAGACTGTCTACTTGCATAAAGAACATTGGAAACCTAGATTGTACTAGCATTTACAATTTTGATATGATTTAGTATTGCTCGGAAATCAATTTCTTGAACAGGGGAACTTTGCTGTTCCCACTGCCCTCCGTAGCTCCGGCTCCCTTGGTTATAAGTTGCAATTTTTGTTTATGGAAACATATCTGGCTGTTTTTAGCTTCTGTTTCTCATTCTCCAGGTGCTTTTCCCTATGTCTACTTTCCAAGCGCAAAAGGGCGACTTTGTTTCCAAGCTGGCTCGTACGGATCATCAATGAAAATGACTGCAACGAGTTGTTGCTACCCAAGTAGTCGGATTGAATTTCAAGACAATAACATATTCATTGGCAAAAATCTATGTTTTGGTGGAGATGTAAAAGATGGCAGTACGCTAAAAGTTTTTTACCAATCAGGTTTGTTGCTAACCATAAAGAGATTTATATAAAAGATAATAGAATTTTAAAAGAGCCTAGGAATATAATGTGTAAGAAAGAAGAATCGCAGGATAGGCTGTCCTATTATTCTATTATTCTATGTCCTATTATTCTCAGTTCCATCACAATTATTATTATTATTATTATTATTATTATTTTGTTTTTTTTATATTCATATTCATAGTCATCATTATCATCCCATTGCAATTATCTCCATAGCACCACCCACATCCCCTTACATCACCCACCACTCTTCCCTCCTCCACTTCCATCATCCCATTTTTTCTCCACTGCGCTGCATTCACACCATTCAACATCCACCAATCCGGTATCACCATCTCACATTTCAAATTCATTCACTCGTTCGTTTCATTTATTCTGATGAAGTCCTGTATGCCGGGGCGAAATATAAGTATTCCTTAAATTTAATCGTTACATTGGATTCTCGTCGTCGTATTGCTTTGTTCCTGAAATTATTTAGCCAGAAAGCCTTTTATTTTTGTATTAGAAATGTGTTCCTTGATTTAATAATTCATCTATGTTTACGTAACTATAGCATTGCTCTTGAAAAAATTACTCATTGCAATGAAGACTGAGTTTCTTTTTCTGGATCATTGACGACGACGACTACATATTATGTTTAAACTAGCTTCAGTTATTTTATAGCAGTAGTAATATACAAAAATTATTTTTTTCTGAAAAAACCTAATTCATTTTTACGCTGAGTTCAGTTTCGAAAAAAAAATTTATTTTGAATATCATAGAATTTTACCCATATTATATATTTTCAATAAAAAATATGCTTTTTCAATAAAAATATATAAAAATTCGCAATCCTACAAATCTACAAATGCGATGGCCAATTTTTTTCTAAGTTAAATTTTTTGCCCTTTTTGAAAGATTTTTTGAAGCATTTTAATAACAGAAGATGACAAAAAGGATTCGTTTTTCTTTGTTGGTATCGTCTAAATTGTGATATTAAATTTTCAATATTTACCATACAACTGCAAAAAATGATTTCTTATCCCCCATTAATAATATTTGTTGCAGAGACCTGCGCTTCGTTCAATATTGGAGCGGATGGCTATCTAAAAGTACGCGACAGTTCCGGTATGATGTTCTGCATGAAGGAATTTGAGCATGGCCCAAAGATTCGTAATTGTGATGGGTCCCTGGCAAACTATAACTTCTACAACAACGGTAAGAATCATAGCCTTTTTTAAGGGACATCAGCTGAGAGGACAAGCCTTTGTTCAGATAACGAAATGGACAATAACCTGTTGCTTTAACCAATAGAAACTCACTATTGCAAAAAAAGCCCTCCTAGTTATAATAAATAGGGCAGGAGCAAATGAAATAACAAAGAAATCACATTCAAAATAGTTAGAGATAACTAAGAAACCAATATTGAAGAATACTTACTAATGCATGGAAAGAAACAGTATTTTATTAGAGATTTTTTAACGATTTTTGACAAAAAGTAGCTTGATTTTTATGTAGCTAAGCCGTCAACACCCTTTCATGTTTGGTAATGTGCTAGACAGCATCGAGACAGCATCATCCTATACACGTTTTCATGCTTTAAGTACCAGCACTATGCTACAAGAATTCCCATACTTCATAAACAGAATTTATTTCATTTTCTGGGAAATGTAAAGGGCATTTAACGAAATAGTTGGGAAGTTTGATGCTTATTCTAGGTTTCTGAAATCTTCCCTTCAGATATTTCAAATAGACATGGTTACATAAAACGGTACTATAATGTCATAAAACTAAATAAATATATAAATTCTGTAAGCCACTATAAAGTTTCAGTACTCCGGTACCTGTTTTGATTTTTCATGAATCAAAAACATTGTATTTGATTTATCATGAATCAGAAATAGTATATAACAGGGTTTTTAAAAAAACAATGCGTGGGTACATCGAATTTCATTTGAATGAAAATGCTGCACTATTTTTACAGGCACCTGTCACGACAGCAAAGCCGCCTCCACGAGTAAGCATATTATTCAATATTCATGTGATGCAAGTTACAAAATTGCTTTATAAAACTCAGTTTGCAATCAAAACTTGCACATTTCAAATTTTTAATCAATCTAAGTTCAAAACAATCATTCTTAGAAACTTAATTGCTAATCGCAGAGAGTCAACCTTCGAATTATTCGTCTTGCTAGAAACCAACTATCTAAAGCTCATCTTTAAAGCAATCTTTAAAGCAGTTTATCTTAAATCAATTCATCTCCAGATTGGTTTTCTTCTAACAGCCCATTGTGAAATGGAATAACTTCAAACAACTAGTTTTAAACAGTGCATTTTTAGGCACAGTCAATCTTTAGGCAGTTCATTTTCAAATCGTTTGCAGTTAAACTGTACATCTTAAACTCTAACTTAAAACAATTCTTCTTCAGCTATCTCTAAAAGCTTTCCATCTTCAAGACATTTATAAGTAAACAGTCCATCTATGACATTCTATTTCCAACAGTCGATCCCAAGCACCTTGCTTTAGGTAATCCTTTAGGCAAGTTCAAACAGCCCAGCGGTAAACAGATCTTCTTTAAACAGACTATATTAAAGCTGCCCACTTACAAGCATTCCATATTCATAAGTTTCGTCTTTAAGCAATTAATATTTAAGCTGTCAATCTTCAGCATCTTCAAACATATTATATATCAGTCTACTTCCAGCAGACGGTCTTCAAAATTTTAATCCTCAAACATATCATCTTCAAAATAACTTTCATTAAAAAATGTTAGCCTCTATCGCTACTAAAGTTCAAAAGATTCTTGTGTGGACCTTCTATGTGTGGTTTTCAATGCAAATAGAGACAATCGTGCTTGATATAAAAATCTCTATACCGTAAATCCTCGAATTGCCTTCCACCCCACTCGAAAAATCCCCCCTCGAATAAGCCCCCGCCCTAGAACTACAAATTGTCATTAAACCCATCCCCCTCGAATAAGCCCCAACTGCTGCTGTAAATCCTTGAATTGGCCCCTTAAAATTGATGATTCTTGCCATCTGGGGTTGTCTTTGACGTTTTATTGAATTACCTCAAAAATTCATACTTTTGATAAAAACTAATTAAGGCTCATAAAGGAGTTCCTGCTAAAATAAATGAGGTCTCTTAATAATTTATTTTAATGTTTACAATAATCGTATATGCCCCCCTTTTAAATGAACCCCCATCCAAAAATATTAAAAATAAATAAGCCCCAGGGGGCTAATTCGAAGATTTACGGTAATTAAAATTGACTTCAGAAAGCTACGTATTTCACAAAATTTGATTTTTTGTTTTGGTTGGTTATATTTGCAAATAATTTTTTTAGGTAGGTTTTAATTTTTTGCATAGAAGTGCAAATATTCTTCTTTCTATGGCTTAAACGAAATTCTATTTTTTCATTTCTTCCAGAAATTGCACACCTAAAAAGACTTGTGACGGTAGATAATTTCGTATTGACCAATGATGGGAGCAAGCTTACATTAACAGAAAGCACAAAATCAGATACAGCCACAACACTGCTGTGGTATTCAAACAAAGAGTTATACGCTCATGTTGGTGGTGAAGAGAAGTGCTTGTATGTTGACGAGCAAGACAAACTGTCGGATTTGGATGGCAAGGATGTCAAGTATGACAAAGACAATATCAAAGGTTTCATCCTTATTAAATTGTGCCAAAGCTGTTTTGAAGCTCTTGCGTTGGTTTTTCTGAAAATTAAAGAATAAAGTAATAACGAGACGTAGATTTTAGATGTCTTTTTGTTACTTATGTTTGCTTTTTTCAAAGCCATTTTAGGAACGTTCAGAATAAAATTATCTTGCATGCATTTCTCTTTAAATATTTAAAGGCCCATTGCTAATCACGCGTCGATTTTCAAGGATGCATGGGTCAAACATTCCAATATCGGAGCGACATAAAGACATTTGAGCTATCTGGTACAAACTATTGTTGGAGAAACGAAGGATCTGCCCTTAAACTGAGGCTGTGCTCTTCAGTTGTAGTGTTTTCTACAAGTAAGATATACAAATTCTGCATTAATGTAGATCTGAGTGTAAATTTTTTCGTTACCTAATTATTTTTCATTATTCATCAAGTTGTTGAAGACAATGAGGCTTGTTATTTTTTTTCTTTTTGCAATTCAAGTATCTAGGCCGAAATGGCCCTTAACTGCTTACAGTACTACAGCGAATTACAATTTTATAATAAAATTCATCGTACTATTTTTGCACAGAAGGCCAAAAGGAAGTGCAATACAACAGATTTTTAAGCAGCAAAATGCCTAGTTCCACATGTATTTCTAATCATACCTTTTTCTCCTCCCTTTGAAATTGAGCTTATAATTGCAACTATTGATCAAATTTAACAAGATATATTCGTTTTTGCTCATTTTTCTATATGCCATTTTCTAACATTTATGTCTAGCCTTTTTGTTTTCTTATAGTGTCCGCACAGTGGAATACAGGGACAACATCTGTTTTGCAACTCAAGTCGTCTTCAATAGAGACGTCAATGACGTCATCATTGAAGTCAAACATGATGTCTTCAATGACCTCCAATGTGATGTCATCAATAACTTTGCGCGTGACGTCATCAGTGATATCGTCTGCTATGTCTTCAGTTGCTTCACAAAAACTATCATTTACCCTATCCCCTGAATTGTCTTCAAAATATTCATCTGTTTTCTCACCTATATCATCAAAGTTATCAACGCGGCCGACTTCGTCAATGTTCTTTAAAACATCCACTTCATCTCCTGTGCATACCTTAAGTTTGAACAGTGTTTCTTCGCACTCTCTGTCGACTTGGTTACCTTTGAGCAGAATGCAGTCAGTCTTATCAAGTACAAAACAATCTAATTCAGGACTGGTACCTGGTTCATCCACAACGAAACTCGTAAATTTAAAACCATCTGACATAAGCGAAGGAACAAGCATAGGATACACCGTATCAAATCGAGGATCAACTCTTAGCACTCAGATTTTAGACAGCTCTTCTGTGAATATTTTACCACTTCCGGCTGGATCAAAATCATACAAAACTACTTCATTTTTAATACAACCAACAAAATCGAGTGGTATATCAGCCTCAACTTCATCAGGTGAAAATTATTTTTTAAATTTTTAGCAGCTTTTGACGTGGCAGGCAGCTTTGTAGGCTTTATCTACGAAAAATATAAAAAAATTAATAGCAGCCTAAATTTCTTAAAAAATATTGTCTAAATCCAGGGCATTTAGTATTTTGGTTCTTAAGAAAACAAAATGTAAGAAACGTGACTTAAAGACATTTGCTTTAACTAACAAAAATTTGGTAAATGTTAATTTTCTAACCTTTTCGCTATAAAATTATTTTATTTTGAATGAATTTTAAAAGCTAATATCTATTATTCTTTCTTGGTTATATTCTACTTTTATGAAGGATATTGATAGCCATCTTCCTCCACAGCCAAACCGCAAGTTGAAAAAATTTACCACAATTTATATCTGGCCAATCCAGGACAGCAATGTGAAGAATTTTGCCGATCTAACAGTACGTCTTTTGCCAGCTTATTTCATACTTTTAACCGTTCAGACGTTAACTATAAAAAATCTTTTCCTTTTGAAAACATGGACAATATTCATAACATTTCCATTAAATACTAATCCAGTTCAAGAGCATCAGATAAGACAATACTTACATAATAAAAAGCTGTCAAGAAACACTTACACTAAATAAGTAACTTATAATGATAATATTGATGAATTGTTAGCCTGTATATCATTATATACAGTGTGCTGTAAAAATCGAATCAGTCATAGAATTTTATCGTTAAAAAAGATTTATTTAGGTGCGTAGTTAAAGTCATGGAAAACACTTTCTCTCCCAGCCAATGGTCCGTATTTTCACAATCGGATGTATCATTTTACTGGTATGCGTTTCATTGCTTCTCTGCAAGCTTTCACCCTTCTTGCTCGATTTTTAAAAAACCATATTTTGTGTTAATATTGAAAAAAAGTAAATTGCTTTTTTAAAGAAATGTACTGCTCGTCACAAATTGACACTGGAAATACAAACGATGGGTTCTTGAGTAACGGAGTATCGTGTAGCTCTGATGGTGCCAGAAAGCAATGGACGAATACATTTGATCCTTTCTATAACACAAGCAATGGAGCTTGCTATGGATATCTATTCGTGAACAGAACTGTTCCTTGCTACATTGAAAATTTAGCAGATAGAAATGTCAGAAGGCTTTGCAGATGTGTCAAAAATGGTACAATTTTTACTTCACTATCTTTAAATGCTGTTTTTTGATTAGCCTAGAATTTGTTATGTAGAAGAGCCAAATAGCCAATTTTTGATGCAGGAATATCTACCACCCAACAGACGTACTTGACAAAAAGATACACACTAAGAAATTCATCATTAAATACACGATCACAACAATTACCATTCATGTTAAATGTCATCCAGTTTTTGTACTTTTACATCATCTAGTCAGCATTTACGCACTACCTAGAGAGTATAAGGCGGTGATTGGTTGATGACTGATGCACAACAAAGCAAACAGATGTGACTAATTTGCTACTTATCATCCATCTCAGCTCTTTAAGAACATAAAATACAATTAGTTAGAAAAGTAAAATTCCTTATTGTGCCAATTCATACCTTCGCCGCTTTGTTGTTATTTGTGGAAAAATTTAGCCCCAGGTAAATTTCTCGAAATTTTGCCTTTTCTAAATAGTATCTGACGCAAAATCTGCTTTATGAAGGAGGGACTTATTTTTTAAAAAATTTAACGATCGATTTTAACTTTTGCCTAAAGCTATCATTATGCTCTTTCATTATCATTGATAAGATTCAATTAGTATTGAATAATTGCTTTTTAGCTGATGAAGACCATTTCAGCCCATGGATGCCTTGGTCGAAATGCACAGCATTATGCAACATAGGAAAGCAAGAAAGACAAAGAATATGCAATGAATTTCCGTGTAATGCAGAAAGTCTCGAAACAAGAGAATGCAACAATCAGCCCTGCCCTGGTTCGTTTTACAGCTCCTCTTTCAAAAATCAGCATTGTTTCACTTTGCTCTAATTACATTCTAATAAAATGAGCAGCATTTATTTTATAACAAACAGATTCACAGCAAAATTCTAACTTTGTTCGCCACATTCTGATTTTGATCTAAGTGCCCCTTGTTTCTCTATTTGCAACAGTAAATGGTGGATTCTCTGATTGGTCAGTTTGGTCCGGGTGCAGTAAGTCATGTGGTGGAGGCAACAGGAACCGCACGCGGTCGTGCAGCAATCCGGTACCAGAATATGGAGGATTAGACTGCTTTGGGGATAAGCTGCAAATTGCTGTGTGCAATGTCGGTTACTGTCCGGGTGAGGCATATAGAAACATTTCCTTTGAAACAATTTAGATCGCAAGTACATCATGAATCTTCTTCCAAGATACTATGATTGTCCGTGTTTTGAGTGATGCGGATTAAATGGGTTGCAACTGATGATAAAAGTCTTGATACTTCATTCTTATGACCATCTTTTGAGACATCATAACCGAAAATAAAATGATTTTTTTTAAAGTTGATGGTACATGGACAAAATGGACAGAATGGTCAGCCTGTGACAAGCCTTGCAATGGTGGTTGGTATAGGAGATGGAGATACTGTACCAACCCGGCACCACTTTACGGGGGACAAAGCTGTGATGGCGACTCACAAGAAAGAGTTCCTTGTAACCCACATACTTGCCCAGGTATGGAATCGAAAATGGTTTTCTCTTCTAGCACACGTTAGACATAAATAAGCTTTTACATATGGCGAAAAATTCAGACTTGGTAGAAATGTGTAACCGGGAAGGAGTGCTATCTCTCATTCTAGAAAGCAGCTTTTATCGCATTTTGAAAACTTTCATTTCAAATTTTACATCAAATAAGAAACAATTTAGCTTTACTTTTTAGCCCCCTTTCTTCTATCATAATGCCGGCGTCCTTTGACATTAATTAATGCTTCATATGTTCAAAACAAATTATTATACTTTTAAAAATAGCGTCAGCTGTATTGTGGAGGATCTTGTTCTATTTTGAAAATTGTTTAAACAAAAACTTTTGCTCCTTCTTATTTGTTGTTTTTTGGAAGTTTGATAGTAAAAAGGCTAATTCAAAAAGTAATTTCATTGAACAAATTCAGATCATAATGACTTCGCTCGTTCTCTTCGGGAACTAACTCATTTGCACTTTATCTTTTTTAGCTGAAAACATTACAGCAGTTAATGTGCGGTTTGATAAAGTATGGAAAAAAGAACTGGGAATTACTGGCTCCAGAGAGTACCAAGAGTTTTACAACCTGCTGAAGACAAATGTAAGTTTTTAAGAAAAATGACTCTCTACGTTACCGAAGCAGAAATACTTGAATTCAGCTATTTGAATAATATTACCATGATCCCTTTCTTATAAATTAACATACATGAATTTTGAAAAACATACTTTCCGATAAATCGATTTTTACTAAATATCAAAATAGGTGTCCATACTTTGTTTTGCGATGAAAGCGTCATCTTAACCACATAAACCACAAAGAGATTTTCGTATATAACTAAACTTACAACTCAACATACTTATATTAAACAAAGTATGGAGACAGATACAAAAATAAAAACAAAACAAAACAAAACAAAATAAAGATCTTAACAACGCAATAAAAAAACATTTTTTAAAGCTGAAACAAAGCAATGCACATAAAATAATACTGAGTGCGAAAAAGCATAAAATTTCAGTTCATAAACGACCTGTATTCCAATAATGAAAGATTACTGATTTTTATAATCATATGCGAATGTATTGCGGTAATGAAAGATTACTGATTTCTGAATAAGTCAAATACTCTTTTGACGAGTAATCGTATATCCCTTTTGCAGCTTCTTTCACTGTATCAGGATGAATCTTTCAACAGATCGTACCTAGATTGCTCAATCAACACCCTAAGGTAAAATTATTTATTTGTTTTTTGATAGCATCCTATTACAAAACAGTAAAAGTGATAATTTGTAATCCATGTAAGCACACCTTTAGCAAGTTGTATCTCTAAACAGAGAAGCTGTTTCTTTTAGCAATGGGAGCATTGTGGCAACATTTACACTGTACTTTACTGGTCTCGACTCATTCCAGATGCTTTTGTTGCAAGATGCGGTAAAGGAAGACAAATACATTGGCAAGCTTAAAATCCTGAGCTCCAATGATTCTCTAACATCAACTCTTGGTGAGAAAGATGTTATTCTCTTTCCAACATTATGATTAAAAAAACCATGATATGGCTCATGAATGTTTTTGTTAGCAAAATATTTTCATTCTTCTAATAGGCCTGTATGTATTGAGCCTAAACAATTTTCAGACATCCCTTTATCCATGCAAAGATGCCTGACTGAATTTTGAAGTACAAAGGCTATTTTTCCTAAGGATATAGCATTTTCATAATAACCTGTGATGACAATATCCTACATTCGAGTTGTTGATATAGAATTTAGACAGGCTTGAAAAAAGATAGGGAAAGTAGTGAAAAAATGCTTACGGATCGTTGTGGATCGATAAAGATTATTTCTATTGAGCGTTTTTCTTTATCCATACTTTCTCTTTTTTGTTATATGTCTGTTAAAAAGAATTTTACTCAATCAATGTTACCTTATACCTATCATCCGTTTTAGTTCCATCTGCGTCGCCAATCAACTTTACGTTGAGTGCTCCTGAACCTAACATGGTCATGGCAAAGTGGGAACGAGTTGCCACTAACCACCGTAATGGAAACATAACTGGCTACATACTGTTTTATAAAGAAAAGCTCCTCAGAGCAGAGCACTACCAAAGCATTGCAACCACAAACCTTACAGTGACTTTAAGAGGCCTTCTGTCATACACCGAATACATGTTTCGTGTCCTCGCTTACAACGAAAACGGAAATGGACTGGCGAGTGATGCAATGACAATTTTCACGCAAGATTCAGGTATACAAAATATGATTAACATGGAGTGATTGCAAACGATGCTTAAAAACAACTTTATGAATAACTACTTTGCAGTAACTTATTTCAATTCTTCCATTAAGGTCATATGTAAATGAAATTTAGAATTAAGTTTTTGTAAATTTTTCAATAGTATGACAGCTTAGAGTGGCACATATCTTTCAAAGCCTTTCGTCTATTTGCTGTGCTTTCGATATTAATAAGGGTGGGATATCATATTCGTTAGCCACCTGCCAAGGTATTTATTTTCTGATTTGTAAGGTTTATTACAGTTAAAACTGTGATAATTTTTTCCAGCTAAATACGTTCTGTGTTAGGAAGGGAGGAATGTCATGGCATTCCTTGAATTTGATTAATAGAAATTTGTCTATATTCAGATTTATATAGCAGCCTCTAACTGACGCACTAACGCTCCAAATCTTCAAACTTACATGCAAGATTAAAGCCCTTTTTCTGTCTTTATGCAATACAATGTTTTTCTTCTGCCAGTACCAAGTACACCTCCACAGAATGTTCAAGCAATTGCAAACTCACCGTTCACTGCTATCGTAAACTGGGAGAACCTCGAACAAAATCAATGGAATGGCAATCCAGTTGGCACACTAATAATTTACGTTGACTTAAAGGGACAGAAAGCCAATCAAACTGTCCCTTTTCCAGAGTCTTTTGCTAAGATAGGAGATCTTCATCCGATGACAGCTTACTTGATTGACGTGTGCGCAGTGACCAGAAAAGGAGCTGGACCTTGTCGAAGAGTCCAAGCAACCACGTTAGCAACTCGTGAGTTTGATTCTCCTCCAGTTTTCAAATTTGTTGAGATTAGAACTACTATGCACTCCTCAATTCTTCAATAAAAGGCAATCATTAAATAACACAACAAAAAGCAGACCAAATTTGATAAGCAACATTTCTGATTATAAATTTTGGGTCACTATCCAAGGCACGATGGTGCCTTCATCAAAGTGTAACTTAGCTTGTCCTGTCTTTAAGAGTGAAACTAAAAAGAAGGTCTGGGTTTGATGGATTATTTCAGATGTGTATCTTTCGTAAAACTTTTTTTATGCGTTAGTTATTACAATCCTAATCTCTTTACAGCACCAACCAGATCCCCAAGTAACATAATGATTGCAAGTTTGATGAGCCACAATTCAATCCAAGTATCATGGCAAAGACTCAGCTCTGAATATGTTTATGGAGATTTAAAAGGGTACAAGGTCATCTATCGATTAGTGAAACTAGGAGGCAATGTCATTGCTTCTTCAAAGAAAGAGACTAAAATCATCCATCCTTCTTTGACTCAAGCCACTTTATCTGAATTGCAACCAAATGCACAGTACACTTTCAACGTTCTTGCATTCAATCAACATGGAGATGGAAAAATGTCGGAGACATTTACTGGAGGTAAGCAAAATGATGTTTCGAATTGATTTAGCTATGCTGGTATATAGTTTAATGTACGTAATCAATGTCTGGGGTACCTTGATTTTCTTACTGGTTTATGTCAAGAAAATTTTGCCTGATACATTGCTCGAATTGTCAAAATCTCGATTTGGTTTTAATGGTTCAAGGCGTCAAGTGGCTTTTTGTTACTAATCAAAAATACATAAACTCTAACTTTATCTTAATCTTGATTAAGGAATTTTGAAGATGTATGTCATTTTCGGATGTTATGTTGGCTACACAAACAATATTGTGAGGAATTTACTGTCGTAAGAAGAGACAAAATGAATGGTTCGAGGCGTTAAGTGTATTTTTTGCTATTAATCAACAATACATAAACTCTAACTTTATCTATAACTCTTTTAAAAGCTTTGAAGGTGCATCTCATATTCGGAGGTCATGTATGCTAAACAAACAATATTGCAATGAATTCGCTACTGAAAAAAGGTACAATATTGTTCTGAAAATGGCATTGTTTGAAAGAGCAAACAGTGAAGTTCTACATTGATCGCGAAAAATTCAGAGGTTGGACTAATAATACCTTTAAGAATACCTTTAAAAATACCAAGCCATTTTTTCCTGTGTTCAATTGTCGTTTAAAAACTCCATACTTTGGGTAGAACCTCACGGTAAAAACATGCCTGTATCTTTGTAGATACCTGTCCCTGTCCAGAGGTGATCTATACAAATTTTGCTGCAAGTTCTCCATACATGTTTAGAGACAAAAATGGAGAGATTAAAGGACTTATTGCTAGTATTCTAAAGAACATGACGTCCTCTGTCTGTGGAACATGTAAACGAGCGCCAATGAGTGTTTTGAGTTTTAAAAGCAATGGAAAGAATGGCTGGGCAGAGAAAAGATCAATTAAGGAGATGAAGATGGACATTGATGATTATGTTCATATGAGTTTTCCTATTTTCGGCAACAGCGAGCTGGATCTGTACAATGGATACGCTTTTGTTCCTCTCTTCAGCCATCCTGGCGTGATATACTTCATTATCAAAGATACCCTGGCTGAACAAATTCGAGGAATGATACTAAATGTACTAAACACCTGGCCAATATTCTTAATCAACATGCTATTAATTATCCTGTCAGGATTTTGCATATGGATATGCGTGAGTTTTATTTTGTAATTTTTGTAAGTTCAGTTTTGAAAAATTCTGAGACAGAAAATTCTAGCTAAGAATTTTGATATAAAAAATTATGCTCAATGGAGGACCACATAATTTGAATATCAAAATTTCTCAAACGATTTTTGACTAAAGTTGAAGTTGAATTGAAATTTATCAATCTAATAGTAGATTCCAAGATGCAATGTTCAATTGAATGGCATTTTTAATGATTTGGGTACGAAACTGTTTATGGCATTTAGTAGAAAACATCATAAGAATAGAAATTTGATTCAAATATCGCATATATGATAGACTAATTGTCGTATCGTGACGTATCAAAGGATCTAAAAACTGCAGCATCTGAGCTATAAGTTTTGTATCAATGGAAATCATCTTGTGCATGGAAAACTGACTCAAGAACTTCGCATTAAAACCTATTGAATCGTGCTAAATGAATGCTTTGTCGCTTGCATCAAAAATGTTGGATGCCTTAAAGCTCAGATAAGTTGTGTAGGGATAAATATGTAAAACATATACAATTGAACTTAAACAAACATATATTGGACTTGAAATTTTCACTGAGAAAGGTGTTTTGTTCTAGGATTGGAAGTCCAATGCAGATGAAATTCCACACGGCTTTTTTACTGGCATTGCTAATGGTTTTTATTGGTCTTATGTAACAATGGGAACGCATGGGTTTGTTTTTATAACGTCATATCTTATTGAGGCATTTGTAAAACATTACTTGATAGAGTTTGTAATGAAGGTTGTAGAACAATTCGAGGTTTTGTATCGATTTTAATGTACTCCAGTGCTCTACATAGGATGATATTTTAAAGTGTGGGCAATATTTAAAGGACTCCAGGGGCGAAATATTAGCTACTGTGAATTTTGCCTGTGTTTATTGTTGTTTGTTTTCGGCGCGTTGTGATGGTTCTTATTTTCTACATTTTAGAGTAACTTTGTTTTGGAGAAGACATGGTTTTTGGTTAGAGTAACCGTTATGTTTTTGTGGCTTCGTCAAGTTTAGAGGGACAGCTATTGTTGTGTTTTGTCGGTCGCCATTGTTAGAGAGAGAGTTTGCGGAGTTTAATTAAGATATTACTTGTTAAGTTCAGATATACGTCACAAGCCCGTATAAGACTATGAATATAAATACCTCATCTGCTAAGCTCCATTAATAATAACAATGGTAACAAAGGGAAAACACGACTTGCATGAGAACAAAGATCTGGATCTAGTGTCCTTTTCGTAGTAGAATGCTACATCTACAGTCTGATGTGTGTTTACTTACTCTATTAGTCTCTGTTTCGCTATTGCTTCGCTTTACGGATGCCGAAAATGGCGACCAATCGAATATGTTTAATTTCTCCGTTTTGTGCTTTTAATAAATAAAATTCAGAGCTTAAAAATGTTTTGAGCGACAATTTGTTCTCTTGGATAGATGAATTACTATCTTCAGTGGTTTCCATTATTGCAAACGTCAGTTGCTATCAATGACCATCCAATGTTGTTTTTCTTCGAAAAATAAGGCTGAGAAAATCTCCAAGAGAATATTCAAGCGTCTTTGTCAGATATTTTCTCATCATCATTTTCTAGACAATAAATTTTTTTGAGAAGTGGCTCTAAAAAACATTTTCGGAATGTCGTCCCAACAAAAGTAAGAAATTTATGTATACCTTTCAACACCATTGTTCTATCATAAGATACCCGTTGTCGTAAAGACAGGGCTGTCAAAACTTTTGTTTGTGCAACAGGATGGTGTAAACAACAGTTTCATTTCAATGCGTTGGTCGGGCAACTATTCTTTAGACGTTTGCACGAAGACTGAAAAAACGTCAGTCGAAGATCTGAAATATCTGTTTAATGTGAGGGTTTACATGTGAGCTTGAAATGCAATCATTTAGCAAGGATGTTCAAGAATATGAAAAATGCTCCCTCCAATTACTAAAATTTTGTCGTAATTTTAATTACTTTGACTGTTTTTTACTACTTACATGAAATCATGGAATAGTTCAAGAATTTCCAAAAGAAGAAGTTTTTGTGCTGATTCAATTACTATTTTCTAGATATGGTGATATCACACCGAAAGGCATCTTGGCCCGGCTATATGCTGTTGTTTGGATTCTTATAGGCATCATTAATCTTGGCATTCTGACTGGTGCCTTGACCACAGCAATGACTGTTGCGCAAGTCTATGATAGCTCTATGATTTACAATGTTAAGGTAAGGCGGCAGAGTTAATTTAAGTTTTGCATATTATGTGACGTATCTAGGTGTTTGGGATGGGAAGCAGACGCTTTACATGATGAAAAAGACAAATGGGTGTGACCACTAGCAATAGACATGTAATATGTAGGACTGCATTGTCTACCGCCCTGAAATACTCTCCTCCACACAGGCTATTGGGAAAAGAGGGGGACGGAGAAAGAAAAGGAACTACGTAAAAAGGAATAGGGGAGTAGCTGCTAGAGAGGAGGCTTCTCCACAGCTCCGCCTTTTCTCCCTCCATTTTTTCTTCTACAATTGCTTCTGTGGAGGCGAGTAGCTTTGAAGTACAACATTCGGAATATTTCTGTTAAATTCTGTATATGGTTTCAAACACGGCTTTCTTGAAATAATGAAATCACGAAAAAAATACATGCAAAAAAGGGGACAATAATCATTTCGTATTGTCAAATATGGACATTAAGCATTGTTCAAATCTCTACATCAATGTATAATGTTCGTATTTTTGGAGCAATGCATGATACTGATTAGTTTGGTTCGACAGCGAGAGCATATACCAAAAGAGTTTTCCATATTTCACGGAAGCCTATAAGCGAATACTCCTGACACCAAATCGATGCACATTATACCTGAATAGAGTGAGCATTTATTGATCCCCCTATTGCAAAGACGCGAGTTCTAGCTATCAATTCAAGCAACTTAAGTGGACTATATGGAATTTTGTATTTATTTAGTTGCAAAGACTTGAGATTGAATTTCGTAATTATTTTTAACGATATATCAAATAATAACAGGCAGTTTATGACAATACTTGCCAAAGAGTTATTTATTTCATTCAAGTGCCAAAACATCGATGCAGAAGGTCTGATAGCTTGTAGTCCCAGATATGCAAAAGGAGGAGCCTGGGGGCCAAGGGGTCAGTGGGCCATGGACCCCATACATTTTTTGTATTATACATCGCTAACAATAAATACCCAGCTCAATGCCCCATTATACCAGTATTTCCAATAAGATGCCTTTACATAAAACAAACTTTTCCCAGTGCCTAATTTCGAGTGGTATTAGCCACTTATAGTTGACTTGGAATTTAAATAGAGGTGTTGGAAACAAGAATCAGTGGGGGAAAACTGGGTACTTTGAAAACTGTCAGTCTATATACACAACAGTTCTTTGGAATTAAGTACTTATCCTGTTGAGGTGCTTATAACCAGTCGCGTAGCGTCCAGATATTCAAGGTATTGTGTGAATACCCTAAGATTTTGAGAGAAAAATATAGAAAAGTTATGGAATTGTAATAACTAAAATGTTTTAGGAATGGTTAATTATGACTATTTTTGCTGTCATTTTGATGTAAGCTATCGTATTAATTCAAAATGTCACGAAATTCATGCAACAATAAGATCAGTTAACAATGTTTTGTTTAAACGATAAAATTTGGGTGAGGTGTCGGTTTCTGGCGATTTGAAAGGCGTGGTATGCAAGATTTTTCCCGGAGTGTACCCTCGGCCCCCCTTCTTTCCATTTAGCAAAAAAGTGGTCGTAGAAAAACGTTTTAATTAGGCACTTTTCCCCTAGGTTGCTGCAGTTCAGGGTTCTGAAGCATACAGAATTGGTTTACATAGAAATGGAAGGGTTAATGAAGGTAAGTAAAACAGAGCCTATGCTTCTACAAAATAGATAGTGATTATGATCGCATGTCTTGCTCCTGAAGTGGCTTGCACGAAAGGCTAAATTTTGCATGACATAATTTGGATGTGAAAAAGACATGCATCTAAGCATCTAAGCTAGAAAAAATTTGTTGAAAGATCTAAAGGACAGAAGCAAAAATCACCTAGAATTGTAATATTTGCCTAAGTGCTTTCATGCCAGAAAATGCTTGTATACTTTTGGGAAGACAAGTCATGCTAATCCAATTCTCTGATCACCTGCAGATTTTTTATTTGCATCCTACCTTCGAGCATTTTTTACCCATTACTAAAGTTGAAAATATAAATTAGCTGAAAAGCATAAACTGAAGCAGTGCCAGTTTACTTATCACTCTTCTGTAAATGGCATATTTCTGCATTCTTTAGAAAATCAATACAAGACAATCGAAGAAGTGTCATCTGCCTTAAAGAGGAGAGAAGTGAGAGGTGCCTTGGTTGATGTTTACTCGGCAGCAATGCGTAGTGACCTATTCAACCACCCTGACATTGTCGCCAAGAAGAGGGTTGTGTATCCTAATGCATATGGGCTTGTGCTTACTGGTGAATTGAAGAATGCTGCTTCTGCGTTCAGAGATTACCTTAATGTTAACGTAGACAAATTTCTCGAGGATACAAGGAAAAGAGCAGCTGGCTTAGAGGTGCAGGTTTTAAAAACTGTTAAATTCAAAAGCAAAAAGTGTGTTAAAATATTGCCAAAGAAGATTTTGAATTATTCACAGATTGAAAGCTTTAATATAGCCAAATTAATCTTTAACGAATGAATGATTGTTTGAACAAGTTTTGAAAGTCAAAAATATACTTGTCTTCTAATAGGATAGGGAAAAGCACAGTGCTAGAACCTAAGGAATGAGAACATCTCGTTACAAAATTGGCAAATAGGCATCTTTCTTATTGACATAAAACCATCAACATACTTTTTTGTTTGAGATCCAGTCAAAAAAAATGCTACCCTGGGTGCCTGATCACTGTTCGACTATCTCTTTCACTGAGGCTCTTGTTGCCAGGGTAGAACACTGCCAAACATTGTTTAAAGGTCTCTTTTCAGAAAGAATTGTCTAATTTGATGCAAACAAATTCTTGCAAAACTCTTGCTGTTGCTGGTGACGGGTTTCTGAGACGCGACTCTGCAAGATAGTCAAGAACAAAGTCTCCGTGCATATTGTAACGGCTAAACTTTTTCCTTTTTACGCCAGACTTGCTCTATTGGTCGTAGTTCATACTGGCTGAATGAGCTGGTCATCTACTTGGCTCTTTCATACACGATGTTTCACCATTGGAAAATGCATGTAAATGTTTCCTCCCTTAAAATTTTGGAAAAGAATCAAATATCTAGAGCTGCAAAAAGCACAACAAGAGATAACCTTGATTAATTGAAATGATATCGTTAAAACAGACATTTCAAGAATAGCTCAACGACTGCATTCAAAGAAATAGATGCTGCAGATCAATCTCACAAATTTGCATAACTTTTTGGGCGCTCCTTGATCGTCTCTTTTTGTTTTTGGTAACAACAGAAGCATACCTGAAATAATTAACTTCTGATTCATTTCCATAAAATATTCTCCTTCTAGGTAAATAAAGAAACTGGGGATACGGTTGCAGTTTTTGATCCCGAATCTGAAGTTTTTCAAAAGACCCTGTTGGGCCTTTTTGCTGGCCTAGTCATTTGTTTTCTAATTGGGGCCTTGAGCAACTTCTACAAATCTTCGAAGACAAAGTCATTCATAGCGACTGGTGCGTAAACTTTTAAATAAATTGATAAAAAGTTACTTGCAAACTTGTAAAAGTATTATTTCTAAACTGCTTACTGTCCAGGGCAAAGACAGAAGAGGGCTGTGAGGCTAAGCCCCCCCCCCCCCTATGTTGGAGGAAAATACTATTGTTGGGTCATATATATATTAAAAGTTTCTCTGGCCTCGGGCTTGTTACCGTAACTTTAATATCAAAATCATCTCGTTCTTAGAATAACAGCCGGTCTTAAATAACGTCTCATGGATTCATTTTATAGACACCGGATGAAAGTTTGTCTTATAATTAATGAAAGTTGAAGTGCAAAAAAATCATTCATAGCAATGGCATCACCACGTACAAGCAAAATTGTTCTTTTCCCCCTCTAGAGACCTCCCCAAGTTTCAAACTGGTCGAGGATATCTGCAATAGCAGTCTACTAGAACTGCGAAGATCATTCAAAGAAAAACTCGACATTCTTGAGAAGATGCAACTTGATGAGCGGATAAAGAGGCATAACTTGGCAAAGCCGTCTAAATACTTACTATCCACGGTGAACTGCAAAGAGCGAAGGTCAAGTTTGTTTGCTGAAAAAGAAACAAATGTGGAAAGCATTGCTTGCACTTGCGATGAAAACTATGGACATGCTGAAGTAGATAAACCCAATGCAAGAACTTAAGAGGAGAAGCCCCGATCAAAACACGTCATTGTGGCCTACCGTTCTCTCATCAAGTTCCAATCTTTTTTGTGAATGGAACAGTGGTTTTGTACAATCAATAACATTGAGCACATCTAAATTACCTAATATCGCATTATTTTCAACCGTACACTCACTTTTTTATAAGAAACAAAGGGCGATGTTGAGTACTCCGGTTCCTTAATGTTCTGGAAATTTCAATACTCATTGTTTCTTAAGAGTTTCCTAATTATAATGTCACGAATGATGGTATGAAATGTTCGTGACCTTTTCTTTCATGAGATTCACTTCCGTTCTTATGCTGACGTGGGAAGTATATTTTTATCCCTTGCGTCTTAAGTTCTAGGCCATCAGGGCAATCATGTTCTTATATTTTACAAAATTTCGTTGTTCTCAGTTTTATCATGTTTCAATAGTTTCTTAATTTTTTTGCTTCGAGTATTGAAGTTTCTTAATATTTTCTGACTGTCCTGTACTCGTTTCTTATAGCCAGTTTATTATAAAAAAATTGAGTGTATTCTGAAGATGCTCGACAACTTTAGTGAATGGATCACTTAGGCCCTTTAATTTTCAATAGGTCGAAAGCCTTTTTAGCCTTTTTTGTGATGTTTCAGGCCACATTCAATCATTCTACAATGCGCCTTAGTTGACCAATAGAAGTTACCTGAGGTCAGTTTCCAATAGCTTCTGGTATTTTCAATGAATTCTCTTATCAATCAAATCTTTGGTGGTACAGTTATACAAAGTGGCTATGTAAATAACAAAATTTTAAAGCATGTCCAAGTTTTTCGTCTGATACTCTTCAGAAGGTAAAACTTCAGAATATTGATCGAAGATTCTAAGCAAGGAAAGATGCATCATGTAGCCAAAAGGAGTAGGCAGTATAAGAACTCTAATTGGCTTATTTCGATCAACAACTTGGTATATATATTTCCTAACTTAGAACTTTCGATCTTTATACTATGAAGAGTGTCAAAAAAATGTCTTAAAATGTTTGCTTTTTCAAGGCAATTTTAGATATTTTATTTCTTTTCAAGCTTTTATCGTGAAGAGACTAGTAGCCTATTGCTAACTATCTTTGTACAGAGAGAGCTGACATACTTGCAAAAGTTTTTATCATCAATATTAGTTACCTCGAATACGAAATTTTCGCTATTATTGCTTCACGGCTCCCAAAAGCCTATTCAAAGGCTAATGCTATCGTGCGCCGTCCGTATTAATAAGGTGGAACATTTTGCAATTTTAAACAAGACAGATATTTCCACAGTAGGTTACTACTGGCTGCTGACATATACTTTTGCCAAAGGTTCTATTGATGGCATAATGTATGTTGTAGATTTTGATGAAATGTGAGGTACAGCACTTATGCTGTATATGAACGATATTATATGGAAAAACAACTCGATCGGATATATCTGCTGATCAGGGGGCAAAAGGGAGGGTAATAACAAAGAACACACTTGCTGTGAATTGTCAGCTGCAAGTTCTTCTAGAAAATCAAATGGCTATTGATGAAATGATACGAAACAAACTGATTATAGGGTCTTGCGCAACCAGCATGCTTTGCGGCTACATTAAAAAACCGGCCTAATATCGTACTGCATGAAAATACAAAACACAATCAACTTCTCAAGACAGCTGCCGCTAAGCATGCCGGTTGCGCAAGAGCCTTTAAAAGGGCAATGGCGTTTTTGTGCTCGGTGCTTTAATCTGCGACACGAAAGGAAAACTGACTTTCATAGAAATCCTCTAAACTCATCAAATTTCATACCAGAATGAATACTACAGCTTATATATTCTAGGTGCTATTTTACCAACTTAGGCATTTGTAACTTTTACATCCACGAAGACACATATCTTAAGCCGAAATATTACGATTTCTACAGCAATAAAGGAATACTTTTGTCTCTGAGAATTCTGGAACTAAGTCTGGAAAACATATGTTATATTTTCTGAATGAATCCCGAACTCTTACTGATAAAGCTGAAATTTGTAAAATTTGAGATATCGTTCTGTTTTATAACCTGAAAAGTTTCAGGCCTTTAAAGAAGGATTATCCATACGAAGATAAAACATGCCAATACTTAATCATTTATGGCTTTCTCGATTTTCTAGAGACGAAAACCTTAGTCCATCGTATGGCCCGGAATGAGAGTCGGAAGAGTTTTTGAAACATTTCTTAATTTCACTCATTGACATTGAAGTGCTTCGATTGGCGAGACCAGATGGTGCAATGCCTTTTGTTACGGGCCACGCCACGACAGGATCTTATTTTAAAACATATCATTATATAGACAAACTGAATGGAATGCTGGCCTAAGTATGACCATTGGACAATCTTTTTGTAAGTGAAAAACATATTGCTTCCGGAAAATCACGTTGCTGTCTTTACGGTTTCATTAAAATTTCACTATTATTTCTGGGATGACTAGCCTTTGTCATCACACACAGTTCTCATCCCATGTCTTTCTCGCTCTGCAGGGCAACGGGGAAAAATTCAAAATCATCAAATACACTTTAAAGCCTGCACTTGCAAGCCGAAATCCTTTCTAAATGATATCTGTTCCTAGATTTTCTAAATAGGTTTATAACAACTGTTGGGAACATGGCATTTCATTGTATTTAGACTAAATACATACCTGTATCTGGCCAGAAAATTCCTTCATCTAGCTTTTGTTACTTACAAACTAGATTAATTAATATTCATGAGACTATTTCTCGGTCTAAAATGCTATAACTTTACTGAAATGGTTTGTCCAAGTCAGATAGTACGTGCTCTCCGATCCAAGGCAAGAGTTTCGTGACCCTTGCAAACACCTCATAGTTTGATCCACACTCAGCTAGGCTACCAAAGCTGACAATTCCACCAAGGATCCAGCTCCTCTCTACGTCATCATAGGCCACCAAAGGACCACCAGAGTCACCTTTGCACACGTTAGTTCCTCCGATATTACCAGCACAGATCATTTTATCCGTAATTGCAATATTGTCATTCTTGGCATAAGATGCCGCGCAGTCTCTTCTTGACACTAACCGTATGCATGCTTCGTTAAGGATCTCAGAATAACCCGTCCCGTTTGAACCCCAGCCGGCAATCATTACGTTGCGACGATTAACGAACAGTCTTTTTTCTCTGAAAAGAAATAAAATCGATAAGCCAGCCTACAGGAAAATCATTTTAAAAAATTTCTTATTGCAAATATAAATAATGTTACTTTGACTATTTTCAGGAAATCTTTACTAGGTCATTGGATAACGATGAGACTTTACTGTGAAAAAGACGTTGGGGAGACAAGCAATGCAGCTTCGAAAAAGTCGGGGGCTTATCTCCACCCCTTAAAATATTTTCTCTTGCTTGCTTTCATGTCTAATAATTAAGTTATCGAATATCAGCAACTACTCTTATGGTGGAAAAATAGTTAAATTTCCTGCTATGCTGTAAAAACAACATTTTGGAAAATATACCAGGATTTTAATTTTGTGTCCGTTCGTTAAATTTTCTCAAAATTTCCCAGCTGACGATGTAAATTCAGAAATGGGTATTGATAGCCCCTTTTGGAAATAAGTTATTAGTTATTGTTCTCTTTTGTTTCTCTTTATGTCTTCTTGCATTCCTTATCTCTAATTGAAAGACTATATTATTGTAAGAATACTTTTGAAGCGATCCCCAATGGCAAATTATAAATCTTTGAATTGGCCTCTAAAGTAAAAGCTGTAAAGAAAAAATTTAAAGAAAAAACCCTAATTTTAAGCTATTGTGAATAAAGCTAATGTGATTCAACAGAAATTGGAAAGCTGCAACAAACAGAGCATTTTCACAGTAGCTTTGTCGCCAGCACCAATATATACATCAGAAATTAAGCCAGCTACTGGATTGAATTTCCAAAAAGGGACTGCCTGCAGATTTACAGATAATCAAAGCAACATTCAAATCTAATTTCAAAGTTAAATGAAATGTACCGTTTCTCAGTAGGAAGGCATACAGGTCGCACATAATCTGTCATCTTTGCTCTCCTGTCCAATCGAATGAGGCCTATATCAGCATTAAAAGCTGTATGGTTAAAATGTGGATGCTTAATCATCTGGGCAACCTGCAATTAAAATTTGTATATACAATTTATTAAATAAGAGTTCTTCAAGCTTTAAGAACAAGCTTAAAACTTAGCTTTAAGAGTTCTTCAACAGTGTAAGCTTGCAGTTGACGCACATACGAACAACTCTTCCTTTTTGATATCATGAATCAAGATATGGAGATTTATAAGTTGGTCATCTTCTGATCAACACAGTACCTTGCAAGAGGGCGGTCTCATGCTGAATAGATGACGCATCGGGTATTGGTTTTAAACTTCCTACGGGTGACAACAAGGATCAATTGCATACAGCCTTCCTAGAGTTCTTCCATATGGGCACAAGTCGTTATTGTGCATCGATTAAGATAATTTCGTCGCTTTGGCCCTTAGAATTATTTCGTTTCAATTTTCTTCCACTGCTGAAACTTATGCACCTTACAATTTAAATGCTGAAAATGTGTACATGATAGAATATGATCTGACTCTAATGTCGAATCTTAAGAAACAGCTCCCAAAGAAGAAAAATAAATAAAAATTAGCATCTTGACCAGTTCAATATTTCATCAGTTTTAATAACGAGTGTAGTGAAACTACCATCAAAATCGATGAAAACGACAACACCTTATTACCAATTTTACCATAAAAATCATTAATGTTCTTCAAAGCAACGTAACTAATTTGTTGATTATAAAAGCAGAAAGATAATTTGTTCGAACTTAAACATCTTTGATGAGCAAAACATCAAAAGGAAATCTCAGTCATCTCTTCATTAATGTCCTTCCTGCTTGTTTTCTATTTCTTAGAAGATTTGGTCCCTTGAATATCAAGGCCTAAAATTCATTATGTATCTACTTCAATTAATTATGTTTCAACTTAGTTGTGGCTACGTGAGTTGTGTTGAATTACATTGTGGCGATACCTTCCTAAAAAAGATCCCAAATATCAATGCTTAAAAAGAAAAGCAGCGATAAAGCATCCTTTGGGTACTCCTTGGTCAAAAGTTCTACCAAGCCTAGTTAAATATGGATTTATGTTAATATGATCTACTCGGAAATTTTTCTTTTCTTACTTTATCGATACAACATCTTCTAGAGTGAATAATTTGTGTTCCTTGGCTACAGAAACACTGTCAATCATAAAATATGAAGAAAAAAGGTTTACCCTTGATATCTGAATATTCACACCATTTTCATGTCTACGGTGCCTGCCAAGTGAGACAGAGAATTGCCGCTGATCCATTAGCCGCGCGTTTCTTCGGTCAGTAATACAGTGGGCAGCTGCAAGAAAAGGTGAACATACTTACATAGTATGGGTCCCGTTAAATTCTGACGTGTTCTTATATGAAAAAGAAATTCTGATATTAGGATATTTATCCGTGTGATGCTATCTCAAATAATATCTTTTACTCATTTTTAAAACTTCTTACAAAGGACTCCTGAATTTGCCATGGAATCCATATCCATATACACATATCCATCAAAAGGGCGGATATTTACAACGAATGGAAATCGTATGGAGCATGTAAAAAACAGCAACAGACAAACAAATCAAAAATAAAATTTAATTCAAAACGTATTTTCTAGTCACAGAAAAATTCTTTCAAAGATTCACAATATTCACCATTAAGTGGACACAACAGAATGGTAACTGAGCTGCGATTTAATCAAAAAAAGATATTTTGTGAGAATGTACCGGCGATTTCAGACTTGTGCTAATTGTGATCTTCATACTTTCCAACAGTTGCCCTACTCTAACGAGGGGGCATTTTTTCTTGGGGCGCATACTCGAAGGAATAAGCTAATAATACAAAATTACCTGTTAAAACCCATTCATCATTTATCAAGACACCTCCGCACACAATTCTGTCGTTTCTATGGATAGCTGCGATCCAAGGGTGAGAGCCAACCTTAGCAATGTTTCCTGCGACAATGCGTCCCCGGCACGAGTCCATTCGATCCGACGGAAACCTGGTTCTTCCACAAACTGCAATAAACAAAATTGAGCAGTCAAATTTTTTAAGTTCGTTTTTATTAATCAAACTTTTATGCTGCCATCAACAAAAGAAAAAATCACTACCTGGCATAGGGAAGACCTATCAGCAAATTTTTAAAGATTTATGTCCGATGAGAGTGGGTTTAGAGAAAGTCTTTCCCGTACTTTACACCATTATATCCGCAAAAGCTGGCTCATTCTTTTTCTCACAAAAAATAACGACTGCAGGTTACTCAATTTCTGTAGCATCTTTCAATGGGTAGGGACGTTCTCTCTGTCTTTATTGGTCTATGAATTTTGCAGTCGATTGTCTTGGAATAAGCTAGGAGAAGGGAGACTGGAGGGTTTTGGATAACGTTCATTGGATGCAGAGCGTCTAAAAATCGATTTGCGAGTCTTCCTTTTTAATCTTCAAAAAAGCTTGGCATGTTGCCAAAATGAAAGATCGTGTAAATGAATCTAGTTGTACGTCACTCAATTTCACACTTTCAACCGCGTCGAACCCGCATCACATAACATTGACCGATAAGACAATTTCTAAAAAAATCTGAAATATTCTTTCATTTACTCGTTGAGTTTTTAATTTGCTTACCTCAAATAATCAATATAAATTGTACGACTTTTATTCAGTTGAGCGGAAATATGATATTTTAGGCCGCTTGAAAAGTACCTTCGACAAATTTTCAAATCTAGCATCTTACTTTCTTATACAAAATCAGTAGGGAACGAAAAGAACTAAATATACAGAAAACTTTCAATATCGAGCTTCCAGACTTGTGTGATTGGAATCTAAGTAGCAACGTTTCCCTGCTCACCTGGTGCACATTTTGGCATTACTCCACTCCAAGAACCATTAGCCAAGCAGGTAGTTGAATTCTGACCAACCAGATTGTACAGAACTCCACAAGAATAATGTACTTTACTGCGGTATGTGAAACGGTTTCCTACGATGCTTCCACCGAATGGTGCAGGAGGCTTTCCACAAGATTTTACTATAAAAAAACATATCCATGAATAAGAAACATGTATTAGTCCCAAAAAGCGATTAAAACTACATCAAACAGTCAGATGATTTCAAGCAAAGGACTTGAAATTCTACCAATCAATACAAAAGAATTAGGTCTAAAAATCAAAGTAAATTTGCAGCGATCAGAGATTATCTTCGCAGTTCCTAATATTCCTTTTCACCGCCATGCATCCTGATAAAATCTTCTATAACATTAGAATCACGATCTATCGCTGGATATTGTGTTCAAAGGGATCTTCCTGGCCCAATTGGCCAACAAAGTGGGAAAATCATTTTTCATTCGCCGAAAAGCTTGAAAAATTGCCAACGATTTTTTTAAATGGATTTTTATCCAGGGGGTGTGTCACGTCACCTTCTCCTGTTTCCCTTAAGCCCAATCTCCAGTGAGAAAAAAAACTGCGAAATGCGAAAAAGTTCTCGCGAAATACGTCTTAGGCATGCGCAGTAATCTTTTGCTGGGATTTCTCGCGAAGAATTTCTCTGCGAAAAAAAGTTAAAACGAGTTTAACTTTTTCGCTTTTCGCTTGCGAAATCCTTCAACAGCCAATCACATTCCGTATTCCTTTGTCATGCTTCCAAACTTTACATTCCAATGTCATGAGGTCAACAAAAGCATTCAAAGGAATTTGTCGCGTGAAGTATTTCGCAGCGAAATTTCGCAAGACTTTTTCTCACTGGAGATTGGGCTTTACAGCGAGGGCCCTGAAAATAGTACGCAGGTATCAATAAGAGCCTTGCGTAGTTATTTTACACAACTTTAATGCAAAAAGTACATCACTAGAAAAAATTAAAGAAAATAGGACCAAAGCAAAATCCTTGCGGAAGTTCACAACTAATTTTTATATCATTATTTTCTTTAGAAAATTGCTGAAAAGAATTATGTTAAAACACATTAAGCCATTTATGCTTTGAATGCCACTCTTGCAAACTTTCTGAATAACTTTGTTTAAGTTTTCTACTCTTTTTTATTTATCAAAATGCAGATATAGAAAAATAACGGAACGGGAAGCCATATAAATGACATTAAGCATAGGATAATTCATTAACGCTTAACCTACTTTTGCAATGCGGAGGCTTCGCTGTCCATTGTCCTTCAGACAGACATTCTATCACCCGACTACCAACTAGATCATAGCCTGGCAAACACTCGAAGAACAGTCTGTCTTTAAAGGAGAACGTCGTTTTGCCAGTCATCTTCCCATTCGCTGGTGCCGAAATGACCGGACATTTCACACCTGGATTAAAAATTAGAGCCTTTACAACCATACAAGTGTATCATATAATTTTACTTCAGAACCATCATATTCTTGTTTGCATGGGGTTACCCCCAAGTTTGTTCTCTTTTATTTAACCCCAATATAACCAGATAAGCTTCAAATATCCACTACATGTTCTTCAAGGAAATATTGGCTTTGTATCAGAATAACTTACAAAATTTCTACGTAGGTGGTCAATACATTTTCTACTTGCTTCGAAGTTCATATGGTTTATTTTCAGCGTCAGGAAGCTAAATGTGTTTATATTTTTAGTGGAAGAATTGACTAGGTGACAGCAGTTTCAAACTTAAAATTCTATTTTGCACCATACTTGACACCTCAAGGCAAAGACTCCATTTTTCTTCATACATTAAAAAGCACACACTGAAAATTTCAAATTTGGAAACAGATTTTGGTATATAAAATGGTTATTATAATAGAACCAACTGTAAGTGGTGCAAATGCAAATGGCAAATGGTGCAAATGGCAAAAAGTCGATTAAGCTTCGAACAGTTTCTGCCAGCATATCATATAGAAATCAGGAATTAAAATTATGCCAATTTCATTTTAAATTTTCCACAAAAAGTAGAAGCTTGATTTCACGACGGCAAAGAGACAAATGGGCAAATATTAACTTCAAATTTTAAAAAGTTCTAGCACAAATTTCATGAAGATTTGCATAGAGTAGCAAAAATCGAAAAAACAATTATTTACCAGGTATTTTGATAGACATGCTTCAGTCAATACATCTGAAACACATCTATTGATATACGTCCTACAATGAAACTTACTTTCAAGATAATAGCGTATTTTGAAGCCTTTTCTGTTTTCATCTCTGTCTGAATGAAAATTCAAGACAACCCAGTTCGTATTTGAAGCTATCTTTTTAGGTAGATTTTTCCCACAAAGAGCCTTGAAACCATCAGCAAATTGAACTCTTAACCAGTCATATGGACAAAGGTAATCTGGGTGCTCTTCGATGTTGAACTGCATAATGGAAATGTAACATTCAGAAACAATAAATAACTTTGACATTAGTGGTATATATAAGCAATATTTTAGGGAGGGTAGCGATTGGATGTAATTTGTATAAGACGTAGCTAATAAGACTGCTATATAAAGAGCCGTGCCTAGAACCAAAGTGCAGGAGGTGGAGGGGGACGGGTGGTGTAGTGTGTGGACCTAGCTCTTGCCGGAAAATTGCCATGACTTGAAAAAATCCTCCAAAGTCAAAATTCAAAATTATAAAACTTCTTTCTTCCCTTTGTATGTGCAGAGAGTGTGCAGAGCTTTGTCCAAGTGTGGTTTGTGCTGACAATCCCAGCAATAGCCCATGTGTTGACCAATCGAAGATAAGACCATGGCTTCCCGAAAACTGGCCCAAGGGTGCTTAGTTGGCATTGAGGAAGAGTCACCCAACACAACCACAAGGCCCTTCCAAACCTTCTTCGCGATAAGTGTGCCAAACAGTCTGTTGTTACATATCATGCCAATGTTCTGACTACTTTTTGAGAAATAAATTACTGTAGTTTTATGAATAAAAAAGTGTGCAATACTCACATCTTCAAATTCAAGGACAATTGAGTATCCTTTCTCTACAGCCACGCTCCATTCACAATCAGCATGAGGTGGATAATTATTCGGGTATTCTGGTGTCTGTATGTAACCTTCTTTGTCTTTCAAAACACTGCCTTTGCATTCAACTATGAAAAACAGCAGTTTAAAAGCCAATAATGCAATCGAAGCTTTCTTTATTTATGAAATTAGCAGATCATTTCAATTTCAAATTTCAAATATAGTTCCTGACTGATATTTCACAACTCTGTGCAACATACAATTTTCTATCAACGATAAGCAGATGAGTACTTACCAATGCACGTCCTGTTGTCCTTTGCCAGGTTATATCCGATTTTGCAAGTGCAGTAATGTCCACCAATGTAATTGTGACAAAAATGCATACATCCACCATTGTCTCGTGTACATTCGTCCACATCTGTAAAAAGAAAACATCAGTTTTCGATTTTGGAGTTATTCAAAGATATGTTTTGAGCTTTGTCGCGAACTTTGAACTGAGGGGTATCATGTTAGTGGAGTAACTAAGTTTAGGCATCTTAATTTGATAGCTGAGTAGATCCGATCAAAAAAGGCCCCTAGAAATTGCATTAAATATCATTACATTGGGGCCTTATCTCAACCTTCTTTATAGGGCTTCAGGTAACTTTGTTATGCCACTGCCTGGCATGCATCATGATTACCGGACACGTTGGTAGTTACAATAAATGACAAGACCAAAGATGAAGACTTGACCAAATTCATTTTATCCCGGCATTTATTTATTCTTCAAGCTATGTTTATATTGCCTTACTGATCTTTTTACGCATAATCACTAAGTAGATTTAGATACATTTCATGAAAATTTCTAATTACCGGCAGGCACCGCGGAGCAGGGGGGGGGGGCTGGGGGGGCTCTAGCCTTTTTGCAAAAAGTGCCATATAATAAGTATCAAACTACCAGAAAAGCCTCTTTTTATACGGTTTTAGCCCCCCCCCCACTTTTTTAGACCCCCCCACTTTTCTCAACGCTCCGCGGTGCTGGACCGGTCTGTCACAAAGTGCTCCATACCGTTTAGGGAGGGCTGCCTACGCTATTTGGTATATAGAACAGAGCGGTTCTAAGCAGTGCTAAGGAGAGGGGGTTGAGGGGTCACTGACCCGGGGGCCTCAATTGAAAATAATTTCTAGGTAATAATCCAGCCTTTCAATTGCCACAAACTGTCATTAATAGAGACAGTAATGACAAAAGTCTATGAATGAAGTGAGGTAGAAGCAGTTTTTGTCTTTGACTGCCTGAATGATAAAGATATTTAGAATTTCTCACCTTTGTGGGCATGAGCTAACGGAATAGAAAAGCTTCTGACTATTTGCAATATTGTGTCGGTTGTGATCGAATTTATTTAACGAATTAAACGTTTTTCATTTTCTGAGACTTTTAAAATTTATAAGAAATGTTCATTTTTATGCATTGTTGTGTTAAGATATCAGTTATGCTCAAATTATATCAAATAGCAGACAGAAGTAAGAGCCAACAGACAATGGCGTAGATAGGAAAATTCGTAGGAGGGGTGAGAAACTTTGATTTTCCAAGCATTTATACTGCTTTCATAAATTCTAACATAACATAACGACATGTGAACTGAAATAAATAAATCTTTTGATATATTCAGATATTCTTATGTTTATTTAGCTTTAAACTCTTTCCTATCAAAACAAAGCAATTAGATAAACATAGACAACCGTGTTAAAGTACCGACAAGACCAGAAGTTCTCCGAAAAAATAGCAGTTTGGCCCTAAAGGGGATTGCTTCCTCTAGCCCCCCTCTATCTACGCCACTGCCACCAGAGCAGTTTAGCCACCATGGCAATTTTAGCAACCAAAATAGCCATCATTTTCGATCAGCATTCAGTCAGCATTCCCTGTACCCCTTAGAAGCGTCTGCCTTAGGCATGCTTTACTATTTGTCTTTCGTCCTGATTCAGGGGCCCAAAAATTCTCTCTGCGGCCCTGGTTCTAAGTTGCTGTTTCGAGTCTCTCGCTTAATGCGATCGTCAGATACATTTGATTCACGGCTGCAAAGCTACAAGTGTTAAGGGCCGCGGGCCAAACACACGTCATTCTATCTCACAAGGTGTTTCAAATGCAACGGGAAACGGGGGAACGCCTTCCTAAATGAAAATTCTTATTATGGCTTCCTTTTCGTAGAAAAAGTCTTCAACACGAGCCACTGAGCAGCCAAGACGACAACCCGATATTTCTAAAATCCTTTAATACTGACTTGTTGATTTTTTCGCACAATCTACGCGTGCCTGAAATATTGGAAGATCGCCACTTTGAGTAAATAAAGTCTTCTGAACAAACATAGAGCCTCGGAGCATTTTTTTTCATCGAAATGTTTTAAGTAGTTATTTCATTCGCTGATTTTTCCCGAATTTGGCGATAATGTAGAATGTTTTTAGCATGATGACAGGAAATACTTCTTGAATCCTATTTCTACATGTAAGCCCAAACTTCGCTCAATTGTGGCTCATGCAAATACCAAAAAATGCATGTACTTTATATACAATATGCTCCATGAAAATCTGACGTCATTTGCTGTCTCAAAACGGTTTTTGGTACCAAGACTATCTAAAAAATGTCATTAAAACAAATTTATCGCACAGCATCGACTTATAAAAGGCAATCAGAATAACTGACAACTCAGCGCATCAGATACGGTTATCCTCTATAATTAATGCCCGGGCGTTAATAATAAAATGTGCCATTGAATAAAATGTGCCATTTAATAAAATGTGCCATATAATGAAATGTGCCATATAATGAAATGTGCCATTTAATAAAATGTGCCACACAAAACAGATCCTAACTGTCAGATAAGGATTGTTTTAAAGAATAAGTTTCTTATTTGAGTTAAATGATTATTTAAAAGATGCATGCGTAAAAATATAAACAGCACATGTGCAAAGTATTTTTTTGGGAAATATTTTTTGATTTGACCTTTTCATGAGCATTTTGGCCTGAGTTGTCTACTAGTCTGGCCTTCTTTTGTAAATCATATCTGGCAACCCTGAGGAAAACGTCAATGATACCAACACACCATCTTCGAGGAGACAATCTAGAGACAAAGGTGTTGGATACGCCACGCCCTCTTATGCTCCTGCTTATGATTGACACGATAGAAGATTTCATCAAGTCTACATTTTTTCTTCAAAGGTACTGAATCTTTTTTAAATTGGCGCATTCCCAACACGTGTCGTGGCACTAAAAGGCTGGGCTTCTGAAAATGTTGGCCAATTTCAACTTGCGAGTGGGTCGTCCCCGTCTTGTGGACACAGCGTAGTAATGATTACGTTAAGTGCACAAGCTTTTTGGTCCAAAGGAGGGAGGTTGTCTCATTAACTTGATGATTTACTCCTGTTCTCCGTTAGCAATTACCCTAAAAAGCTAGCAAAGTCCCTAGCAATTGGTACATGATTAAGCTTATTGTTTGGGCGTTGGCGAGCTGATGTACTAAAAATTAACACCAGTATTTGCATCGGATATAAGACGTGCAAAAGAAAAGAAAAATTGTCTTGTGATCCATAGATTTCCGAAGAATATTTTATGTGAAAAGGAATTACCGTTTGCTGCGAAGTGTGCTTCGAATCCATGAAAAATCTCCTCGTTGGAATGATCAGTGATAAATTGAACATCTGCCCGATTTGATTTTAGGAACAACGGCCCACGTGGTACATTGCTATCCAACTTCTTCTCATTGCCACAAAATCTGCCAACAGTGTTGTTCTTGTCTTTAACAACGACGTAATCATACTCGCACCCATCGTAATTTTCAGTGTCGAACTGGGTGAAGTTGAGGCTTATATAAAAACCAGCTGCAAATGAAGATCAGAATTAGTTAAAAGATATATAACCAACATTCTAGCTGAGGAAATGTGACAAAGTCATAAATATCTCACTAGGATTTGAATTTGGGGTATGAAGCTAACCTGAAATTTCATAACAGAATACCTTAATACTTTGAAATGTGTAAAATCAGTTAAAAGTATGGTATATATATGAACAACTAACACTATTTTATTACCGTTACTTTATTACAAAGGCCAAATTACAATGATATGATTAGGAAAGAGTAGTAAAAATGCCCATGACGTCACTACTGATCTACTCTACTCAAAAAGTGTTTTCGATGTATTTGCTCAATGTGCGAAAAAGCACTATTAACTCGAAGTTTCATTACAAGGTGCATCTTCTAAATCTATCATTGATTAATATCAATTTTATTGTTCTTTAATAATTCATAATCGGAGGCAAATGAGATTCTGATAATAGTTGAATGATGTTTGCAAATTTTTGAGCTTGTGTTTAGCCAAGGCTTGTAAAGAATAACAACTTAAGATTGTCTGAATCCATTCCATTTCAAATCTCGTATATCTTATATCTAAGTGCATATCAGAAACTGCTATTTTCCAATTCAATGCAAATTTATGAAATACTTATCGGAAATTTTGACTAAAATTTTGACAATTTTCACTGGTGAACAAAAACCTCCCCTTAAAGACAACGTGGTCTATGATTTTACGATTTTATGATACTTTCAAGTTTTGACCTACAAAAATGATAAGGCATTTTCCTTAATTTTTTTTCGATAGAGAAATATAATCTAGATTAACTAAAGAAACACTTAACAATCTTCAAGAAATTGTATATTACACACTTCTTTATATCATCATCAGGTGCCATCTTCTATCAGAAGGTTGGCTACCATGACCCTCTAACTATCCCAAAATCTGAGTTTTGGTTTGTTGTCATGGTCATAGATAAAACTAAGGGGCTAATAGTAGAGATGGGCCCCCAGAACCACATCTACCTTCTTTATATAAGCTTATATAAAATTTAGTCTATAAGAATATTAAGGCTTAAAATCGCTGAAATTTAAGCAAAGCAAATGCGAATTGAACGCTAAATGTTTGAAAAGACGTATACAATCATGAAATCATTAAAACTATTCTTCGATTTAGTTACACCTTGTTTAAGAATGATTTAAGAATGACTTGAGGCTCAAAATAAAATAATTAAGAATAAAGAGGCTCAGCAAAATATCAGGTTTTCTTGTATTAAAAGGGCTGTATGAAACATTTAATATAAATTTTTCAAATGTACATAAACTTTAACTGAATAATTGTTTAGGTCACCTGGAACAGCTATATTCCACGAGCATCTTAGATTGTCTGGGTACTTCTCAGGGAAGTTTGGGGATTTGAGGCGGCCAAATAAGCCACTCAATGCTCCTCCGCACTCCTTCTGGTCTGCTGGGTAAGCAAATCCTGAAATAGAAAGATAGCTAGTCAAATCTATGGCGAACACCTGGGGGCGGGCGGTTACCCCAATTATTTTTTAATACAATTACCTTTTGTTCTACAACAATGGGGAAATATGACGTCATCTTAAAACAATACGCTTGCCCCCCCCCCCAACATTTCACCAAGTGACCGCCACCAATTCAAATCTTGCTGAATATTTAACAAAACTATTTTCCTTCGAATATGTTTGTAAATCTCCAAAAAATGCCCAATTCCTCAACCAGCAAAGTCCATTGACTTCAGAAACTCAGCTCTTTTCAGGACGGACAGGCTATATGCGATTATCATTAGTTCAAACAGAACATGACAAGAACAACATCAAAATAAGTTGAAAACAATAGCAACATAAACAATAAAGGTAGCACAAAGATCTAGAGGTTTTAGAGGTTGCAACTAGAATAACTGATTCTTCATCAAAGATCAAGGCTTAGCAATGAAAAATAATTAAAAATTCATTGTTTACATTTTTCAAAAATGAGCCAGATTGCTTCAGAGCGCGATTTTATTTCAGTTAATGTACAATCAAACCTTCTCACATTTTGCAAACATTTATCCTGACGATCAAGGGGCGGTGCATAGGATACAGCAAACACATATGGAATTCTAATCGTGAAATGATATATGTTGCATTAGTGCATAGGCATGCAAATAAAGGAAATACTCCAAAAACCCTTCTCCAGTTGCTATCATTAAGCATGTAAGCCCGTCTAACAGAGTTCACTCTTTATTATAAAGACCAGTAAATTGAAGTTCAGGCTGGCTGGTCTTAATTTTTCCAAAACTTTTGAGGTTGTTCTTAATTTCTTCCAAAATTATTAGCATGTAAGCAGTGAAATCGCTGTAGGTGAGAAATCCTTTATTTGCCCACAAGTTTGAAAATTCACCAAAAAATAACCCTAGACGACTACAAAACAACTCGTTTTCGATACGATTTTAAAGGGGATGCACAACTTTGTGGGGGAGAGGAAGAGAGAGTTAGATACCAATAAATATGAATTGTTTTGGTTCACTTATTTGGGCTGAAAGGAGTACATCATTTCATTCCCAGAATATTTTACCCTGTTTGAAACCACGAAACTAAAGGCTGATTTCCACTAGGCGAATTCTTTCGCGCGAATCGAATTGTTTGCCAATGTGAGCATGCGTGGTGTCATGTTCTCAGATTTCGCCTAGTGGAAATCGGCCTTAATGGCCTCCCTTGTGGGGACTATGCGACCAAAGATCCTCCTCTCCGGATCAAGACCCTGATGGGGGAAGGTGTCGCGGCTTTGTATGGCCGCCATTGTGCAAGATGCTTCAAGGGGTGCATTTTGCTTGAAAAGGAAACCATCCCATGTATGCCAAATATTAAACAATATAATCTGATTACAAACATTCGTGTGTTCACGTTGTCTTTTCATCTCACTCAACGTTTGTCATGCTGAGGTGAGCACTGGCAACCATTCAAATACAAACATTGACCCAAGCGGAACTTTAAACTTCCAAATAATAGGCCTCTATCTACTTGGAAATAAAATCGACAGGATGTCTCTTCTTGCATACGTCACAAGCTACCTCCTCTGGCAGCATAATTGGTTGATTCATGCAACCAATAGATAAAAAGAGCACCATTATTTGTCGTAACACCGTCTGACGTTGAAACAAAGCAGCCGCCCATGAATCAAACCTTTTAACTTAGAGCTTATAATAAATCTGGCTTTATCATGAATTTGTCGGAGATAAAGAGGAACCTTTCAAGTAGTTAATTATCATAGGAAGTCAAAATAAAAGTTACCAGAAGTGCATTAAGATTGTAAAATATGTTTGACTCCAATGCTCCCTGCTATTTAGCAATGCATTTAATGAATAGACGACCATCAATGACAGGCTGTCTGCATGGAGTACTACAGGAACTGGGAACTAGGCCATAGATCAATCTTATATCACACCAATTCACTTTTAACATGCATATAATAAATAACAATAGTACTCGAATTCACTGCTACAAGTTGTCAATTGCCTAAACTAAATTTTGAGGGGGTGAGGCAAAAATAAGAGACTTTGTCAAACAATGTTATTTTTTAGAGAGTTGGAGAATGGTTTGGCAGTCAATTATCTGCAATATTTGCCTTTGCTCTGAATCAACAATGGAAACTCGCATTTCGATTTAGAATTTCACCTTCATAGGGCATGAAAAAGAAACAAACAAAATAACAACTGCACATTGCGATTACAGATTGTCAAAGATATGTTTCGAACCCTGAAGGTATCTATTTTTGCTCCATGTAAAACAGTTATTGACCGGTTTTTCTGTCAGTCTCAATGACTATGGCGCCTGTATTTGTTATTATAAAAAGAGCAGACATGTTATCCAAACTTAATGGTTGAGCTTAAAGCTTTTATTCCTCTTCAAAATTCATTCCCAATAATCTGATCAGCCCTAAATACTTTCGTTACTGTTTGAGTAATAAGAAATAAATAAAACACCCTAACCCTTATGGTATAAGAAACTCAAATCAAAACTTCGCCTTTCATTGACTATAGAATGACTGAGGTTTGCATACTTTTGTGTTGCATAGGTGTTGCATTCAAAAGCAAAAACGAAACCAGGTGACAACAAAGTTCAACATCTGAGGTCAAAGACCATGTCATAAAGTGGTAAAATCACAAAGCTTAGTGGTTTTTCAGTTCAGGCTGCTGTCAGTTTTTGCGGGTCAACCTGAAATATGAGGCTAGAAAAGTTTTGGCAAAATACCACCATTTATTTAGCTATTTAAAAGTAAAACAGCCGAGCACTTTCACCGTATCGTTTCATCTCAAATCAAATCATATCTTCAATAGAACAGCCATAGTTTGTTTTTGCTGAGAATATCGAAATCTTTTACAACAGTTCATATGTAATTATCGCATTAATTTGCGCGTCTTTATCGCAGTTTTCATTCAAGCTAACTTAATCAACCAAAAATCAAAGACACTGCTTGTAGATAGGTGGTTGCCTACCGACGAAGTGAACAACGAGCAATTGTTTTAAACAATAAAGACAATGTTGCTGTTTAATATACAAAGCTTTGGCCTAACAATGCACCAAAGGTTTATTCTATCGCTGAATCTAAGGCGTGAAGAGATTAAAAGAATCGAGGTGTCTAATCAGATAACACAACCATCTAATGAAATGTTCAGGAAGAAATCTTTCGACGTGAAACCGTCTATGTGCTTGACGAATAGCAATAAAGATTTCTTTATAGATATATCTTTGGTTACAGGAAAAAAGTATTAAAACACCGACTATTTAAATAGGCTCAGTACCAGGCCCTAAACATGACTAGGTTCGAGAAACAATAGTTGCCGGACATCTTAACATTTGCTACTACGTCACCACAAAACAATCCTCGCGTTAAATTTTCAGGTCAATAGCACAGCCTACAGTCCTTGTCCCTGAATTTGATGCCCTTAAGAGGATCATAGTAGGTGTGCGTTATGTAAGGGATTTTCTTATTTCTGCTAATACTTCAGCAAAAATCAACTCTCCGCCACTGCTCAGCAAACCTAGTGTCTACATAACCTTCTCATATTCACAGTTACAGAATATCATTTACTTGTCATATCGTTTCGCATATGACAACACTTACACCAAAGAACCTTGTATTCCCTACAAAAAGGGATCAATGTATTGTGTTTTCAAAGGGTACAGTTTATCAATATTCGAGTAAGTGTTTTCGCTTGTGAGATAAACATGGCAAAGACGTTCTTTTCATGAAAGAGACTTTGTTACTTCATAGCGAACCAAAGGGACAATTGTGTACAGTAAGTGTTGGCAATTTGATAGCATGAATGCTATAGTAGAAATTTTTTAATGTCTAGAGGTACCTTCTTCTAGTTTCATTAATAGATACGATTTTGTAACGACGTACTCCTAAATAGCTTAAACTATCAGCAAAATTTTCAACGACAATGTTACCTACTTCTCACACTTTGTCTCTCCTTGAAGTCAATATCATTACTCTAATTGCGGCTGATATTTAGAGTCTATTCATAAACAACGTTTCGCTGTGGGCAGGTCAAGAGACAAGTTACAATTTTATACATTTGTGTTGCATTGTAGATAGGCCCGCTGGTAAACACGATAATAAGCTGCCTGTTATCATACGTGCGTTAGGGTGAGGTAATGTTGGAATGGGCCCTGCACGAAGATAAAATCTTAACCTTACCATTTGTTAGCACGCTGAGAAGAATGATCAGAACACACCAATTACACTCAAGCTGATTCATTTCTGTTATTTCTTGTTTCTTGCATCCAGTCTTTCACGTCCCTTCAGTAGTGACTAAAATCATGAAAGAAACTTTCAGTTAATAAAAAGTTCCATCTAATGCTCACAAAGCGACACAAAGTTGTGCTGGGCAACACAAATGGGCTGCTTTGACTACAAATTGACCTAAAAGGCTTCGAAGACAATTGTACATCGCATAATCAAGTTTTAATTTCATGGCCGCTGCAGGAGTTGAAAGAACTTACTTATCACGTCAGGTCACACATATTACAGAATACCTCCTTATTTTCACACTTCTTAGCGCTTTTCAGGTTTTATTTTTTTGCTTACTTGGGCTCTTTCCCCAATATGAAACCTTTTCGTTACCCTTTTTCACACCATACATGCAGTGTGGGGTACCATTTATAAAAAACATAGACAACGATCACAGGAACAAAGTCAAGCTGTATATTCTACATAATAGTCTGGTAAATTTCCTGTTACAGTTGACTATAACAAAAAGCAGCGCTCCTCCCATTTCACACTGCTGAAACTCACGGTAGATCTAATCAAATATACAGATGGTCATTTTACCCCGCCACCATTCTTTGTTTATTAATGATCTGGAGTGGAGCATCAAATTCCTATCACCAATTCACCTTTATCAAGCCAAATTGTCATTTGCCAATAGACAAGTCACCAAAATATACAATCCATTCCAGACTCGCAATTTGTTAGAAATCTTAAAATTACACCGACCTTAGGGATTAAGAATCTAAATTTTGTAGAATCATGTGAAAGGGGGCTGCTCCATACACACTTTCTTTATAAGAGTATTAAGGCTCTAAATCGCTGAGATTTGATTCTGTTCCATTGTTTTTCGCATTTCCTGAATTTCAAGGCGAATTTGGTCGACAATCCAGACATAAAACAACAAGCCGCGCGCAGCAGGGATGATTTTCTGATTCATAAACTCAGAAATGAGTCAATGATTGACTTTGTGGGGTGTTTTATCTTAACATCGCAAACCACTGCTAGAAGCAGGCGCTGGCTGTGGACAGACAGTTTCCAGCTTGATCGAATTTTTTTACATTTGATAAGAAACTGCCTGCCATTCTTCTAAAAAGGAAGCTTCTTTATTGCGCAGGTAAGTCGAGTGTCCCAGGAAAAGTATGATCAACATTTAGCCATCGGAAAAGTTGGGTGGGGAGAGGAGGGGTGTTCCAGTCCTTTCAAATCAACTTCTCTGTCGGTTCTAAAACAGGGCCTTGAAAGGGTAGTAACATGTCCCTTTTACTTCCGCAAAGAAATAAAAGACTGTAATGAACCTTACAATAGCACGTTTACGCGGAACCGGAACATTATTTCGAAAATGCATTGGACTACAATGTCAATAACATAAAGAACCAAACTTTGATGCCTAAAATTCAGTAATGCTACAGCTTCGTAATGATATTTTCACAAGCGTCTTTTCCTTTCTGTGCTCATCTGGAACAATGATTTTGAATCGTTTCACCTATTTAGCCGGGAACCTTTCGGAACGGCTCCAAATTGGAACTTTTTCTTTTATATGATCCCAAGTCGGTACAGGTTGCAGTTTCGAATAGCCTGCGCACAGACTCTAAGTTCTTAAAGTCTGCACGCAGGCTAGTTTCGATTCCGATGTGCATGCAAATCGAAACCCCAACCGTGTCATTTGAGTAGGATTCCAATAAGCACCTGTCTGGTTTAAACGCAGCCTAAATTTTTTCCAAGGACCCACTCATGTCAGAGGTCGTTTGATCTGCACTTCGCAATTTCTGTCTTATGGGCTTATGTTCTTGCAAACTATGACGTCATCACTACTTTTCAGTTAGCTTTCTACCGGTTTTTCATTTACGTTTTATATTTCTTTCTACTTGATATGGGCACAGGTGGGGGTGAGGACAAAAACCGATACAAGTGAAGAATTATCCAAAGACTGACTCAGGTCAATCCAATAAGAATCAGGCTACAAAGTTTTCACTAAATAACTAATGTGAAATTAATACCCCGTTAAAAAAATGAATCCGCTTGAAAACTGAAAATGCAGGATCTATTGAGCAGTTCAACCCTACTGTCTTTTATATTAATATAACCCCGGATTTACATGGACAATGATTACATCTGAAATTTCTAATCTAGTTTATTATACTGAGAAACCACCTACACTAAGAAACAATTAGTTTTCCAACTTGCAGAATATCTTGAAGATAACTGGTTTCTGAGAAAAATTTTGGTCACTTCAAAAGAACAAAAACAACGTTCAACAAATTGTTATGGGGAAAACGAGAGGAGGTTAGCAAAAATAGTTTAGGAATGAAAACTGTAAAGGTATTGAAAGTATCCTACATCTTAGCCCCCTGAACCCCCCCCTGAACCCCTTCTGGGCCCCGAGGTTCTACACCACTGGCTATAACCAGTGATGCAGTGCTTTAGATGCCCCCCTTATTAATGATGAAAAGATACAAATTTTCATTAATCTTTTAATGATTTAATTGCTCTGTACTCTGTTCGAAAATGGGCAAAATATGAAACTTCAGCAAACGTCTCGCGCAAGCAACATCTACTTAAATTTTTATGACATAGATAATGACTCCAGTTGATTATAATATCCTGTTACACCTCCCGTGCTTTTTGGGTAGGAAGGTTTTAACAAAGTCTGTCCCATTACTCATGAAAGTTTTGGGAAGACCTGATAAGATTCTACAGTTTCGGTCCTCTGAAACATTTTTTCAAGTGTTAAAAAATTTAGTACGAATTTTGGGCCGTACATCTCGATTGGCAAGAGTCCAAAGCCCGCCACATTTTGATGACAACACTGGTTCAAACTGGTGTCATTTTACATATTATAAGACGTTGAAAAACACGAGTCCTCGAAAGCCTTCATTTGCGATATTTTTGGGATCAGTTTTGCTTTCTACGCAGTTATGTTAACATAATGACAAAGATTTTCGCGACTATGAGGAATACCACAACACGAGGTCTTCATAACAATACATAAATCATAAATACGACAGCCTTAAACTATATGACTTCGAGAGCGGCCAATCTTATCTCCGTGGCACAGAAAAACAAAAACATAAATGGTCTCAGAAACACAATATCTTGTCAACAAAAAGAAGTTGTACTAACCTAGGCGAAGCCTACTTCAAATGCAGCGCGTACAGCAATGTTCCCGTGTAGTACTACGCGGCAAGATTGTTTTCGTTACTGCCGTAGTACTGGCACATGCCGACACAATTTCATGAATGAACTACACGAGAATGATCGCAGACAATAAGGGATGCGCGCGATAACTTTAGAAGTGGGCGGAGAACTTTCACAATCGCTGACAGTCATCTCAGCTATTGAGAGATTACGGTCTTCGCCCTCGGTGGTTAGCCACTAAAGCAATTGGACCTTGTTTCATATTCCCTTTTGATATCGTGGGCTGGTCGAATTTCAGCTTCCGTTTCAAGAGGCTACGAAAGTTGTAAGTAGCATAAATAAATGAAGTGGGTAAAAGAAACCATAATTAGTTTTATATACCTTTCATAGAAGCGCCCCACCTTTCTCTTTTAGAGGGGAAAGTTTTCTTGCGTTGGAACAGGCACCGCGGAGCAGGGTAGGAGGAGGCTTTAACCCCCCCCCCCCCCTTCCACTTTTTGCGAGAAATGCAAAATATTAAGAAGTGAACCACCAATAAAGCCTCTTTTTATACGATTGAGCCCCTGCACTTTTTTAGACCCCCAATTTTTTTCAACGCTCCGTGATGCCTGTAGGAACATATTGTTTTTTATCCTATCTCCCTGTCGTTGGGTTGGGTACGTCCACAATTGATTTGGCAGAGCCCGATCGTCTTTTCATCTATCAGTTTTGGAATTGATCTACACACAACGAGAAAGCCGCTATTGTTTAGACAGAAGGAATTCTTTTTCTCTCTTGGACATTTTTCAGTTGGCACGCGGTACTGATTGGAAAACGATACCTATCAAGTGCTCGCCTTTTTTCTGATCGGCCTATTGCGATCTAAAACTGGGTATATATTTTCCATCATGTTCTTTTAAGACCCTTTTTCTTGCATTATATACTCTGAGGATTTTCAGACGAAAAACTTTTTATATGCTGTGAAATTTCTGCTTTTTCCAAGCCATTTTGAAAATTTTTTACCAAAAAAAATTTTTTTAATGGAAAATGAAAAAAAAATGAATGAAGCATGTTCATAATCTGCTTTGATGTTCAAAATGTTTCGTTTCTCAAAGTGAACGTAAAAACGCTTCAAAAAGAGGCATTTTGGTGAAAGTGAGGCAGTTTTAAAGACTCGGCCATTATTTCTACAAAAGATCTGCTAATTGGTCTGGCAGAGCAAATCAAATTTATAGCCTATCTTTCCTTAGGTTTGGAATCAAGATTATCATTTGACGCAAAACTTCATTCCCTGTACACATTTTCATACCCACAAATCTTGTAATGATGATTATGTTGTTTGAAACGCATTATTATATAAGAAACTGTGTATGATAAACCGAGCCTCAAAATGACTCTCTTCCTCCACAGCCTTATGAAATGCCACATGATTTTGTTGGATCAACGGTGGAGGGACAATGGCACGGCGCCATCAATTGGATGTAGGTACAAGTTTTCTACAATATTTTTAGCGGGGGCTCAGCCGCCACTCGCTGTTTTCTAAATAGATATTTTTCAATCACAAATCAGAAAATGTGATATATTTACTCCGTTTAATAAATGGCATATCAGAAAAAGTGCTTTTAGCAGTACCAAGAAGAAATTGTCTAAAAAAGGATCTCCCTCAGTTACCTGTTAAATTATTCGATAGAAATGCATAAATACAATTTTTGAATTATATAAACCATTTTCAAATGATATTTTCTATCATGAAGGATGCAACTTTGACTCATTGGGGTTCTTGGCTCCTGGACACTTGATGAGTCCATTCTTCTTTCCAAATATGGCATTGCCGGTGTCATATGCGTTTTGGTACTCTATGCAAATATGTAACATTGTGAAACGCAATGTGTTTCAAATCAAGTGACTTCATCGTAGTGCGATTATGACACATTATTATTGACAAATAGAACACAATGCTTTTTTCGTTTAAAATTTCACACTTTTTAATCAAGAAAACTTTGGAGTCACCATTAATGCTGTACTTTTTTGCATAAACTTAACAAGGGACATCACAGCACCGCTTCTTGTTAGTACCCCCTTGTTAGAAATAGTTCGATTGTTCTTTACATTATGAACATTATAAGTCAGAACATTTGTGTTCCTAGACCAGGTCGCATGCTAAATTCCACCATTTGTTTCAGTTCCCTGTTTTTTAAAAGCTTGGGTACGTTTTTGTATAAGCAAAATTGTCATGCGTTTCTGTACCAGCATTGCAAAAGGTTACGATAGAATTTGGAGCACGGGGCAAGGAGAGATGTACTCTCCCTCGAGTATTCATTAATCAATATAAAATCTTTAGCAAGAGTCATTTTTTCTAGCCCAGACTCTGTTCAGCCAAGTTCATAACATATGGCGCCCAACGTGTGCCACGGGGCAGAGAGTTCGGAGCACGAGGCAGGGGGAGATGTACTCTCCCTCGAGCATTCATAAACATAAATATTTGATGAAAAATTTTGCAGTTGATCAAGTGTTTTTTCGTAACCTCAGACTCTGGTTCCAGCCCAGTACACAACATTCCAATTTCGAACTTGCAGAAAACCCTTGAAAAAGGAACTTTTAATATGTTTACACAAAGATAATTCTGTGGTATACCGAAAGCCATCATTGACTACTCTTAAGACGGCTCGTACAGCTTGAGCAAAACAACTTTGCTTAATATCTTAAAGACCAACTGATGGTACTGGAAGTTTACGTCACTTTATGATGGGTACTCCTCGAATATATTGTATCTGTAAAGACATTCATCCAAACATGATCCATAAATAAACAAACATTACATTCAAGGGCTTGCAAAGATAAATTCAAGTAAAGCAGTTAACCCCATGCTATGGTGATAAACAGTATTTCAGTTCACGTTGCATTGAGATTCCATGTTTAGCTCTCCAAACTTCTATATGTAGTGTATTATCCGCTGTAAGATCCATTGTATAGGCAACAAGATTAACAAGGTGGTTGGAAAACTTGTGCAGTATAAACTGTATGTGTCCGAATAGGGCTAGCTATGCTAGGACAAAAGTCACTGTCCGTCGAAAAGAGGTGCCCATTGTTTGGAGGTTGTTTCTGCTTTCTGTATGTCTTTGACAGCGGACAAGAAGTCTTAGATGTTTATAAAGTCTTATTGTATCTGTTAATAAAGATTTCGTTGCACTTAAGATAATTTAAAGTAAACAGCAACGCTAGAAGGCTTTTTAAAATATTCATTAAAATGGATTTTGAGCCCATAACCTCTCACGTGAGACATTTGTTCAATTTTTCATGCATTCGTGATACAATGTAAATTGGGGTAGTAATAAAACTTGACATGATTCCAAAAGTGACACAGATGCGGTCACATAAAAGCGGTTATCGTTATTCGATTTGAGAAGGCAAATAAACACTTAAAGGTCACAAGAAGGATCTTTGGATAAACGTGAACCTCATCATTCATATTTTCGGGCACATACATTCATTTATAAAGGAAACCGATTGCAATCAAACTACAGTTGCCTGTCTTTTAGATGGAAAAACCTTCTGGAACAGGTCGAAGGTCAACTAAAATGTGAAAGAAGCATTTCACTATTCTATTTTCAACAAATGTTCACGTCTCACATTCCAAGTTTCAAAAAAATAATCTACAACTTCTAGCCAATATCCATCAAATAAAAGAATCAATTTGCCCCCTTAAACAACATTTGCAACTTACATGAAAGATTGCAGACCTTGCAGCATTGCACTCGTAAAGGTATAATTTGTGAGGGGTGTTAACTAGAACACATATACTAAACTGAAAAAAACCCTGCAAAATGGTAAGGTTTTTATCTCAACAAAGGCAATGCTAATAATCAATTTGTCTTAAAATGCATACTATAATATTTTCCAATCCATAGCTTTATAAAAAAGGTTTCGAATTTAATTGAGCGGTAGGAAAAAACTTATATTTTTCTGAAAGTATAGGTGATACGAAAACTACAATTCCCTTCTTTTTCTATGGCATAGCCGAACACTTCTGTTGAGAATGTTACTTCTGTTATTTTAAGATCTTTTCTTCAGTAAGATACGAGAAAAAAGGGCATCAAGTTTTGATGAATGAAATTAAGGAATTCTGAAAGTATTTAGATCGTGGCAACAATTTTGACCCCTCTCAGAATTCAATTGCCATGATACCCCTTGGTTGAAACAGAAAATTCCGGTAGCTAAGGAGAAAATCATAACATAACGACAGATATAAATAAAAGTTAATAACCTGTTGCTCCTTATGTATTTTACTAGTTCACTGATTTGTAGCTGAGTCCGCAGTATCAATACCATACTTATGATGCTCTGATTTTCAAATTTCAAAAACTAGATTCGGATTGAACTGAAGCTTCATCTCTTTTTTATGTACGAAGAATGAGTACATAAAGGAGTGGTTATTCTTTACATTGATTTGCTAAATTGCTTGAAACGAAGCAAGCATGCTTAAACTTGAAGTGAATCTAAACTTCTTCATATTGCATTCATGTAACAAAATTTTCCCAATTTATCAATTTTATGAATCTAAAGCTGTTTTAAAAAGATTAGCTGTTTTCTGACTATGGTTATTTTCTTACTAATTTATACAATAAGTCTTTTGAACGCTGATGAAAAACGCTTTGACCGCTACAAATAACCATACTGATATACGTGCCACAAAGGGACATTTTGTGAGCATGTGTTTACTATAGATTCATAACAAATATCTATACTGTTATCGTCTCAAGACCAGAGTCTTTCATTCCTGATCTATACATTGCTACAAAAAATGAAAGGATGGCTTGTCCTTTAAAAGAGTACACTGGTTTATATTTAGCTGGATTTAGCCCTATTTTGCACTGTTTATTAAAACATGGAAAGCAGACTTCCGTAATGAATAAGATAGCTATGATCCCATCTTCTTTTAAGATAAAACACATTGAGACATATTCAATCCATTTAAATTAGCCATGGTGTACATGCACTGTTCTCTATCGAACAGTTCCTGCCATTTATTCCCCTTTATTCTACCGGTCAAATTAGGTAATGGTTTATGATAAAAAAAATTCGGTAGATTTTTGTTCCAAACAGATCTACCTTGTGCAGGATGGGACAAATTTTTCATGTGCTGATTTACGAAAGAAAGTAAAACAAAAACTGCACAGAAAAAGGTTCAAATGTATTCAACCCCAGGTAGTTCTGTTTAAAAATATTAGGATAAGCCCTAAATAGGCCAATGTGAAAATAGGTATGGCAATTTTCCATTGCAGAATAAACACACAAAATGACGTCATAAATCGCAGGCATTGCACGAGCATCCTTGCCTCAAACCCTACCAGCATGTCTATGGCCAACACTACTCAAAAGTAGCGAGTTTATTTAAAATCTGCAAAGCCAATTAAAACTTAAAACATTTTAAATTACCGTAAAAAAGTTGTATATAAGCATCACCCAATCAACTCTCAAAATCCCGATGTTTGATTTTTTTAGCAAAATTCGTCATTCAAAATTCGTGTGGAAACCGAAAAAAAAACTTTGAAAATTTACCTCCAGAATCGGACATTTTTTGTATAGGATATACAAGAGGAACAGGGGCTCTAGCATGAAACTCTGTAAAGCTCAATTATTGCAACTGTAAATAGTGATAATACAGAGCTTAAAAAATCTCAACGCTTTTTGTCACCTTCTAATAGAAGACTTTTTTAAATGCCTGTTCTTTGTTCTCCAAGCGTGTTAAAAAAGCATGTTTAAAATGGACATCACATGTTCTTATCAAAGCTTTGCAACAAAATTCGAGGATAATCTAAGATAATAAAGGTTACAAAACTATTATTACCACATGACTATATTTTCAAAGATTAATTACAGCATAACCGCCTAAGGTACTTTATGAGGCTCTACACTTGCCGCAAACTTAATTGAAAAGATAACATAGGAAACATACAGCTTTTCAACTAAAACCTCTGCTGTTAATTTAGTTAATTTCAAGGTTTCTACCCTAAGCACTAAAAGGAATTTGTTGTTTCCCACTCAAGGGGATTCCACCATAGTTCATGATTCCACAGAAAGAGGACAGTGATAGTAGCAACCAATCGATGATTTTGCCCTTTTCTCAGAAATCGAATCTTTCACTCCCCCCATCCTGAAATCAAGTAAAGAAAAAGGAAAAAAGGAGAGAAAATGAAAGAAAATAGAAGCGTGGAAAAGTAATAAGAAGAATGAGACAACTGAGACGCGAAGGACGGAAAGTGCAACAAAGAAATCTGACTTGAACAAAAAGAAAGGAAGGAGTAAAAATGTAACGAAAAATATGATTGATCCAAAGAAAATGGAAATAATATATTTTACATTTCAGCCTGTGGCAAAACGCAGACACTAAAATACCATGAGACAATTTCATTACTAAGAGAAAAATGTAAGAGTTACAGTTAGAGCTTCATTAAACTACTAGATAGAGTTTAGTTAACGTTGAATGATAAATGCAACACGGCATTATAATGTAAACTGTTTAGTTAACTAAACTGTCATTGTAAAAATGCAACACGGCATTATAATCTACCTCTGGTAACTTGAGGGAATACACCCCAACTCGCGTATTAAGTTAAACTGGCTTTTTCTTAGTTAAAATAATTATCGTCTTATACTTTCTCCGGAGGGGGGAGGAGGGGGGTACTCCTATTAGGGCGTAACAGGGAGTTCAGTCAAGGTCAAAGAGGACAAATGCTAAAATTTTAAAAAATCACCCTTAAATGGTAGTATTTTTTGACAGTTACCCGCAAATAGTAGCATAAAGACCGAAATTATGTCCTTGGTAGCATCCATTTCTTTGTGCTCCCCTGGTCCTTTCATCTTCTACCCCATATTGGTTGAACAACTTCCTTGCACTTTCAATATTGCAGGGAGTTTGTCGATCGGACATTGGTACAGAGGATGGGGGAGCAGCTGTTGTTGCTGTTGTGGCTACTTTGGCTTTTGTTATCTTATCTAACATTGTACATACATATTTACATATGGGCAACTATTTTAAATCAATGATGATTTAGAAAAGGATCAAAAAATTTTCGTAGAAGAAACAATGTCTAGGTTCTCACAAACAAATGTTTTACATGCGATAAAAATGCACCCACATTTGTCGACATTCCTCTAACTGGCAGGATTAAAATTATTACTTGCCGCTTCTTAAATTTTGAAGAATTTACCGAGAGGTCGAAGATCTCTTCAAAGTGCTCTTGCATGATTAATAAGGAGCTCAATAAGGATATAATATAGATAATACTTCACAAAATTGAGTATAGAATTTCTTCGAAGTAGGGATTCATTAAGGCAGCATTTCCACTAGCCTGGGTAAAAAGAAAACCGGGTTAAAAGTTATCCGTTTTCAAAGTGAGTCAACGGAAACGGCATTTTTCTTTGACCCGTTTTTGAACCGTTTTTGGTCGCTCCCACTAAGCCTGATTAAAATGTATTCAGGGTGAAATAGTCAAAACATACGCAGAGTTGTAATAGAAATCAGTATTTGCATCAATAATCCTTCAATTTCTATCGTTGTAAGCCAATGGAAGCAACATCGATCTCGAGGATTTTGTTTTTTTATTTTCGGCGCCATCTCAATTCTTAAACGTTGCCCGGATCGGAGAAGTTGTCCGGGTTTTGGCGTTTTCATTAACTCACATGTGGGTCAAAAGATATCCGGGTAAAAACTGACCCACTCCGAGACCCGTTTTCAAACTTTTCCGTTTTTCAAGTGGGTTAGTGGGAACGCAAAGTTAGAGACTTCATAATTTGTTTCTCGAAAGTACAAACCGATCTGACTGTTAAATTAAACAAATATGTGTTGTCTTTCTTCAGAATCTTTCTTTTGTAATTTTACCAAGCTCAAAACCTCCAGGGTTGTTAGGAGCTGTCTAGTTTCCATACTGCTCGACCTGAAGACGTAATTAGTTTACCCTAAACCTAACACTAACCCTAAACCTAAACCTAAACCTAACCCTAACCCTAGCCCTAACCCTTACCATTTACTTGAAATAATTAATCATACTAATTTATGACTATTAATCATGCTTATTTGTGATTATCAGGTCGAGCAGTATTAGCCTGAGATCAGGCTCCCGGTCTTCTCCATCCATCCGAGCCTGATCTCAGGCTAGAGCAGTATGGAAACTAGACAATTCCCGCAGATCAGTGACAATTCTGGGTTGTTATGAAACTGCGTATGTTTTTCGTCAAGCCTCTTTCTGAGGTTAAAATAAAAAGAGGCGACCATTTTTCCAGATACCTAAAGATTTTGTGTACAACCATTTCAGTATTTTGAAAAGTTCAATTAGATTCATTGGCAAAAGTCCAGGCCAGCAAAGCCGTTTTTAGATTAATATCATCCGCAAATAACAAATCTACCTCTGATTATCTTCAATGGTTTCATATCCTGGTTATTATCCTTTTTCTTTAAGGATCGAGTCTTAGAAAAAGAAAATAATGGTTTAAAGATTTGTTATAGTGAACTGGATAAAAAGATATGTAATTTAATTACTTGAAACTGCATATAATGAAGAAACTGGAGTCAATCGGCTGTTTATTTCAAAATCTGACAGCATGATGTTAGAAAGGAGACCTTATCATTAGGGTACATTCAATAATGTTTATGGAGCTGCTTTGCTTTTGGTTGACCTGAGACGTTTCATGTTATGCTATCTCGTACTGATGTTGAAAACAGGTTCTGTCATTAGTCTGTTGTAAACGACGGCTGCAAAGACCACATACAAATAGAGTAATTACCCCGAAGGAAGATGACCCCAGCAGAAGACACCAAGTACATAGACGTGGGAAGCATTTCAAAACTGGAGGGGGGAGGGGGGGGCATATGTAGTCAGAATATGGGCAACATTGTAGGCTGCAGGTAGGTACTTTGAAACTGCGTGTCCCCTGTCCCCCCTGGTTCCTACATCTATGGTCAAGTAATCACGTCTAAATGTTTGCATAGACCAAAGCTGTTAATAAATCATTTCCAGCTACTCTTACTTCTAGTTGTTCCACTCTTTTTAACATCTCTCTGTCCAACCAGGAATCTTTCCTGCTGGATACGAAGCTCTGCCTCGTTTTCAGCAATTCTCCTGCCCTGTGATTGTTTTGCTAGCTTTTGTTTTAAATCCTCGATTGTTTTATCTTTTTTCTTTAGTGCGTCATCTTGAACACCACAAACCTCTGATATTTCTATAATAACAAGCAAAGCAATTACATAGGTTGCAAATGAGAAGTTATCAAATTGCAGTCCGCCAAGTTAAAAAAAATTTGTTTGACTATCTAATAATTCTCACAGAAACATTTTAAGCCGAATTCTAACGGCTGTGAGAGCAAACAATCGTTTTTCCTCCGACATATGATAGTCCCGGAAGACTTTGGCAAACGGAAGAAACTTCGCCTAAATACCTGTGCATTTGTCTAGCAACGCATTGGTTTCTTGGCTTTTACGCTGTTGAGAATTCACGAGACTTCTATACCTAACAAAAGAAAATTCTACGTATTATTTAAATATACTCGCATTTTTTACTAGTTACAGAGCAATCTCAGCCAAAATTCCTTAGAACGCCTTGTTGCTTGAGTGTCATTTTGAAAAATCTACATTTTTTGGTATCAAGAATTAAAAACAACTCCCGTTATTTTGAAAAATCTACATCTTTGGTATTAAGAATCAAAACCATCCCCGCCTCCCTCCCTCCTTAAAAAAGTAGTTGATAGAGTTTATTATAATTATTAGTTGGAGAACACCGAAGTGTGTGACGGGGATGCTTGAATATAATGCAAAAAAACTTCAACGGTGTACCAAGACCTCTGGCAAGAATAGTAGCTCAACTTCAATTTGTCAAATAGCGTTTATTGGCATAAAAAATTCTTGTAGATAAGAAAATCATATAACCGCTATGAAATGTCTTGCTAGATTGACCACGATGTCAATGATTTGGCACGTTCTTCCATATGTGCAACCCCACTCATATATGGTAATAAATGCATCGCTTTCAGTGGTGGCGCCAGATTGGGAGGCCAGTGAGACCACGCCCCTTTTGACTCGTTTCAGTGCTTTGTACCAGGCTAACTTTCCTTAGGAAATTTAAACTACCCCTACCCCGCGCTTTTTAATCTGTTTTTAGAAGAAACATGTAGACCAATTTTTCAGAAAAGTAGGGGGTAATTAGCCCCCCTCCATACCACCCCTTGGCGCCGCCACTGATCGCTTATATGTAAATTCCATCGTTTGCACCATATAAGCTAAAATTGTTTAGTAGATGAACAACGAATAGCCTTCTAATGACATAAGTCACCCCCTATCATTCAAAGACATTTTTAGAAATGTTCGTTTTCTTAACACGTATTCCTGCCAATTTCGAGCTTCGATATATCTTACATTTTCTTGAGCTGAAAATGAAAATTCAGGGTATTTCCTTTTCAAAAATGTATCTTAATTCAAGAGATGTTGGTTGCAAATTTCTTTCATTGATGATTTGACATGGAATGACTCAAACAATAATGAAAATACGATACCAAAAGGCTACCTACGTTTTGCTGAATTTTTCTTTTTCTGCTTCCAACTGCCGAGATAATAATGCAACTTCATTCAATGCAAACTGAAGTTCGTTTTCACGATTCTCGAGTTGTGACTTTGTGATTTGATGGAGTCGCTTTTCCTCCTTGGAAGAAAGGAAGGGTTTTTAGAGGTGTCATTAAAGTAACGGTAAAAGGAGCTAGTTATATTTAATAAATGATGAAGCTAAGATCTCACGAGAGATGTGAGGTTCTCAAATATCTTGACGCCATAGGGCTCGTTAAGATACCTTACTTAGTACCAGCTCTGGTATACAGAGTGCTATATGAAAGCTTTCAGGAACGCTGTAATTTTTGTTTATAAGTAGTTTGTAGATGTAAGTAGATATAAGTAGTTTGGCCCGGCAGAAATTCAAATTTATCATTTTGGACAGAATAGAACCAAAGTTGGATCGTTGTGATTCATTCTGATTATCTTAAAAAGCTCCCTTGTCACCTAAAGTACTAAACCAGTTCATTTGTGCCAAAATTGATCAACATTTACGGCTTAAGGGCCATTTCTAGTCGGTGCGATAGTTAAAAACATGAATAGTTTGCTGTTAACGGATTCTAACAAACATGAAAATTACCAGTTCATTTTCCTGTACGATTCATAACCAAGAGATCTTAAAAGGTATCACAGTTGTGTACGGAGTTTCGTCCTCGTTGATTATGAATCATGCTATAATTTTGAAATTTTCTTCTGAAAATTTGAAGCGTACTAAACGGTCTGGACTCTAAAGCATTCAAACTATATTTGCATTCATATAAATCCAATGTACTTCGTTTCGGTGTAAAAGTGGAAACTTTTTTGGTGCCTCTCTGCATAAACATTCTCTGTTTGTATTTGTCATACCCATGCCAGCCACAGTTACAGGCCGATCAAAATGAATGGCGAAAGGTGATCTATTTAACTCTATAAAACATTGCAGAAGGATTTTGAAACAATATCCAGTGTCATTTAGCCCTTTTAAAAGGAGCGGAAATCTGAGTATATATCATAATTTTATCAAAATATTTGTGCTACTCTTTAGAAAATTTTCTTTATATTTATCAAGGAAAAGGCAAGAAACCAGTTTTAACTGTTTAATGAAGATATCAGACTGTTGTCATTTTCTCTATATGCCAAGGCTCGAAATCACTTGACTATTGGATTCGCAAAAATAGATGAATTTTTTCTTTTTATTTACGAAGGAAATTGTTTCTTGCTGTGTTTTAAGTAATTCATGCTAAGCAAATACCGCAACAAAAGAAAATTTTATCTTACATAGCTTTTAATGACTCGTGAGTGAGATCTTACTGTCTGAGAAATGGCCACTTATGAAAAAAAATATCATGAGCTGTTAATTTGAATTCTATGAGCTGCTGAAAGCACTTCAACTCCGTTTAGATAATTTGATGCTATCAATGGATAGTTTGATGAGGTGACAACATTGCAATCATTCCTGTAAAACTACACTCATGGTATAATGTAAGAAGTTTTGACATCTTATTTGTGAAAACAAAGACTTCTCTTTTACTGAAGATTCTTTATAAAGAATAAGAACAGGTATTCTATTGCATGGAGGGAAAAACCTAAGGGGTTTTAAATATTACATTATCAAAATGTGTTCATGTCCTTCAAAAGTGATGACGATAAATTCTGATTTCATTGAATGCATCAAAAATAGTGACTGGGGGTCTTGATCTGCTTTTACTAAGTGGAAAAATACATATTCTGAAATTAAGAAAATAAACTGCCTCTTTATTGTCACCAATAAAAGCAGTTTGATCTCAAAAATTCCTAGTAGGTTCCAAAACCCCAAATGTAGAAGGCTCTAAGCTTTCACAACAACTTTCTTACAATTCCCTTTTTTCCTAATATTTCTTCACAAAAACTTCTCCAAGTAATCAACTTATCACTGCTATTATTGAGATTTTTATCTTACTTTTAGGCATATGTCCTGTTCTAAGCAAGTTTAAAGATTCTCCTTTTTTAATTTTCAGCCAAGCATATTATTATATCAGAGAGTCCAGAGAATGACAAAATTACACAGAAGGATGACAAAAGGTAAAAGCAGCACAATTCTTGACAAAAAGGCATTGAGACTCCTACCTCTAGCTTTTGCTTCAGATCCTCAAAAGCATCTTTTGTGACTGAATCTTTTTTCTTTTCAAGCTAAAAAATCAGCAAAAGTAATCTTTTGTCACAATACAATACAACAATATGCAGGAGATTTAAGGTAAGAATTTTCTTAACCCTAGACTTTGTGCTAATTTAAAAGGTCACTTCCTATTCTAATTTGCAAGATGATTTTGATGCCAGGGATGTGGAGAAGCAATTCCCCAGAGGGACTGAGCTGCCTTGCTCATTCTAAACAGAAACGCTTTACAACTTCTTACATTGTTTATAAGAAATTTTTCCTATCATTTGGGTGTCATTTTTCAGAAACTCCAACTCCTTCACTTTTTATAGAACTACACTTTTGTTGTTTTTAGTTTTCTTGCGATCAGAAAGTCAGATTAAACAGGCCATCACAAAATGCTTCTTTGCTAACAATCCTCATATTGTATACTAGGAGAGCCCTTTTATCCATTCAAAAGGATCTCATTCCTAACACGCAAAAGAGTTCTGTTGTTTATGAATTTATGTGCCAGTGTGATTTTGGCTACACAAGATGCACCTCCCAAAGATTGGGGGATAGGATAAAACAACATAAGAAACAAAACAGCCCCCCAAAGAGAACAGCCTCCTTGCTCTTGAAGGTCTAGAAATACAGCAAAAACTAGCGACTCTGCCATCAGACGACATCTTTTGGAAAACCCAGATTGTGCAAAGCTCCATAAGGACGAATGTTTAATGTAATTGGCAGAGCCTGGTCATCTTTCCACCTAGCAGTTTTGGAATTGATCTACATACAAACCAAAAAGCCACCATGGTGTAGATAGAAGATATCTGTTTCCTCTCTTGGATTCCACTGGAAATTTTTTCTATAGGCATGCAGCAATGATTGGACAGCAATGCTGGTCATGTGCTTGTGTCTTTTTGATTTTTCTATTTCGATCCACAACTAGGTTTATATTTTCCATTGTGCTTAATATTACTAGTTTGTGCTTAAAATTAACTCTGTTGCCCTTGGTAATTCCAGCATTTATGCATAAAGATGACCAATAAATGATCAAAATATGCATTTTTGAAAACCTATCTTTAGCTTAGATGTTTATGCTGCACCATCTGAGTTAGTTTTTCTGGCTTGCCTTGCCCCCTAGCAGCGAAAACCTTCACAAATTTAAAAAAGTAGCCCCATACACTTAAATGGCAAAAGTATAAGGATAATGAATGAAAATATTGTTTCTCTGTAACTAGTGTTCTAATAATCTTTTGGAAAAATGTGGCTGTCATGATTGGATTTTAAAAATAAAGTCTGCAAAGATGGAAACCCTTAGCAAATTCAAAACATTTTCTCCTTTTAATAATGAAGAAAAACTTGTTAATCTGATAAGTTTCTATTTCACAATATTTAAAATGTTACTTATTGCAAAATTTCAAGCTATAGCATCATCTTTATATCCAAGCTGAAAATTGCCTTAGTTAATTTTTGTTAATTTTTTTTAGTGTTTTTAAAAACCTCCCTTTGTGTGCCTCATATTATATTTTTCCTGGTATGGCCTTATATTATAGGAAAAACTATTTTTGCTATTTAGGAAATCAGTTGGATTCACAAAGGGTTTTCTTATGAAGATGTGTGTGCCACCCACAGCTCTAATACACTAAGGAAACCAAATGGCATATTTTTTAAAGAATCCTGATGTCAGTTATTCAACTTCTGTTTCTGGTATTGGGAGTTTAATGTAACTGAGCCAACTTCTCTAGCAATCACAAGACAAACTCTACTAATTACAACAGAAACCATGCACCTTGAAATGCCAAAAGCATTGGTAATTTTGCGATATCAACCTTTATCAGAAAGGTAGTATAATGTGATCACAACATGCATCTCCACAGATAGTGGCTTCCTCGTGTTTGTTACTTGTCTGGTTGACCATGGCCTAACTTCTTCACAGAGAGCAAAAAAATTGATTCAAGACACTCTGTAATTTTTTTGTCCACTCATCTGCAGTGATGCAATGATTTTCAAAGCATTGCCACCCGGCACTGGTTCTACCAGGTTGTATCCAGAATCTTCTAGCCTTACCACCAGGCACAGATTCTACCAGGTCTCTCAGTTTCTTTGCTGTCTAGTAGGCTAAATTGTTTCCTTGCCCCTGCAACACTGCAATCTAGCTCTGTCAGAGAGTCGCTCATAATGATACTTTTTGATGCTCTCTATGCTCAAACTGAATAGCATTCATTTAAGGTAATTCAGGAACTCATATGAAAAGTCATCATGAAAATGACAGAAGCAAATATCTTTCAATAGCAGTAAAGGATTAATTTTTTCTCACTTCTGAGGTTGTATATTTGCTGCCAAAATTTTGCTACACAAATTCGCACATCTTCGATCTGAAAGTAAGATCACATCCAAATGGATCCACTATTGTTTGGAACCAATCCCATGTAAACAGGGCCTAAAAGGGGGCTTCCATAAAGTAAATTGAGGGAACTGAACCACAAAAGGGGAGAAAGGCTTAATTTACATCTGCAGGTCAAAGGAAAAAAAATTGGTCCAAGGCAACCCACTTTTGTAGGGCAGTTGAAATACCACAACACTACCTGATTGACATTTCAAGGTTGACAAGCTAGAAGTTCCTAGGCAAGGGAAAGTGTAGACTGTCAACTTCCATTTCATTGGATGTAATAAAAAATTGCATAGGTTCACTGTAAACAATTGCATAGGTCAACAAGTCTAGGTTTACAAAACGTTTGCATATGTCAAAAAGTAGTGATTTGCTCTTGACTCAAGGCAGCTGCAGAGTATGGCAGTTTCCAAGGAGATCTTGGGTGTGCAAGAGCAAAATTTCAAGTGTGCAAGTGTGCACTTAGATGAAATGTGCCCTTCAGTTGTGTACATTAGTGTGCAAAACTATGCTAGAGCCCACAGATGATCAATTAAGAAGCAAAAATTAACTAAGATAAAAAATGTACATGATTGATAATTATTCTGTTATCAAACCATTGCAAGATTATGTTGATCTGGACAGCAACTTTAGTAACATCTCGCCCAGTATAGGGATTGTCAATCAAGATTATGTTCTAAAGTGGCGCCAAAGCCGTTCCGGTGCACTATCATTGTGATGATGGATAGAAGTTATTTCAAGACAAGTTTTCGTATAAATATTGCCTTTTTTATGGTCAATTATACCTTCATTACGTTTAATTCTTATATGGTCAATTACGTTTCATTTTGTTCATACTTTATTTGGTGCGGCTATTGAGCGAGTAACGTGGGAGCTCTGGATGGAGGAAACTTTTTTGAACGTACAACTATTACATTATTTAGCTAAACTTACCATATACTTTAATTTTGCAAGCAACGAGTTCTGTGTTCTTATAAGGTCCTGCATTTGTCCAAAAGTAATATTACAACTGCCAACATATGAAAAAGAAACTGTATCGTTCCTTTGGTCTGCAGCAGAAGCGGCCATTTTGTTATTTTATTTGCTGTTGCTGCTGCTGATTGAGTTGAATTTCGCTAGTGCTTTTCCGTAATATTTCATGCTTAGCTTTCTGTATTTCAGCAATTTAATTTCTACCAAATTATAACGCCTTATTGCCAATTTTTTGCAATTAGATAATGCTAATCCACAAAATACAATAATGGAATTGAAATGGATTGGTCCGTTCACATTTATGTTTTCTCATTGAGAAACGTCTCTTGCCCAAAATTATTTGGACTCTACCGAAGCGATAAATTAGCTGCGAGGGCAAACCTTTGCTAATATAAAGAGGAGAATAATAGAATACTTTTAAAAGCAATAGAAGGTAACTGGGGCTGCACGGGTAATTGCCGCTCTAGTTGGTATGTTAAAAAATGTTATGGGCGCTTTTAGGATACTGGAGCACACATTCAAAGCATAAATTGATAGCAATCAAAAATTTAAACGAAATAGGCAAAATAATGAAGCCCTACTTGCAAAGACAATGTGCTACTTTTGCTATCGCATCAGACCTACCAAGTTTCAAAAAAAGTTAGTTTATTTGCAATAGTGGGGACAACTTTTTGGGTTGCTATGTGATCTCTAACTCTGGTAACGGAGCCCAAGAAATCAGGAAGAGAATGAAGTTCCATTCCCAATTTCTTAGGCTCTGGTTCCCAGGCTTTGTGATCTCAAGGCCACGGGTAGGATCCAGAATTAATCCTAATGTGATGAGGGGGCGGGACCCTTAGAAGATGCCTTGTTCACCAAGTCCTCTAGTTCTTCGCTAACGCCTACTTTGGCTAAACACCCGTTACACCCTGCTACAAACACTTTTTGCAGATTGTCGTAACCATTATTCAATTATTGAATGCTTCCAAATCTTCTTTCACGCTATTTAAGGGAGAAAATTGTCCTCTGTACATTTCGGTAAGAACTACCTGGTTTAATAGTTGCAATAGAGCTAGCCTGTGATTCATGAACAAGAGACGATGACACTGAACTAGATCTCCGATAAATATGGCACCACTTAACCTGCTGAGATTTGCTTTTATCTAGTCATTTTCTCTTCTGTAGCTAGGCCTTATTAGGAAAACAGATTTGTGCTTGGATTCGGAAGATAGATAAATAAAAGTGAATAAACCAAAACTTGCGTGAGAATGCATGAGAGTTCTAGTTTGATGCGTGTGAGCGTGAGAACGTGTCGTAATGCATGTGTCTCACGCAAAATGCGTGAGACCTATGAAGGGATGGAAAAATTGATGCAATTGCAAGAGCCTGCCCACCCGTCATCATCAGAACATTAAAAGCAACCATAAGGCGGACACTAAGGAGCTTATGTGGCTGAAGAGCGCAGTAACACAGATATGGTTGCAGAAACAAACTAGCCGAGGTAAAAGTTTCTGCTATCGGTGCCAATGGGGAATTCGTCAGTGAAATCATCATGGCTCAATAAAAGGTTAAAAAATTGAAATTTAGGTAAGAAAAGAGAAGTAGGAACTGAAGTGAATTGCGGTGAAGTAGATAGAAATTGGAAAACCAAACCAGATGAAACAGTAATAAACAGTAATAAGTGATTGGCCTTAACTGTTGTATCCATAGAAGGTGAAAAGTTTGAAATAAGAAAAGTAAGGAAGAGAAGAAGCTAAAGAGAGCGTTGTAGTTTAGACAATACTGGCTACAGAAACCAGCAAGGCGAAAGTATATTTCTGGTATCTATACAAACAGGACAGTCCTTAGAGACAATATCAAGTCTCAAAAAAAGGTGGAACAATTCAAAAGAAAAAAATTATAAGAAGAAAATATAAGGAAAAAGGCTACAGAAAGCAGTAGGGTGAATGTAAAACTTCTGTTCTCCATGTAAAAGAGATCTTTGTTGGAGAAAAAATTGTGGCTCTAAAAAGCGGTAACAATTAAACAGAAAAAGTATCAAGGAAAAATGGAAGCTGAAGAGCCCATCGTAGCAAAGACAACAACGGTTACAAAATCAAGAAGATTGGATGAAAAATTTCTACTTTCAATGTAAAAAGAATCTATGTTTCAGACAGAATCGTGACTGCAAATAAGGTAAAACAGTTCAAAAGGAGAAATGTAAGGAAGAAAGAAGTTGAAGAGCACATTGTGATAATGAGGATAAAAACACCAGAAACAATTTAGATGAGGATACAACTACTGTTGTAAATATCTATACTATAAAGCGAAGGTTTAACTGCTAGCTCTACAAGAAGTAAAACAATTGAAAGGAGAAAGAGAGAGATAGAGAGTTTGTAAGAAAACAGAGTTGTAAGGAGAAATAGCAGCTGCAAAATGCATGCACCAAAGAAGAAAAATGTTATAGAAAAAAGCAAGGTGAATATAAAAGTTCTAATCTCTGTGGAAGTAGGATGGTGATATAATCTAGATGAGGCCTACTATAATGATCCATGTGGGTAGGAGCCTTGAATTCACTAGGAAGCTGGAAAGAACACAGTATGCAGCAGCTCTTGCCGTAACTGGTATCTAGCATGTCATGGCACAAAAAACCGAAATATTACAATGAATAGATTTAATAGGAATGTGTCGTTTTTTCAGCCTTAGGGTAAGCCAACAGCAGGAATACCTTTACGCTAAATCCCAGCACATTGCAATATTTCGTATAATCTCAGAAATCAGCGTAAATTTGAGCAGAATACAAGCAGGGCAGTTCGTTTCTCTAATACCAATTTAGGGAAGGCTCTTGCAGAATGGAGTAATTTGCCTGAATGGTTTTACTATGGTTATACTCAGTAAAAAGATGCTGTATAGACTGCCTCATTTTGGTTTGAAGTGTACATTCTTTGAAAGTTTTCCAAAGTTTTTATATGCATTAATTCAAAACCGCCCAGGAGCTTTATTAAGGGCCTAAATGAAATGTTGGGCTTGATCAACCAAGTACCTAAGTTTTGTTTATTTCATGGCCTTTCTTATATCTAGAAGGCATCTGTTCTTCATGGCGTGTCTATTTTCTCAACTGTTGGTGAGCTTTCGACAGTACACAAGGATAAATGGTCGTAAATGGCTCCTGACCTCTCTTGAGAGTTGTTTCTTTCCTGATTATTTATTTCTATCATGTCCTGTGGATTGATAGAAGAAGCAGCTCCTGTTTTGTTTTCGACAGTCTACTAAAGTATATTTCCAAGAATAACAAAGGAGCCTGTCTTCGGAGTCCCTGCAAGCCAATTTGGTTCCAGTTTAAGTATATACCTGCTTTAACGGAAAGTGAAGGAGCAATTTAGAAACTGCACGAGTTTAGATTTACAGACTATTCGGAAAATTCCGAGATCCGCGCTTGATTGGTCATAAAAAAGAGACGCCGAATTGAAGAAAAATTAGCCTGAACCTTTGAAAATATCATACTGCTAAAAAAGTAGACTTCTCTTATCTACAATTGAAATTAAACTGATAAACAATATTTCAATTCAGATAAATGCAAATGAAATATATGATGACATTGGGAATATCCGACTCACTTGCAGCCACCAGAGTTACAATTCACTATCTAAATCATTGAAAACACTTCAACACTTTACATATTCAAAGGTGCGAGCAAACATTTACAGGGTTCAAGCAGACATTCACAATCAGCTTTCAGTTCAAAGTAGATTCCACACAATGATGATTTTCTAATTTTCAGTTACTTCTACATTTTCACCTTTTCCCTAAAAATGGAAAGAAACTTGTTAGCTACAAACATAGATCAACTGGCACGTTTAAAGAAAGGGATTCAATTTCTTCACAACTAGCTTGATAGGCAACTTCACACTGCTAGCCTGAATAAAATTTATAGAAAGATACAATGCTATTCTTAGCCGGCATGTGACTAGTCAAAGAAGGCATAACAATCTTATGTAAAGTTTCAGTGATCTTTCTGCTGATAAGCTTTCAATACTGGTAATCTTTCAATGAAGTTTTGACAGCCCTCTACTAATCCTTCATTCAGCTATTTTTACAAATCATTGACCTTGAGTACAGGTCTAAATGTATCCTTGAAAACTGAAAATTTAGAGATATACGAAATGCTTTTGAAAAAGAAGTTACTAGAAATGTTATGTTAGAAACCCAAGAATGATCAACCAAGTCTATATTCTTTAATCTATCTCCCTCTTATAAGAGCTCTCCCCCCTCATTTACAATAAAATCAATATAGAAGACAAAATGCTGCTCCCCTTGTAATAGACACTGTCAATAGATTATAACAAGTTGAATACAATGCCCGCCAAACGTGTTGGAACAGTCCCTTCATCTTCCCTACTAAACGTCTCCCCTTCCCCCATATACTGTTGAATTCCGATTAGAAAATGAAAACAAATATAGGTTGGAGCGTAAATTGTGTAACCGATGTTTAGCGACATGTTCATGTTCCTTCCCAACATTGTTTAAGGGGGGAAGGGGGATCCGTCTGCTTGAAATAGGGATCGTGGTGTTCCAACTACCTTTGGTGGCCATTGTAGCGATTAAGTTTGATAAGAGCAATTAACCTTTTCTCTCTGTAGGTTTCAAACAAATACAAAAAAGCTTACCAATGATACAGTTGGAAGCAGTTGTTTGAACTGGTGCTGACAGTTAGAAACAGCCATTCCCAAGCCAGTTCCAACACCAAATGCTACAGGCCAGCCTTTCCCTTAACAAATTAAAAAAATCAATAGAATGTAAGTGTCAACGAAGCTACGGGGGATGGGAAAAAGTTTTGAAAAGCAGCTCTTATTGCCCACTAACCATAATTGCTACACTGTCATATATTTGAGACACCACAGTATAATAAATAGGCTCTATAGGTTCTTCAACATGCTGGTCTATTATTGATCAACTGCTCCATTAAAAAATGAAATCTGACAGCTAGATGCAAGTTTCTACACATTTTAAAGCTTGGTTTCCAAAACCCTGCACACCTTAAACAAAACCACAACTTAGTTTGCAACAGTAAATCAAAATAAGTCCCCAAGAATCTTTGCTGCAAGCAGATCAGATGTGACACATACTTACTTTTGAAAAGCAAAATTGAAAAAACTGCTCCTAATGCACCTCCAGCACCTGAAAGACAGTGTTAGCTCATTATGGCCTTAAAAATAGTTTCATTATTCAGAAAGACGAAACCACAAATGAATGTAAAATCAAGGTATAGATGAGAAGTGATTGAAAGATTTATCCATAAAAGATTAAAATTGAATTTTTAATCAGTATTCAGAAATAACAGTCTTTATTGAGACATATTTAAATGTTACAAAAGAAAAAAAGTTGTGTGTGATTGCAAAAATTTGTAAGTTGAACTACTCCATCTTTTTTATATTACACTGTAAAAGATGCCAGGCCATGAAAAATTACATAATTATGAAATTTTTTAGTTCATAACCTATAGCTCACATTTTATATTACCATACTGTCCCTGCCCTTCCTGACCTCTTCTCCCTCCTGCCCCGATATTCTATGCATTGAAGCAATAATATTGTGGGTGTTTTTGAAGTCAGAAATGCTTTATTTTTCAAGCTACTATTGGCAGAAGGGTGCAGCAATTTCCCTACATAATTTTTTAAAAATAGGGGCAATTGTCTACATGACATTGGTGGCTAGGTACTTGTACATTTTCTTAATCAACATTTAAGCCAGAGACAAAAAGCGATCCCTCCCATTCAGCGCAATGCCCTTCTATACCACTCAAGAAGGGCTATCAAGTACCTGCCTTGCCAATAATTTTTAAATTAAATGCTTGCATTGTGAGTTAAACAATATTTGTCACAACCTTAATGGTCTGTTCATTTGAAATAGTGAAACTTGTCAATGAATTTTTAAAAAGAATCTTGTGTTTCAAGACCCTGCATACATGTATCTGAAAAATTTGATTATTAAGCAGATATATTTTTTACCTAATTTGTTCCAGATCCAGCCCAATTCATGATTACAAAGACCAGAATATCTGGCGAAGCCCTCACAAAAATGTTTTGTAATCAGTATGAGTTCATGTGATCAGTCAGGACCACATAGCATAGAAATTGTGAATCTGCTTATTGGATACCTTCTCCTTTTATCTTGACTCATTTTGAGAAACATACTGCAGCTATGTGTTTGATTAGGCAGTATAACAATGCAGCTCAAAAATTTCAGAAAGCATAACAGCATTATGTCATGGTACACTTTGGCTACACTACTGATGAAAATGTATTATTTAACTGATATTTAACTAAACAAGGTTGCCAAGGAGCCTTTAAAAATGAAGCAATCCCTGCCAATCTAAATGTGGCCGTATTGTCCCAGGGGAGTAGCCCCTTGCCCATTCCACTTGTCCCAGTAAGGTTTTTCTTTTGACCTGCACCTCAACGTGCCAGAATTTACAGTATACATGCTTTTTTATAAGGAACCTACCTCAAGGTCCAGTTTCAAAAGTTCCTTACTTGTAGACCTCAAATCATCAAATTGTAGGTACCAAAAGTTCCTTAATAGTTCCTTAATTTTCACTGCACATCAAGTGTCATAAAAATAGTACAGAAACAAGAAGAACATAAAAATTTTGAATTCAGCCTTTTATTTGTGGCTAGAAGTCAGCAGCAAAACATAACAAAGGCTATGTATAGTGAAAATCTAACTTTCGGTGTTTTGACTACAATAAGTCTGAACACTTAAAAGAAAGAGGGGCAAGACAGCCAAAACAACTCAATGAAGCACTTGATACATGAATAGCAAACTATCTATGCGAGTATTGGCTGCAAATGAATGGAACCGGCTTTTTAGTTCTTGATGCTTGCAGCTATAAAAATTTTTCCAAATCGAAAAGTTCCATAGGGATTTTGTTTTTATTGTAGGGGTTTTTTTAAGTTCTTTAAATATTCTGCCTTGTACGTGTAGGTTCTTTATAAAGTGGTCCCTTTAAAAAGAACTTCAAGAGGCCAAAATAAAACGGAGGGCAAACTGGCTGTGGTGTGGTCCCTGCAAAGCCAACTGCAGATAGAAGGACTCAAAATGACAATTTTCATACCATGATCTTATTGAAGCCTTTTGCAGCTGGTTTATACTTCCAATTACAGACAACTTCCAGAGTGCAAAGCATTTTTGTTTGCGGGAAATTATTTTCTGTCGCTTACGCTTGCGCTGGAACAAATCATGTTGCAAAATGACAGGTTTAAAGATGCGGGATTTCATTTTTAAATAGCACTTTTAGGGCTCGAGATTAGGCTATGCGCTGAATTCACACGAAAGTCCATGTTCCAACTGCTCGGATTAATCTAAATTTGTAAAAATGCGCGGACGGGATTTGAGCAAAAAATCATTGCGCGGGGAACGCATTGCAGTCTGGGACAACTCTACTAACACCAGAACAAGAAATAACTGACTATGATAATTGCTGAATCAAATTTTGAGTTTGACCACCTCTTTCTCAATGTTTTAAGTAACCTGTTGATTTGACTTGAACCACACCGTGAAAAAACTTTCTGGTAAAGGTAATCATGAATCTGTACATTATCCACAAGATAAAGCAAGCTTGATAATGCAGGTTTTGTACTGTATGTACTTTTGAATGTATTTCACTGATATCGTAAAGTTTGTTTTTACTTAATTAAGAGTAAATTATACTTTTAATTACGAATCTTTATGCAGTGGAAATTTGAAATTAAAGGAACTGAATTGAAGTGAACTTAATAACAGAACAGCCACACTACTACACAGGCCTAACAAAAATGCTCACCTAACAAGATGAATTATCTAAATCTTAGCATCAAATAAAGACAATTACTCTAAATAATCATGCTATTAGATGGTTATACCTGCTTTAATGAGCCCATCAGTAAGACATTTATCAACCTTTTCCCCTATCTCCTCTTCGCTCCTTGTCGTGTGGAACGTAGTGGTCGCCATGTTATCATTTCTTGTGTGCTGCGCAGTGTCTGTCTCTGGTGCATCAAAAGGAGGTACCAAAAAAACTTTGCCTTTTTATAGCATCAATGCATTTAACCTTTTTCAAATCATGCAACCCAGGGAAAGCAATGGTTTTCGAGCCTGGAGGCAGAAGCGGACTGACCCACCGGGACGCCGGGAAATTTCCCGGTGCGCCCCTGTCCCAAGTTGCATTTTTCAAAAAAAACTTGAAAACTTTCAAAAGGCAAACAATATTTGCGAATTGAGTGAAATTAAGATTTATTACAAAGTTTCCCCAATTCGTCGTTATTGTTTAATGCATTGAAGGCGATCAGCAAATTCTCCATGGTTTTTCAAAATCTTTAAAAGAACATATTTGTGTTTTTGACAGCAGTGTCATAATTTTAGCAGCACCGAGAAGGCCTAGTCTCACTACAAACCTGGCTCGCTTGTAATTTTTTCAAGCGAGTCCACAATACATGCAGTGATTCCATGTCTGTCAAGGGTGAAGAAGGGATGTTTCTAGATGACTCGTAGACTTTTTTGCCAACTGAATAATTACTTTTGCTAACTGAATAATTTGCCAACTGAAAGGGGTGGTTGGGGCTCGCTAATGGATCTCTCAAAAGCGTTTGATTGCATAGACCATGAGCTATTAATTGCGAAATAAAATGCCTATGGTTTTTGTAAAGATGCTCAACTATTGATTTATGATTACCTGCCCGGTAGAAAATGAAGGGTTAAATTAAATCGTTCATTCAACCCTTGGCGAGAAACCTTTGCAGATGTACCACAAGGATCAGTCCTTGGGCCTCTTCTATTTAATTTATACATTAATGATTTATTCTCAATGGTAACTGATACTGCAGTATGTAACTTTGCTGATGATACTACGATTTTTGCAGCTGACTGTCAGCGGCCAGAAACTGATGCTCTTGTTTTATCAAAGTGGTTTCCAGAAAACTTTATGAAATTGAATGCAGGGAAATGTCATCTTCTTACTTTTGGAACAAACCAAGATGACATTAAAATCAAAATCGGCGAGGCCATTGTTGAAGAAAGCTCTGAAGAAAAACTGCTAAGGGTGATAATAGATAAAAATCATAATTTCAAAAGTCACGTCTCAAATTAATGCAAAAGAGCCAGCCAAAAACTATATGCTCTTGCTAGAGTATCGCCATTTATAGGTTCTGATAAACTGCGTCTCCTAATGAACAGCTTCATAAAAGCTCAGTTTAGCTACTGCTCCCTAATTTGGATGCTCCATGACAGATGTCTGAATGCTAAAGTGAATAAAATCCACGAAAGAGCACTCAGGATTGCTTATAAAGACAGTCATGCTGACTACGAAGCATTGTTGAAATTGGGTAATGCAGTATCGACTCACCAACACAATCTACAGTACTTGATGATAGAAATATACAAAACCAAACATAACCTGAACCCTAATTTCATGAGTGAGATTTTTGAAACAAGAAATGTACATTATGATTTGCGAGCTAAAAATAATCTTTGCATTCCAAAAGCCGGGACAACTTCTTGTGTTATAGAAACTGTGAGATATTTAGGTCAAAAACTGTGGCAAACACTACCTCACAGTATAAGATAGTCCTAATCATTAGCGACATTCAAAAAAGAATTAAGAGCACACCCTGTAGAATGCGACTGTAGATAGTTTAAAATATTTATTGCTGGGTTAGGTTTTAATTATAATATTATACCACAAATATTTTTAACATTGTATTGTACCATATATTCATTTTTTACCATATCAATTCTTTATAGATAGTTGGCCTTAATTAGCTTCTTTATAGCTATTAGACGTTCATTTAGTACGCCAACTTTAAACAAATTATTTATTACTATTATCACTTTAAATAAATTATTACTATTCAGTTGAATAATGACTTATGACTAATCGGGTGACTAATCATATTAGTTTTTTGACTTATGACTAATGCGAATTATTTCGAGTACCTAATATCGAAAATCTGAAAGGGTTCATACTTTGGAAAAATTAATTTAGCATTGGATAAAATAATCGATGTGTTGGCAATTGTGCATGGAAAAGTTCACATATGTTGTACTCAAAGATGGCTGGATTAACATAGAGGTTTACGGTCATTATTATGGCCAATTTTTAAATTTTGATAGAATAATAATAATTTAGGGAGAGAGGATTTTTCCATATTGCCTACTTTTGATTACGTAATATGTGCATATTCCCTATGTTGACTCCACATTAAAATGCTTCAGGCTTGGGTGTACGAATTACGAGAATGATTTCCAGAAAATCGATAAAAACCATCCAACAGCGTTTGGCATGTGGATATTAATTCTAAGAGTAAGGTTGTATTTTGAAGGTTGAAAAAATTGATTCAATGAGTGCATTTTCCAGCGAACTGGAATCATTGAAATTCGAAACTTTCCTCACCTTTTGCGGCAACCATGGTGCGGCCTCAGCAAGTACCATTTGTGTACTAATTTATTGCGACACGAGCAATAATCTGCAAGGTAGCAAAGACTTAGCCTACCCAAGTAAAAATTGTTCCTATTCCATTTAATGAATAAATGACGTCTTTTTTTATTGCTCAGAAAAGTTTAGAACGTTGAGAATTTAGAGAAATCACGGAAAATAATCTACAAAATCTTTCTTAGTATATGTCCTTTGTTTTTTTAGGGACATTTTGTTATAAAAGCTAGTTCCCACAAAAATATTAATCTCCCTCTAAGTAGCTGCTCTTTATTGTTTGTTGAATGTATGTTCTGTCATAATCGTAATGTTTGTGCGTCCATGATTTCTTTCCAATTGCCTAGCACCCAGTCGGAAGGTCAAGCCCCTCCGTCGGAAAACTTCTAGAGCCACCACTTATTGGCGCCCTTTTGGTTGCTTTTCCCGGTGGGTTGAAAGGTAGCCAGTCCGCCACTGCCTGGAGGTATAATTAAGATTCTGATATAAAAGAAGCAGCAAGTAAGGTATCTCGTAAAATCATTCCACAGATGCGCTCCCCGGTACAGGAGAAACCGACGCTTGATAGAAAAAGCAATATTTCCATATGAAATATGTGTACCTTAACAGTACTATTGAGTTTGTTGATATGAATTTCTTCAATCAAAACACCAATGTTAGATATATGATACTATTTAATAGTTTCAATAGCTTACCCCAGGTAAGGGAAAGTGACATAATGAGAATAGGTATTTGATGGACTGATAACACCAACGGGGGCGAAGCAAAGACAATTTTTTGGACGGGGTAAAGAAGTAGTTTTTGCTGACAAAAGAGGACGTGTTTCGCTCTTCAAGGGTGTGATCAAAAGATAAATACTGTTATATACTGTTTTTATGCGGTACTGTTTCAAAGTTTATATGCCATACTTTGAAAGTTCAACCACCACAGAAAAGTTTACAATCGTTGCAAAAAGGTCACAGGACAGGAAGAGCATAAAAATTGCTTCTTTTGCCTGGCAAAAAACCTTAATGCGCCGCATCTCCCCTTTGGCGAAGCCCCTGAACATCAAAGTTTGTCTTTTCAGCACTAACCGTTAGTTTATAAGCTTTAAACCATTCCTGTAGCTTCTCGCTCTAACAATATATCTGGTTAAACAGAGCTTTACAATGTTACCCGAAGGCAAAAAGTTTTGTGTCGTCGGGAAATAGTTGCGTCGGTAGCGTGGTTGACAGTGTTTTACTTTTGACAAACATAATGAATACGATTGGTCCTGGGGCAGATCCTTGTGACACACCCTTGTCAATAACAATATGACGAGAATAAATCTTTTCCATTTGCTATTGTGTAATGAATCCTTCTGCTTAGGTAGCTAGTAAACCAACTTTATATTTTACCACTAGGGCCGTAATGAGAGAACTTATTGAGGAACATAGGATGATCTATCGTTTCAAAGGCCTGAAATATGTCTAGGAACACGACAATTTATGTGATCTGAAATTTTGTAACTTGGTTAATGCTTCTCAATAAAGATGTGGTCGATTAGTGTTATACAAAGCATTAAACCACGAGTTATACCCAAAGTAAATGTGATTATGTGACGGTGGAGAAAAAAACGTTCAAAATGAGACTTTTTGAGTTGTTTCTAAAAACTGCTGAGACTTTGCTTAAAAAACCTAGCTTACTTAAAATTTTCAGACAGGCTATTCAGAATTGGTTACCACACTCCTCAAACCACCATACCAACCCCGAAATTACTGCTGGTACAAAACAGCATTTCACTGGACCCCAAAAAGGTTTTGCTGTGTTAATAATTATGAAATTTTATACTTTGCAAGCTGATGTTGGTAGATTTAGTTCCATATGATTGTTTAAGAACAAAATCGTTGGATTAGGAGCAAGTCAAAAAGAAATATTCCACTTCAAACAGAAAATCTTTAGTAAATATTTTAGTGGGAGTAATTCATTTGATTAATTGATTTAGACCTAAACTTTAGGGTAGGCAAATGTTCCAACAAAATATTTCTGCTTTAAAGCTATGGAGGTTATCTTATGGAAGTATAAATAGTTTATACTTTATTTAGCTGTTATAAATCTCATAATATTATTTCAGTTAAATTTGAAACGCTGTTGCAAAACTAAAGTTAGAGCAAACCATTGACTTCATGTTATCTAAACTGAAAAATGAAACAAACTTTATTTTTTTAGGGAATATTTCCAAAACCAATCATTAAAAAACAAATATTACTTTTTTAATCATTATTTTAAAAAGGTCTCCATCAAAAATATGTTTTGATGCTCTGGCCACCTTTGGCTATTCATGAAAGCTAAAAACTGTAAAGATAAATTTTACTGGGGATAACGAAAAAAGAGGATAACCTTAAAATTCATTAGGTTGTTTACATCTCTTTCTGATAGCTTGAAAGTTTTACTTAAAAGTTCTTTACTTACAAAATCGTTTTTTAATTCGAAATTTAGCCATCCTTTAGATTGCTTTGCTATAAATATTTACAAAAACTGTGCCCAAAAATTTGCTTTTTACAATGTGATGACTCTTGGTGTCACTGTCATGCTACCTGACAGTAGCACGTGCAGTACAGTATTTTACAGTTTTCCTTTATTATCTGGGAAATGATTGTTACTTCTCTGATCACACAAATATGGTTCAAAATTTTTACTAAATAACCTGGGGAGGATGTTGAAAAAGTCAAGTGCGAGAAAAAGTTTTCCAGTGCCTTTGTAGGAAAAAAATAGCAATTGAACACAAAGACTATCTGAAAACAATGACTATCAATAAATCACAGATTTTATACTAACATTTGAACCAAGGACATATTTTAATTAATGGAAAGGCCTCAATATAGAAGGTGATAGGTTCTATGAATGTTTCTGTGACCTAAATTTCAACATTCAAAAACTTACATGTCTGTATAGGTATTTCTGCTAGTCTGTGTTTGAGGCTACTAACAAAAAATACTTTGGCAGTAATTTTTAGTTATTTCTAAAAAAGGTTACCAAAGCCAAGTTTAGAATTGTTGCCAAGATTAATAAACTAGAAGAGTTCTGTTTGTGTGATCCATTGCTTAGGTGACAGAATGCATAAAAAATTAATGCCATAAAGAATTCATAATTCACATGCAGAGTTTACATATAATAGAATCTCGCTCCGAGTGAACATTTTAACTATCAGAGGTATGTGATTTGATATGTGAAGAAATTCAACAAGCAAAACTTTTTTCAGCAAAGTCTACTCTTAGAAGCCTAGATACATTAACGCAATTTATAATTACGAATTCAAAAACTTTTATTTTTAATTTATATATGCAGATTATAACATCTCTATTGAAATTTACAAGTGTTTCTTGTTGAGAAAGAAGGCCAGTCTGCAAAGTATGGCAGTTCTTGACAAGATCCTGGCCGTGCATAGTCATGTTGTCAACATTTTCCCAGATGCAAACCTCCTTTTAGTATCTGTAATGCTTTAGTATGCTTTAGTAAATTCTTTAGTAAATTCAGTGTGCAATTGCAATTTTTGGCTTCCAGAACTATACTGACCTTATGCATACATCTGCCATACTCTGCCGACTGGAAAGAAGGTAGTCTTGAAGTTCACTGAATATTTTAACAACACTTCTATGAAGAACTTTGTTTAGTATTGCTTACTCCATTAAAAATAGGGTAACTAATATTTATATGCCCCTTGATTGCTGCAAAAATTCTCAAAAATGTCATATCATAATGAAAGTATGCCTCAACAAAGCAGCATTTTGCCAGTAGATAATTCTCAAAAAGATTTCTGTGTAATTGTCAACAACTAGATAAAAGTACTTGACAACTTTAAGGAAGCCCGTGCAGATCATACTTTGTATACAACGCTTCAACTGCATCGTATACACGGCGAATGGCTTCAACACAGCTTTTCAACATTTTCTGAACTTTTTCTTCGCCAGTACTATTCGCAACAAGGATTAACATATCTCCACGCGAAGGCAAGGTATACATAGCTAGTGTGGCTGCTTTTCTGATCAGCCAAGGATGATACTTTGCAAGACTACGCGTGTAGGCACTTGAGGCGATCGAGGACGCTTTCTCGCAGTTAGAACTTTCCGACAGGTTCTCCATAAATAACATTGTAAAGGACAGAGCTCTGTGCAAACGTAGCAAAGTCCTGGAGCCAAGTAACACTTCATCTGTTTTCTTGTTAACTTCAATTTCGTGCTCCATCATCCTCTCAACGCGTTCATATTTATCTCTTTCGTTGTGTCCATTCCTAAACTTGCGTAGTATTTCGATTTTCTCCTTCACGTCCGAGGTAATGAAGCCAAAAACAGAACCCAACAAATTGAAGAAGATACACAGCTCCTCGTAAGCTGTGATGTACTCATCAATGTGGAGGCCTTTCTCGCTGCAGCTTACCAAAGCTTGTTCCAGGATGTGTATTTTAAACGAATCCTTATCACCTGGCGATTCGTCTGCAGGTTTAGCTTCCACTGTAGTGTCCGCCATCTTTGAAACAAGAAAGGAAAATGACCCTTTGGCCGGACGCGACGCGGAACTGAATTCAGCGAACTATGAAGGCGCATTTGCTCTGAGGTCGGCAGATGGGGTCTCCCCGTTTACTTTTTTCGAGACTTCTAAAGACCCCTTACTCCTTAATCAAAGCCCCCTGTTCCATCGACGAAATTCTTCAACTACAATTTCAGATAATTTAACAATATAAAATAGAAACGAAAGCAAGAGACGCAGAGAAATCGGAAACAGCTTTGGATATCATTTTTAGTAGCATGGTTGGTTGTCTTATGAAATCTTTCCTGATTAATGAACATTAGAGTTAAGATTCAAAGGCCCTTTGTTTGCCTCTTGCTTTCCAGCTCAACTGAAGCTAACCAGTTCTTGTTACGTTGCTGTTATTATCTTTCTGGAAACTTTAGCTGGATAGGAACATGAAAGTTGTCGAAAAGCTGCTATTTGTATGTATTACAACATGGATATGACTTTTATAAGCCCCCTCGGACAACCCCCCCTCCCCCCATTAACCCACATCTAAAAATGACCCAAGTTGATAAGCACATAGGGGGCTCATACAAGAATTTCGGTGATGTGTGGATATTTGTCTGTGAAGGCGCATTCTTTGCACCTGTGCAATGACGGCCTGACTTCGGCGTATGGTGAATGTGGTAGCAAAGAACTTCCGATATCAAATTGAACTTTTATTTCGTTCGTGTGTACCAATGACCGAAAGGGTAAGAAATGTTTTATATTTCCTTTGTAGCTATGAACCAAGGGCTTTTGAGTCTCGAGAACAGACAGTAGAATACTGTGAAGTTTACAACTTAGTTTTGACTGTTTGTTTATTCGTTCTTCGCATTTTCATTTTCGTTTCAATTTTTCATTTTCATTTCTGAATTTTCAGGACGGTTGCCCTTCAGTAACTCCGATATTCAAGGGGTCTTCCACTTTAAACGAATTATAATACTAACATGTTTAGATCCAAACAAATAACCTACCTAGTTACCTATCTTTAAATCAATTCATAGGCCTATTATCTAATGATACAAAAAACCCGGCAGGTAATCTAAAACCTGAACCATAATCACTTCAATTCAGATGAAGGTTCAAGTAAAAAGTGGGTCAAATATTGAATTCCAGAGGTGCTTGTTAAAAAATATCCAAACTGTGCTTGCCAGTGGTTATTTTATGGAATTTAATGTTTTGTGTCCCTCTTTTCTAGTATCCAATTTCCTTCCAAAAAAGTTATTTGACCAAGCTTGCTGCTAAATGAATTTGAGTAGTATCTATAATATCATTTTTATTTGTTGTGTTCAATTTCAGGTCTAAATTCATTTGGACAGCAAAGTTTTCAAGATGGAAAGTAGCTCATCTGATGAAAATGTTAGCAAGGAAGTGAGATATAAGAAAACAATGAGTGCTCTGGTACAAGCTGGATTGCTAGATCTAGCATTAAAGACTTCAGAACTGGTCAAACAGAATCAGACTTTGCAAAAGGACTTGGATACACTAGAACAAATTGTGGAAACAACATACAGAGTGGTTAATGGGTTATAAAATTAAGCAATACATATTGCATCATTTGTAGTATATTATGTGATACATAATAGGACTTCCATGGTTCATTGTAAATATATAAGATAGTTTCTTGTGATGTAAATTTTAGCAGTTCAATGATTTAGAAAGTGAATAATTTCTTGTGTGACCCTTTTTGACAAAGCTCAGAATAGAAAGGGGGTTAGAAAATTCTCTGTAACGTAATTGGCAGGTTGGCACAAGCAGGATCAGAGAATAAAACCCCCACCTTAAGAATAAAAGAGGTGGGGTCATAAATCCCATTAATTTAACCTTTCATCCAACATCACAACAGAACTAGAACACATTCCTCAAAAAATTTATCAAGGGGGAGGGGGAATTTGATTAAGAATGTTTTGAGTGTAAGGTAGCAAATATGATGGTTTCTGTGTTCTACCAAGAACTTTGTCACTGGCAATGTTCTTTGTTTGCTCTCCTATAAAATCAGCTAAACAAAATAATAGATTTTGATCTTTGTGGGCATCAATAACATAAATGCAATGGAAAAGGGAGCAGCTGATCCCATAAGGGTATAGTCACTTGAAAATAATATAGAGATTGAAGATGTTGAATCTAGTCTTCTTGAATTATTCATCACCATGTTCAAATAGGTACGGCAGAGTATATTTAAATTGATTCAATTGTGCTTGTGAGATAAGAAGTAGTCATTTATGAGATAAAGTATATGAAATGTTCTCAAGCTTGCAAATCTATTCAGGAAAGCCTGTCAAAATTCTAAAAAAGCAAGCATATTGAAAAGCACCCACAAGTCTCTGAGGTCTCCTTGCTAGTCTTTTATTCCCAAAAACTTTCTGGGCTTTTTGAAACTGTTACTTCTCAATCCAACTTATAGGGAAGTCATTGCAAAGTTAACTGCCCTTAAAACTCTTTTTAATTCCTGGCATACAAAACAACAAAGACGTAACAACAAAACTATGTTGGGCAACCTTTCTCATATCTTATAATATTAAAACGTTTATATAAATATATTGCTATGTGCTATACAACTTTACTTGCAGGTCTAGAATTAGCTCATTTACACATAAAAAAACGAAATTGTCACTTTTGTGTTGAGAACAGCAGTTTTAGATCTTGATTCTAAGATCTTGAAGTTCTGAATTTCTTCATGAATTTTGGAGCAGTAACCTACTCCAGAGTTTTATTTCAATCATTCTTTCAAACAAATTCAATTAAATATGTATGTTGCGTGTGGTACTTCATCCAGAATAACGACAATATAGTCAGCGAATAAATTTAGTACCAGAATGAAAATAAAGTGTTTGATTGCTAAAAACACGACGTTTCGAGCATGTACTCGTTATCAAGTGGCTAGAAAACGTGTTCTCTTTGCTTGGCTCATTTCTTTTCTAGCCACTTGATAATGAGTACATGCTGAAAACATCGTTTTTTCAACGAACAACTATTATCTTTTCATTCTGGTACTGAATTTATTTGCTAACTATATTATCATTATTCTTTCAAACACCTTGTTCGGAAATATCACCTTGCTGAACCTTCAAAAACCTGGGAAGAACCTGTGGCATTCTTTTCAGGATTAGGAATCTCCTTCCAACAGTTGCATTGAATTAATTTATAATGCTTTGTTCATGTCCTTCTTACAATATGGTATTATTGTTTGGGGGCAAAGGTTTGATTCTCTTCATATTTTTAAAAAAACTTAAAATTATTTAGAACTATTATCTTTCGTTTATGAATCAAAAAGCTAACTTCAATTTATTTTCATAACTTCTTTTCCCCTAATACATCTATTCATTGTCACGCCACAAGGCAATCAACACGTGGTATGGGGGGAAATTATGGTACAATCTACCTGTAGAAATGAGAAGTACCGCTTATAAATCGTATTAAAAAATTATCTTCTTGAAACTATTTAAAATTAGCGAGCTTTGCAAAATTTGTTGTTTAGTCCTTTAAAACACATAGATTGCTTAAACAAAAGGGGGACCTTCATCTCATTAGTTAACCTACTTTGAACGCTCCTCCTTAAAAATTCTGGTTTGATTTGTAATTTAATTAATATTATTGTTGCATTCGTTAGTTGATTTGTTTAAAATTTATAACTAACTAGCTTTTTAGAAACACCGTAGAATTTGAATTAAATCAAATCTTTTTATCCATTTGGAACAAAACAAGTGGGATAATACCATTAAAAAGGAGAGGATGAAGTTGTTGGACCTGGACAGACTTTGCTATATAAAACCTTATCTGTAAAGTCCACAAGCAGAAAAACAATTAAATTTATAACCTAACTCTAATCACTGTATGTACACTATGTATCTTGAAATATTTGCCAAAACCACTACTTGAAAATATCTTACACAAAAAGGAAAACAGAAAAAGAAACAAACAATATTTCACATCACATTCAATACAATCTGATACAAATTGTTTCAAATGTGAGTAAATGCTTTTTAATCATCAGCTTCATCTTCTTCTTCATCTTCATTGTTGATCTGGAAGTACCTCAACTCATATGAAGTTTGATTGGAAGCAACAACTCGAAGCCAGTCACGAAGATTGTTCTTCTTCAGGTACTTTTTGGTAAGATACTTCAAGTACCTACAAATGAACACACCAAACATTCTCAAATTATCCATGCAGAAAAAGAACACATAAAAAACCATTTTAAAATTGTTTTTAAATGCCAGACATAATTATTAAGGCAAGAGATCAGTTTATGGGTGATGTATGTTCACATCATTAGAGTGGAGACCTCAGTAAAAAGATTTTTGTTCATCATTTCACTTGCCATAATTCACAAAATTTCAAATTCACAATACTAATTATAAACATGCAGTGATGAATCTTCGTGTAAAAACACACAGAGTAATCTCAATCAATCATTCTAAATAAACAGACAATTCTCCAAAATATATATAGAAAGAACTTACAACGTTTAAATGTATTTAAGACAAAAACACATAGCATAATAGCAGAACAAAATATATTGAGGTTTGATAACATTCCACTAAAAAGTATAAATTTCTGTAGCAATTTCCTAGCACTATTGGCAACAGCCACTGTTATACAATTAAGTTTACATCTAAACTCATATAAACCTAGAAAATAAATTTAGTTACCTTTTGGAAAACGGCCTTTCAGAAACAAGGGTCAGCTTATTTTTTGCACGTTCTATAGTTATTGCATCTCCGAAGTTGTTAGTTTTGCCTTCAACCTTGATACGAGTTTGCAGGAAGGTTTCCTATAGGTGAAAAAGAGGGTACTTAGGGAAGTTGGCCCTAAGTATTGCCATTAGGGAAGAGGACCCTAAGGCAAGAGAAAATCAGCAAAACTTGTAAAAAAACCATTGTAACAAGTTGTATGTTTACAAGCTGTAATTTTTGCTACACAGTAACCACTTTTCTTTCAAAATGAATGCAACAGGATTGTTAAATATAAATAAAAACAGTAAATATTTGATATCAAGTTTACAAACTTGCTTATATATACATAACTATATATCTACTTGTATGACCAACATTGAGACAGTCTTCGTTTAAGACAAAAAGTGAAATTATCTTTATATAATATATTAATATATATATTGAAAGTCTGCATTCATATGCCTTTACAGGGCGATATTTAAAACAAAGATCAGGTACAAATAATCTAGGCATACTCTGAAAGGACCATTCTACACGTGTCCAGACTTAAAAAGATTTAAAATTTGGTCTGGAACGTGGATGGGTGTTTTTTGCAGTGTACAAAGACCATACATGTTCTAAGTTGAAGTTATATATCTTACCAGATCATCCACTTTCATTATACCATCCTCGACTGGATGAGTACAATCGATGGTGAACTTTAAGATGGTTTTCTTCTTCTGTTGTTTCTTCGTTTTCTAAGCAAAAAAGAAACTGCTAAGTGAAGGAAACCGTCTTAACTTCATTACATTAGTGACATTTAATTTGAGCATCTGGACTAGATTAAATGGCAGTTCGAGTTCCCATCGAAGTGACCACTACTCAACTAAAGAAGTGATAGGGATACAGCATTATAGGAACAAAATGAAGGTGATTCTCGTCAGTTCAGTTAGGCCCGATCACATGCCAAGTAAATTTCATGATCACCAAATCAATATAGGAGTTCCCGAAGTTTAGGAAGCAACATAACGGTCTTATTTATTTCTATATCAATTCATATCTAGACCAAAAGCCTATGCTAAAAGGAAATTTGCTTTACGAATTCTGGCAAAGTCTGGCACTCATATTTTGTTTTTAAACATTGAACTGATCCCACATCTGTAAGAAAACCATATGCTTCGCAACATAGCAAGTCTAAGTGATCAATGAATATCTTTTTAAATGTAAACTTGACATGGTTACTACGATGAAAGTGGCTGCAAAATTTCTCTTACCGGTGCCATCTTGCCTGCAGAGCTAAAGAGAAGGGACGCTTCATGCAACGTGGTCTTTATGAGACCGACGAGGGGTCTGGGCCTGTGCAGGTGACGTCAGTGGCATAAGATAACATGGGATAGGGTTGGGAAACTCTAGGAAAGAAAGGTTCACAGTTTACCCTGAATAAAGGATATTTGACAAGGGTCGACTTTTCTTTTCCAGAACCGAGCTAGCTAATTTAGTTCAAAGCTCGCTGTGTCGTCTGAACTTGGATAGCTATTAAATATCTAAGTCTTTTAAAGTGTCTGCAGTGGTATTGATCATGCTGAATATTCATTCCATATGGGTCGTTAAGTGTAAAAAGGTGATTTGGAGATAACTATATTCAAATGTATCCAGGCTCCTTCATAAGCAAAGATAATAGCTTTGGGCTTACAAGTGCCGCAGCGAAGAAAATTAATAAGAAAATTGCAGAGAAGAAGGGTTCGCAGTCCAATATTATAGAATATATAGCTATGTTGTATTCGATAAAAGTTAACTTTGGACAAAAAAGCTTTCTCTGTGCCATGTTTGAATACTCCTTAAAGTGTTTATTTGATACAGACTGGATTGCAAGCAGGATTGCTCTATCCATCCCATACCCGGCCCAAAAGTAAATTGCCTTACCTGTCAAGTAGAGTCACATGAGTGTCCACGCGAAATGTTGGCAACTCTGCTGACATAGGAAGCGGGTAATGTCTTCCAGTGACTCTCTTGCATTTAAGACACTTAGTAGAGTCACATGAGTCACATGACATTACCCTTGGGAAGTTTCATCTTCTCAAAAACAATGTATTCGATTCATACCGATACTTTACGGAAAAAGGAATAGTCCCCACAAAGCCAGGTAATCTGCTGTCTACAGGAATTTTACAGGCACTTTAATGAAAATTGCTGGGAAGTGGGATCCTCGGGATTGAAGGCAATCCTATTTTCGCTCAATTCGCGAAGATTAGTTACCTTCTGTAAGTTTTTCAAGATTCTTGAAAATCATAACTTGAGAAAAATGCGCAGCAGAAAATTTCCCGGTGTCCCGGTTTGCCAGTCTGTTTCTGCTTAAAATCCTCGTTTTTTTAAGGTAAAGCAACGTTCAAAATTGTAGCTCAGCCTTAGCTTGTTTTTAATCTTTTCTTATATTTTGACCAATTTTGAGGCTTGTCTAATTCTAGTAAGGAATCTGTATTGGGAAGGAGTTGCTGATTAGTCGATCCAGATTTGATATGCTTTACGTAATATATGTTTCCCAGTCAGTTGAGCATGATCACCCAGCTGCCCTCACATTTTTTGCAAAGATTGCATAAATACACGGCCGCCGGAGCCAGGGGAGCAACGGGGGCACAGGCCCCCCTGTTTGCAAAAAGTATAAAAAGTGTCCCTTTTTGATAAATAAATCGCGTGTTTTTTTTCAATGCCAGATATTCTGCCTTAAGAAACTAAGTAAAATAACATAACTCTGGGCGTTGTTGGAGGACCATTTACTGAATTTCCTTGAATTTTTACTTGGTATTGATGCAAAAAGCCCCTGTGATGAATGATATCAACTGTAAAGAAGCCTCCCATTTTCGCGAGAAAATTTCCTTAGTATGTCTTCAGCAACAAACGCATTAGTGAAAGTTTCGCATCAAGTCCCCAGCGGCCACTGTCAATGTATATCGTGTGTGTTCCTGAAGGTAGAAACTGGACCCCTATCGCTGATTCTGGGTTAAGTAAAATGTACCCTATTCTGCGACTTTGCCAAAAATTGTAAAACTCGTTTCATTGAGATTTTTGAAGCTTGAAGTGCCACTGAATTGAAAAAAATGAAATTTTTTTTGTTGTTGATTCTGGTAGACTAATCATCGCTGATTTCGAAAAAAAGTTTAGTTTTTTAATTTGGAGCCCACAAATAGGGGTTTCTGGGGTTCTTTTGCGAGTAGGTCGTGCGAAAAGAGGCTGGGGCGAGTGACGCATTCAGATTTATATAGTCATTTCAGCCATAGTGAGGGCTGTAAGAAGATAAAAAGTTACAAATTGTGTAAAACATGATACAAGCATGAAACCTGATAGAGATAGGCAGTTTGATACGCTGAAAAAGATGGGGTGTGAATAGACGCTGACAAATATTCCCTTGTGCTATTTATAGAGTGGGGTACTAGGTTCCAAACCTCTAAGCAGTAATTGACATAATTTAGCCATTAGATCGCAAAACTAGCATGGAACGTGGTAGTAATAGGCAGTTTGATACGCTGAAAAAGATAGAATATGAATTGACCCTGAAAAATCCCCCTTGTGCTATTTATAGAGTGGGGTACTAGGTTCCAAACCTCTAAGCAGTAATTGACATAATTTAGCCATTAGATCGCGATACCAGCATGGAACTTGGTAGTAAAAGGCAGTTTGATACGCCGAAAAAGATAGGATATGAATTGACCCTGAAAAATCCCCCTTGTGCTATTTATAGACTGGGGTACCAGGTCCTAGACCTCTAAGCAGTAATTGACATAATTTAGCCATTAGATCGCGATACCAGCTTGGAACTTGGTAGTAAAAGGCAGTTTGATACGCCAAAAAAGATAGGAAGCGAATAGACGCTGAAAAATACCACTTATGCTATTTATAGACTGGGGTACCAGGTCCCAGACCTCTAAGGAGTGATTGTCATAATTTAACTTTTAGATCGCGACATCATCATGGAACTTTGTAGAGATGAGCAGTTTGATACGCTGAAAAGGATAGGATGCGAATAGACGCCGAAAAATTTCCCTTGTGCTATTTATAGACTGGGATACTAGATTCCAAACCTCTTAGCAGTAATTGTCACAATTTAACCATTAGATTGTGATACCAGCATGAAACTTGATAGAGATAGGCAGTTTGATACGCCAAAAAGATGGGGTATGAATAGAAGCTTAAAAATATCCCACCGTGCTACTTATGGACTTTTAATCAATTCCATTTAAAATGAACTTCTTTACTTTTTGAGGTCCCCTGACCACGAGGTTCTGGGGCAACTTATCCCATCTTGACGGCCCTGGCAATAACTGATGCTTTGACAGTGGCAACGCAAGTTGGAAAGTAGGAAAAGCGCCGAAAAATGTGCAATTTGTGTGGTTCTATAATAGATCAACTTTTTCCCTTGATCAGTTTGCTCACTTTTATTCATAATTTGTAAAGCTGTTCGTAAAAGCATTCTTATTTGACACGCTCAATAATTCACAAAAGGTAAATGATCGGCATGAAGTCTTGGTAAAAACTGCACGCAAAAAGTTTGCTTATTTCATATGGGTTCGAAATTTTCACAAGAAAATACCTTGCACATGTCTTGTAGTTAGATAGCTAGTGATATTTAGAGCACAAGTATCGCACTATTTCCATCCACTTCACGTTTTTTTGGTTTTTTATCGCACTCGAAATACAGTCTTCAGTACTGAAGCCCGCATCACTTCCGCGACTTATAAACGTTAATGCGTCACACATTCCTGAAATTCCTCACAGACCGCGCACAAATTTTCGCACAAAAAGTCTTGAAAATCGCAACTTTGAAGCGTTGTAGCTTCAAAACACTTCACAATTCCGAAAAGCGGACTTCAGCATCGGATTCAGGAGCACCGACTTGACTTAGAACATCAATAAAAATTTTTTTGATTTTTTCAGTTCAGTGGCACTTTGAGCAGGAATTTTTTATACCAATTCATGTTAGAACCATTCCTTTTCTTAAACTTATGTCTAGGCAAGTTAAAAAGCAGAGTTCACTAAATTTGATTTTAACAACAATCCCTTATGATTCTCAATATATATTAACAAAATCAGACAGCTGTAAAACTATAACTGCAACATATTGCTTACTTCACAACATTGTGTTAGATGTTTTTATGAAGACATGAAAAAGTTGTGTCCCTGCAATGAGTACATGCTAGCAGTAAAGGGTTTTTAAACAAAGACTTAAATTTCTTATCTAGGATTAGAACAACATACAAGACTAGATGCTAAATTTGTTGTACTTCAATATAATTCCTGCCCTTTTGCGTTTTCTCTGACTGATTAAAAAAGCAATCCTATTTTCAAGATTCTATGTCCCAGAATTCTAGTTTACAGACAGAGTTTTTCGGATCTCACATGTAATACGTTTGATCAACTGACTGAGCCCGCCGGGATCAAGTCTAAGGAGAGTTAAAAGCTTGTTTCGTTCATAAGACTGATGAGATAAACCTAATCAATGTTGCAAATTGAATTTTCTATGGCAGTGAAAAATGTGTCCGCACCTTCAGCCGATTGCGTAAAGATTACTTAAACATAAAAATTTGTAGCTTTTAAAAATATTCCGTGGAGGCAAACACCAAGGGGCGATGAGAATACCAAGGGGGACTAAATTGTATATGAAAGAAATAAATTGAAATCATTATTGGAATGGGCTTTCGATAATTATAGAGACTGAAACTTTGCTTTGAAAGAAAGAGGGACTGGAATTGGCTTTGAAGTATGACTAAGAATTCGAAAATTTCATCCAGTTCATAATTTGGATTGGATTCGTTGGTATTTGTTGAGTATAATGCGCTTGCCATAAGTATGAAAGAAGGATGTGTGCCTGCTTCTTACCCGGGGCCAAATTCACCTACGATGCAAATTATAAGGAAAACAAGTACAGCTTATTGTAATAGAGGTATAAATCATAGATGGAAGAAAGATTTACACTCTCAAAAAAAAATTGAAGGCCATAAGATGGGAAGCTATACAAATAATTATGATCAAGAGTGCGTGGTCCCTAAATGGAGTAAATAGCCATGTCTGCTTTTAGCGAAGATAGTTCTCACTATGTCCAGCATGTTTCATTATTTTTATAAGTTTCTAAATTACCATGAAATCTGTACCATTTTTGGCATTTACTATTGTTTCGGGAAAATATATTCGTGCCCTTTTTATTCGTTTTGGCCCCCCCTGTTCAAACCTGCGTCCTGCGGCCCTGAAAATATCAATGACTTTTTCAGAAAACACCATGTAAGCACAATGGCAATGAAAGAGCTATTTGAGTTTGTTACAGACCCTACAGTTAACGATGAAAACATTTAGGAATACCAGGAGAAAATAAAAGAAAAAGCTGTTAATTGCAGTGTAGAAGACGTCACTCAACAAGATTTGGTGGATGAAGAAGTATTCAAAAAGGCATTCATACCAAGAAATTTAGATGAAGTAATAGATTTTGAGCGGGATGCTATGAAAGCACAAGATGGCACTTCAGAGGATGTTTATTACCCTATGGTGACTGGATTGAAACCAGATCTATCTGGAGCCAAAGAACATCCCAGCATACTTGACACAGAAAGGGGGGATGAAAACAAAATGGAAGAGATAGAAGATGAAAATATGTCTGATGAAGCATCAAGTGCAGAGTCAAATAATGAAGACACTGGCAGTGGTAACGAAATAAAAACAGAGGAAGAAATGTCAAGAAAAGAACACAAGAAGATAGTGAAAGAACAAAACCGGGAAAGAAGAAAGAACAAAATGCCTAAACATGTGAAGAAAAGGAGGGAGAAAATTGGAAAGACAAGAAAACCTAAGAAATAAGTGTAAAATGTTGCGTTTCTAAGTTTGGGTGAGAAATAGAATTTATTTGGTTTGAATTTGAAAACCAAGTATCCAATTTGAATAAACCAAATTTAGAATTTTGTAGATGTGTACAATAAAAGCAGATAAGATTTGCTATGGTCTGGTAGACACCAGAGTGAATTAGTTTATGCTAGCAATGAAGGGCAGAAGCTGATTGATCTTCTCTTGGGTAGACTGTTTCAGCGTACAAATATAAAGAAACGTTTACATATTGTTTAGTTAACAGACTTGTTTAAAATGCATGTTTATTTCTCGTATTTCGTCGCGTGGATGTTTTTCTTGTTGGAATAAACTCTCGAACTCTGCTGCTCGACCTCTAGAGTCACGTGTTATCAATAACACATGACCAAGCGCAAAAATCTGGTTTGTTTTGATCAAAATCATTTGGAAGAAGCTTCATGTATTCAAACTACTTGTTGCAAACTACTTAAATTTTCATCTATCAATCAACAACAACTTATTCCCAGCTTTATTTAAATTTACCATAAACCTCTAATTATCTAATTATCTATTCAGTAAAAACGACTTTTGCATTATTTCCATGATCACATCGAAAAGTATTCTGTATTGATAAAAGAAATCATAAACAAATTATTGTAAAAAAATATTTTATCAAAATGTAATAAGATTTTGAATCACAATTGGTTTGCAAAAGGTCATATAAAGTTGAAAATCGCCATATTAGGCACTAGAAAGGTGTTATCACACGTGTCCACAAGCCAATATGAACCTGATTGGTTAAGATAAACCTATTCGACAAAAAACAATCAAACCAAGAAGTATCGTGGTTTAAGCAGCCTTCTTGAGAGGCTTTATAGGTAGTGAAATCCCGATTAACACATGGCGATTTTCAAATCCAGCAAACAGCGATGCAAAACCAAGTTTTAAATTTAGAAAAGCTGGTAGAAAAAATCGAAAATGACGGACTAAGAAATCTAAACGGATCTTTTTCTTCTCTTTTGCACACTCCGACGAATGAGTTCTGCGACAGCTTCATTGACTTTGCTTTGATATGGCAGCCATGTCTAAAAGATATATCCAATTAGAAGTGTTTTGATATGTATATTGCTTGTGCTAGAGAATAGAAAGTAAAGTGGAAGAATGGCTTTTTTGGGAGACGAGCGAGCGTAAATCTTAAAATGAATGAGGCATTTTCCGTCTTAGAATCAGGGAGCATGCATAATAATAACTGCGATTCATGCGCATTTGAATCTAGAAAACTTTCTCTTGCTCGTCGTCCTAAGTGCATAAACATCAGATGATTGCTAAATATAATTAGAAATTTATATCAAGGTGCAGATCGAAAGAAACGGAGTCAAAAGCTGTTTTTAGCAAGAAGGTCAATTCTCGTTACTTGAGGTAATAGAAGCAAACGAAAACAGGTTGTAGGCTTTTCAGTGACATTACAAGTGATATTTACCTTAAGAAGCTCTCGAATCTCTTCAACTGTTTTGTTTTTAAGGCTACCCCCAGCCATTAATTTTGGGTGAATGTTCCTTCCCTGTCCATATTCGTTAAGAGCGTTTTTCGGGCCAGTCTGAGAAACCTTTGAACTTTGTACCACCATGTTGTTACTCTGTTTGGCAGAAAAAATCATTGACAGTTGAAATATGATGAAAAATTGAGATGTACAGAAAATAAGAGTTGATTTGTTTTTTTATGACAAAAATTGACAAATTTCCTATGTCAACGTAAAAGCAGGACAAGATAGGTATATATCGTTTCGTTGGGTATGTCTCAGTGCATCGAAAGGACTGAAGGCTAGGTATTACTAGATTCTCAACTACTAGGCCATCCAGAAGTACTGTATGCAGTTGCGCAGTCAAGCTACTGTGATGTCTTGCCGTAAGATTTTATTATGCCGTGCCGTATTGAATCATAAGTTTGTGCTTAAAATGGTAATCGAACCATAACCGTCATTTGTTATTAATTTATTTCAAATCAAATGAAGGGGCCACCCACAACCAAAATTGCAAAAATTTAGAACATTTTTACAAATGTACAAAGACAAACGTCAAATCTTTATATTATGTCGGAACAAACAGAACTACCTCACAACTTAGCCAGTGCATGAAGTTGAATAAGATGCGCTCGAAATAATTAATATCGTTAAAACAAACATATTTGAACATAGCATCGCAAGTAGAAAAAAAAGAAGAGCTTTCAGCTTACGCTGGAATGCTTGAAAATCATCGCACTGACGCTAGACTTACGCAATGACGCAAAACCAGATTGGTATGCTGTCGTATTACTACAGAGAGTGACTGATTGACAAAAAGATTGGCAGAACACAACACCCATCATACCTTCCCACCAACTGTATGGAAAAGGTTGGTCTTTCCATTGCAACAGATTTTCAACTTTAAAAGTAAGAAGACTACTTAGGCCACAAGTCACACAGAAAGTTTCTTCTTACTGCAAAATTGGCACAGGATATTAAATGTAAGCAACCTTTTTCCCAATACTGTTCATTGCGTATTAAAGTTCAATAACGCTCAATGGAAAAAACGGCATCGTGTTTAACATAACGCCGAGAGGGACTCGTGTTCGATTTAGGAGCGGTCCAGCTATGATTGTAGTCTAATATAAAATCCAATTCACTCACGTTTGCGCCATTAAAGATATTCAAGTACACAGCTGGTTTTTCCCCACAACCTCTGCTGCATCCGCAGTCATCTGTACATCCTAAAGAAATGGTAAACGAAGAAATATGATCTAGTGTTTCAAAGGATCAGCTGGATAAAGTAGTCTATTACGTCCATGCCTTGTTGAAAGAGCAATTAGAGCCGGGGATGTGAGCCAAAACAGTCATTAAGGAACATTTGAAGCCATAAGTGTACGAAGAGGAGGCTTTCATATATAACTCGCTACGTGACAGCAAAGATCTTTGGTGATAGTGAGAGGTTACTTAAATTAATTTATTTCAAAAACACAAGAAACTTATTCTTATATCTTTTTCGTTTTTTTTATCTTTTTAATTTTTTATTAGCTTTTTTCATTTATTTATTCTTTTCATTTATTTCTTAGTTTTTGCAGTTTTTTTATATTTTTCATTTTCCTTTTACTTTTTTTAATTTCTTTAATTTTTTTCCTTTTTTTAATTTTATTCATTTTTTCATTATTTTTTCTATTTTATCTTAATCTTTTATATTTTTCATTAGTTTTTTTAATTTTTTTTTCTTTTCATTTCTTTCTTATTTTTTTGTATTTTTTCATTCTGTATTTATTACTTCAATTTAATTTTCAGTTTTTTCATTTTTTTATTTCTATTTTCATTTTATTACTGTATTTTTTAATTCCTCAGCATCAAGACATCCACAACTCGTCCAAAGTGCAGAAAAAGCCAGTAATATAGGCCAGAACAGTCACTAAGGACTATGCCTTAGAACTATTTTAACTCGTTCTTTCATCCGCATTAATAGGAAGTCAAAATCACAGAATACTTACCGCAGTCTCGACATCCTTTGCATTTGCAGTCTTTCTTTGCCTTGGTAGTCGCTGAAGTATCTGTGGTCGTTGCTATGGTCGTTGCTTGGGTCGTTGCTAGGGTCGTTGCTGGGCTCGTTCGCGCTTTCTCGGTGAAAGTTATCACTTCTGGTGTAGCTGTTTCTATACAAAGAATCATGAAATGTATGTTACTCAGTTACTTTCTGATCTTACTGAACTGCTTGTTTTCTATCTATTTGAATAGCATAGAATGGCTTGTAGTTTAATGCTAAGTTTTCCTGACCTATACTGTCTATTAAGCTGAATTTCGTACGAAGAGAATCGAGTGGCTTTTGTTACAACTAAATGCTTGCTTGTGCTACATTTCTAGGTAATTGGCTGGCTTTAATGTTACATGTTGAAACATGTTGTAGAGTTATTGGACAGAGAACCCTTGTACCCATTGATGCTAGGCATCAAATCTCTGGATATGACTTGTGAAAGAATGGGAAAAACGTACTCAGTTCTCCTCCTTTGCATGCAAACACAGTAAGGTTCTTGATAAATTCATCTGTGACGAGTTCATCGAATCGCTTCAGCATGTAAACCTGGTTAGGTGAGCCTGTAATCAATTCCAGCTGAGTTTGGTTCACCGCACCACCTACACCAATGGCATATATAGTGATGTTCCTGTTTCGTAGGAGTCTTGCTTCATCTTCTGGTTCAACAACGATTTCGTTTTTTCCATCGTACCCACCGGCTGGTGGAGTTTGTTTCCCATCGGTAACGAGAACCAAAATATCTTTTACATTCGGTCTATCTCCGCTCTTTTCAGCAAATAAATCTTCTCCAGCGACTTTAAGCGCCTTATCTATTCTAGTTTGGTACCCATATAAGGGCAGCTTATCGACATCGTTTCTAAACTGTCCAATGTTATTTGTAAAGGGAACAAGCATTTTCACATAGGATCCAGAGCTAAACAGAACGACACCTGCTCGAGAACCTTTGTTAAATCCAGCAGCTGATGCTACTCTTTGGACAAAGAACTTCTCTTTGGAGTAAAATTTTTTTATGCTTTTTGAAGAATCAATCACGAACCCAATGTCAACTGCCTCCCTGCATAAGTTTGATTTTTCATCAGCTAAAACAAAGATGAATAAAATTGCATTTTTAACCAGCGACTCTATACATTATTGGCAATAAGAACTTTGTGTAAGAAGGGCACGTTGTGGTTGTCTTACAATGTATCTTGTCCAAAAAACAACAACAATACCTTTGGAAAATTGTGCTGTTTGTTCGTATTTTGCCTTGGGCCTTAAAGATTCTATTGTTAAAATATTAAAGCTTTTATGCACTTGCCTGTTTCATTGTGAACTTGTTCTACTTTTAAAATACATCTGAAAGCACAATGTGATAAAAAATAACTACAATGTCTGCCAAAAGTACTTGGAAGACCCAGCACTATGCCTTGCGTTTGTTATCTTTCATTCTTTTCCCGAAAAATAATTACTACTCCAGCCCCCTTCTCCCTACAACAATGTTGACAATTTAGAGAAAAATCATAAAAGAAGTGCAAAAGAAAGTGCTTCCTCAAATCCTAACCCATTTGATAGTAAACCAGCATTGTTTTGTAGGAGAGAGAAGGATAATTGATTTTGACGTTGAAAGTTGACGTCAGTGTTCCAAGACTTTTGGCAGGCATCGTATGTTTCAACTTGACTTACCAGTGAAAATTAACTCCAGACTTTCAGCATCAATAGAAAGGGGGGAGAAGTCAAACTCTGTAGGTAGAAAAATTTGTTCATTCAGAGAGATTTCAAAGTCGGGACGACTTTAAAAAAGGAGATTCAAAAAAGTTTAAAGGAACAATGAAAATTGCAGCAATACTCCAGAAATGAGTATTGAATGATGATTGAATATTGAATATTTTCATTGTCGTGAATTTAAATGGCTATGCAATGTTGTTGATCCAAATTATATAATTTAATGGGTTAGCATAAAGTAAAATGATCATTACAGGATATGTCGAGCTAAATGCCTAGAAAATTTTCTACATATGCAGTTCCAGCCAGCATAAGGGTATTCATAAAACATTTAGTCCTGTTAAGTACAATCACTCAAATTCCCCCATTTTTAAACTTTGCCCCCCTCCTCCTCCAAAAAAATCGTCAACTGACTAAAAGACAAATGACAAGAAGATACCTTCATATAAAATTTTAAGAGGCTTACAAATTTGGAATCATTTTATGACAATCAGTATGTCTGCCTGGTTTTTCATAGCATTTTCGTTTTGCAACAAAAGACCCTTTTTTAATGCTCAATAGTGAAATATGCTTGAACTAGTCAGCTATATGGATCAACCTATATGGATCAATTAAAATTATTTAAATGCAACTTTATTTAGATTCCTTACCTTTTGATATAATAGATGCATGGATCAATTAAACGAATAGATTTAAAAATATACAAAATTGACAAACAAGTAGTGATGAATATCTTACATCAATTGAAATTAAAAAATGAAATATAAAACACGAATCATAACCTAATATGCAGTAAGGATCCAAATACAAAAAGTTTTACTAATTTTTGTTTTTAATTGAGGTTTCGAGGCGCCTTTATTAAACGCGTGTTGTTAAAATATTCACTTACGTGGACTCAAAAGGATTTCTCCAATAGCTGGATTAATAGGCAACGTCGCTTCTTCAGCTAGAACAAAAGTAGTTTAAGAAAAGATAAATTTCCCATCTTTGTATCTGCCGAAAATACTCGAGCAATACTCGTCAACTTTCTAGTAAGGATTATAACAGGAAAAGCTAGGAAACTAGCTTTAGAGATTCAATAAAGGTATGAAAGAATAAGGGAATGAAAAATCGTCTTCCAAAACTTTGAGATGACGGAGAAAACCTCAAGGATTATTAGGGGCTAAATGCTCTATATATATATATAGCTCTTTTGATACAGCTTGCTTTTTATTAAGGTCTTTACGCCCCTAATGTCCTAAGCAATTTAAGTAATCAGATAATCATACCGACTCTGTATGTCCCATCGATTAGTTTACTGATCGTTTTCAGCGCAGGTATGGCACTACCTCCATCTTTTACTGGAAACGCGCTGTTATCGTCTAGAATAATGTGATCCAAATGTTCTTTCTTGCCCTCTCCCATGGCAATCACATACAATGTGATACTGTGATCGTGAAGGTGTTTTACAGCGTCTTCTGTTGGTAAATGATCTTTGCCTGGGCCATTGTTCAGAACCAATATAACAGAGTTACCAACGCTGAGTCTGGCACCGGAGCTTTCTGAAATTAAAAAGGGAAGCTATCTTTAGCTCCATTAATAAAAGGGAATCAGGAACACCATCAGGGCCGTTGGAAGGACTTTACATGAGGTTCTACAAGATAGAAGATGTTAAGTCTTCTATTATTCTCTATTAAAGATTCTGTTACAGAAATGATAAACAGCTAAGCCCCCCTCCCCCGGTTTCTTGAAACCTCTTTTAGAATTAGCACCTCTCCTATTATCAGGAAAGACAGTGCAAAATACGGACTGAGGAAGCTAAAAAATTTTCAGAGGAGTTAAACGGGTTAAAAACTAAGAGCGAGGCGATTTTTGCATGGCTTGGAATACATTTTGGAAAATATCTTTGGGGGAAGGGGGTGCTAAGATCCCTGACTATAATAACACAATCATACAAAAATAACTCATAAATCAGCAAAGGCACTTCTCGATACGCATGAAATTTTCAAGCATAATAGGTTCACTTACTTTTATCGCCTGTAAGGGTTAATTCTTCATTACTGGTAAGGTTTTATTCTAAACTTACGTGAACTCAGCATTTTATAAGCAGTTTCAATTGCTGCAGCCAAATTGCTCTTGTCATATGAAAAATTCAGTTTTCCGGAGCTGGCTTGTTGTTTTGCTTGCTCTTTGATGATATTTAACGCCGTCTTATAGCACGGTGCATCGCCATATGTGCAGGACAGTGGTATCAAAGTATCAACCTTTTTCCAGACCAGAATGACACCAAGTCTGATACAGTCGTGGTTCTTCAGCTTTAGTGACCATGTCAACTCTTGTAGTGCCTTCTCTACATTTTCGAATTGATTCGGAGTATTGTATGCCAGTTCATAAACCATTACAACATCTTGGCGCTGAATACACTCTTGTGATTCTGGAAAGAAAATAGATATAGACTTCACAATCAAGGTCCCATGCCTAACTTACCCTACACAAATTCCTTCTTTATATCAACCTCTATTTTCTATGCTGCATCTCTTTTCAGAATTTTTTTATATATGGTATTGAAACGTGCAACTGTGCTCCAATCTTACAAATTATCAGGGGAGAGAATATTTCGTTTGTTGACATGGTGGTTAATGCTCTTGCATTTTGCAGGAACGTCGGGCGTTATGAGAATTGTGAAGGGAGAAGTAAGAAGGCTGTATCGAGTTCCTGAGATGGATTGATGTTGGCACATTTTGAAATCGTTGAATTACTTTTGGCATAACTTGTGGGCTGAAGCCTGCCCCCAATACCCAACAATGCCTATTTTAATCCAAATGTATCTTGGTTATATTGAGCTGACAAGTCCATATAAAAAATACCAATTGATGCGAATATGACAATCATAGGAAAAATAAATAATTTACAAGACCTGAATCTTCTTGAATTTAAAAAATATTTGTAAAATAGAATTCATACTGGGAGGGGGGGGGTAAGTATCAAGTTTAGTGACACCATGGTTGGGTCCGACAGGAACAATAATTTTCTAGATTAAGCCTTCTAGACTGGCTAAAAATGCATCTCCAAGACTAAAATTTACTATAACGCCCAGAATAGACAATTCGACCATTCTCAAGAAAAACATTGATTTTTGATATTTAGGAAAAATTTGGGAGGGGAGAGGTCATGCTAAAACTCTCATGACAGACGTTGGGGAGAGAAAGAAAGGATGACCTTTAGTTAAGAGTGCACATCGGTGTTAATAACAAGAAGCTGTTGTGTTGATTGAGAAAATTTTGCAGAAGCGTGCATTTTCTTCGTTTCGAGTATTTTCAATAGGCCATGTTTACGCATCCAAAATGCAGACAATGCAATGATACAGGAAATTATCTTCTGAATCGTTGCAAATAATAGACAAATGATGAAAATATACCTATAAAAGTTAGTAAATAGATCAAATAATCAAGTAGTATATTAACTTTTTGTTCTCTTTTTATTTCATGCTTTGTCTTTAAAAATAATAAAAGAGACGGTAAAAACATTTTCATCTCCGAAAAAGTGGTGGAGCTTCAGCGGTCCCCAGCTCCCCCTCCCCCCATTGGCGCCGTGTCTGAACAAAAGCACTTCTTGGAGAGTTCTTCGCTCAACTTTGCTAGGCTGGAGACCTCTGAAAGGGCATTTCTACCTTTTGCAAGCAGCTCTTCGATTTGACCCGGGTGAGTCATATTCTGCTTATTAAAAGCGCCTTCTCGTACAGGCTCCAAATAATTATGCCCCCATCTAAAACATCTAATAATAGGCCTGATTCACGGGTAAATTCACGGTTTTCTTGAAAGCAAACTTCCATTAGGTTACCCAAGACTCATTCTAGCGGATCATCTTCTGTTTGACTTTCATCCCTTGAAAATTCCACGCATCCCATTCACAGGGCCCTTTGTGTTTAAGTTTATCTCCAATTATCTAGTTCATAACTATGAGCTTGAGTTTTTAGATATATTAGAGAATATTTCATCAAAGAATATATTCCCTTAAAAATTTTTTCTGGGTTTTACAAAGTCACTTGTAAGGGACCACCGGGAAATCTCCTGGTGTCCCGCCTAGCAACAATGCTCCTGCTTGTATTACTTTAATGAATGCAAAATCGTCGATTTAACAATAGGTAATAATCCTTAATTGTGATGTTTGGAACAGAGGTCAGAAATTTGTTAATCAAAGAAGTTCAAACATGATGTTTCCAAAATGATAATTATATTCAATATCGATAATAATGTTATGATGAGGTGGAATCTTTAGATTTATCTTTAGAAATGATCACGTGCAGGTCTTAACAATCAGGTATCATAAACTAACTCGATCTGCCTTTGTTGCGAACAAAGATGGTCATGGGCTCCATAGAGAACCTTTTTTGCATGTCGAGTCTGATTTGTCACATTAAGGACTTTTGTCGGCATACGAAAAAACTACCCTGCTTTCGCTTTATGAGGACCAGACGATGGTTACCAAAAGTGCTAAACGGTAGATACTAGAAGTTGATGCTAGAAAAATAGCAACAAACAGGCTGTTACCCTGGTGCTATATACTTTTTTTATAAGAACCAGTAAATTCAAGTTCAGGCTGACTGACAAAAATCTGAGGCTGGATTTTTTAATTTGTTCTTAAACTGATAGGGTGTAAGCAGTGCAATTGCTAGCATTTTCTCTCCAGGGAGGTGTTAAGGCCATATTTGCCTACAAGTTTGAATATTCACCGAAAAAGATGAAATGTTGCTTAAAATTATATTTCAAAGTAGTTCAGTTTTAGCTTTTTTTTAATTTGTTCTTAACTTTGACCAATTTTGAGGCACGCGGAGGCTACGGAATTTGGAATTTTGACATCTGAATATGGGTAGCAAAGCTGTCTCAGGTTATTAGTTCAAGATTAAAAGTGCCTAAAAGACTTCTTACAAAGTCAAACAAATACAAAGTTCATATTTGCTTCACCTAAGCCGAATTAAGCTCGTAGGGATGGTCCATGCTTTTAGAGAGGGGTTGGTGATCAGGTTCCCACATAAAGGAAGCAAATGCATATTTGGAGGCAGGGATGCTATACAAAAATACATTTTGAAGATGGAAGGGTATGGGTAGGTAGGGACATAATGTCCCAGAAAAAAGGCACCTTTCTAAAAGAAGAACCTGTTTGTGATTGATTTTTTACATCGGTTAGTTTTTTAGATTTCATGCCTCATTAAACATTTTTGAAAACGTTTTAGAGGCACATACCCAGGTCCTCCGATGAAAGGGGGGCCAGGGGGTCTTAGCCCTCCCACATTTTTGCAAAACAATAGAGTTTTTTTTCAAAATCTTTTGTTATGGGTGTTAAAATTTCCCTTGGCCCCCCACTTTTCACCCTTTGTCGGAGCCCATGATACCACCTCCATGATTCTGACGTTCTTTCTGACACCTGGAAGCTAGTCCTTACTCTGAGTCTTGCTTAAACATATGTACATTTTGTTATATCTCTTCTTGCCACAATAGTCCAAAAAATAAAAAACTTAATATTAATCGTCGATCGATGGAGGGTGCATCTCTCCCTATCAGGGAAATCGATGTAATTATTTTCTTATTCCGCGTAATTCAATATGTTTATTCAGCTTTGGACATCGAGTTAATTTTGTTTCTCTTTGTACATTATTTGATCAGCCCTGGTTCCGATCATAACATGCCCTTGCATAAACACAAGGCTGCTACAAAGGTCAAAAGTTTCCTTTTTATAAGCCATTACACTATCTTGGCGCTGAATACACTTCTTCTGAGTTTTGCTTTGTGCCTTAATTTTTAACCAAGATACTTCATGTAACAATCCTGAAACCCATGAAGCCCCGTATGCCGGGGTGAAATATTAGCCTTTAATAATTTACGTGTATTTATTGTTGTTTATTCTCGGCGTATTGCGGTGTTTCATATTTGCTACATAATAAAGTTCGACATTTGAAACGGGAGTCGCGCTAAACATGCTCGAGTGTTGCTCCAAACAGAGTTAGGTTCGGCACATGAGAAGTGCGACGTTTGAACAAGGCCTTAATGAAGATTCTGAAATTTATCTTTATCAACTCAAAAGATTTCTCTTCAGCGTTTTATGCATCATTTTCAACAATTTCATCAGCAATATCCTGTTGCCAGGTGTGCAACGTAGAGTTTCCGCTTATCATTCTTTCAGCTTCGACTGTTAAATTTAGTGTTTATTTGTTACATCCCTCCAACGGCAAGGGATCTTTCACGCAACTCTACTGGTGGGAAATGAATAAATGCTTAAGTGCATTTCTTTCTCTGTTATATCCGAGGTTTCTGAAGCAAAAACAAAAGTATACATACATCATAGACCACATAGGTCAACAGCACCAAAAATTCTCCGACATAGGGGGCTGACCTAGCAAAAAGGGGGGCTAAGATACCTTTCTCATCCAATGAAGGGATAAAATAGTCTAAGCGAGCCTACAGTTTTCAAGCCCTCCACTAATGCCGTCCAGAGGTCGAGGCTGCAAGTAGCAAGTTAGTTGTGAAATAAAATAAATTGTGCAATGCGTCGTCAACTGTCAAGCTAGGATTTTCCACTTGAACCTACAATTTCTGTAGGTCTGTTGCTATTTTTCAATTTTCAAATTTTACTGTTATTATATTTTTTGAGTTTGCCTGTCTTGTTTGTGGTGTTTTTGGCAAATCTCAGCCTGGTGTCTTTTATAAGGGCTGTTCTTAATCATATATAAAAACTGCATTGCAAGAAACTACCTACAGAGTTCTATCTGTTTCTACTTTGGTGCTGAATGCTTGAATTTTGATCTTAATAAGACGTGGCCAGAAACAGCTTGGCAGGCCAAAGAGAGCGAAAACGGAAAAAATGACCATATAAAGATAAATATTGACACCGTTTACTTGAATCGGTTTCAAACGTTCGTGTATAATTCTCTTTGACTCTAGATGTTAATTTATCGAACGGAATCAATAGATTAACACGTCCATTAGTTAAATTAAAATATTTGCCAATCATTTACAGGGCCTCCCTTTGAGCTTTATGTGTGCCTCCTTTTAACACCTTTTTAACACAATGCAATATGTGTTTCATTTTCTTTTTGATAGCGTATAATTGGCCATGAAAAAAAAAACTTTTGAAAGCAAAGGTTAGTTGTTACTGGTCTTGCTTACAAAGCTTCTCCAACAGTGTTAGTGCCTCTGAAGACATAGCCTGACTTTACTTTCCGTTGCAAAAGAGAGCTAACAAGTTCCATATTGGCTCTCCTTCGCAGCGGAAAGTAGAGTCTGCACGCAGGCTACTGAAGACACTGAAAGGAAAAACTGACCTTATCATTTTGTAAAACAAAAAAGGAAGGCGAAGGAGAACAATCCGGTTCAGATAATCCAATTAACCTCGTGTCATACACATCGGGGAGTTTTTTGACTGCATCAAATCAACGAA